TGCAGCATCAGCAGCCAATGCCGCTGCAACAACCGCAACTTCGGCAGCTACTGCAGCTTCAACTGCGGCAACATCAGCTGCCAATGCCGCTGCAACAACTGCAACTTCGGCAGCCACTGCAGCTTCGACCGCAGCCACTACTGCAGGGGGTGGCCTGAGAAGGACAGTCACTGCTCCCGTGCGAGGCGTCTCGCCGATGCGGACCAGATCAACCAAGCGAAGTGTATCACCCATGCGCCGGACAACATCACTGGAGGAGAAAAAAGCAGAAGAACAGGCTAGAAAAGAGGCGATCGAAAGATCCAAACGAGAGGCCCAAGCTGCTCGTGCTGCAGCTGGGCGGCGGTAAGGAGGATTGGAGGTGCGTGCTGCTAGCTCGACATTACCAAGGTCAGAAACAACTCATAACAAACGAAGATGTCCATAATGTTAGCACCTTGAAAGAACTCAAGGTGCTTCGATGTCTACTATGGATTGTGGTACTGTGTACTTAGAAGCAGCAGCGTCTTTCAATGCTTCTCTGAGAGCTCCAACCCAATAACATACATAGTTGGTCCTGAGCATCCAGTGAGCATGGGTCAAAGTCTCTCGTTATCTTCCTCTCGCGATGGGGCCCTTGATGATGCCAATTCACATGGTCACCAGGCCCCAAATTCCCAGCTCTGAAAATCGCCATGAAGCTGGCCACTACAGTGTCAAGTCCCAATGTCCTCGCTGCCATAATGCCAGCTCGTGAAGGAAGCCAGTGACGGCATAGCAAAAACGTATTTGAAAATTTCTGATCATGGAGTGTGGAATCTTCGGCGGTGTGTGCCTGCATGTCTTGTCCAAAGGAGCACTTCTGCCTGCCAATGCAAGGACCAGGGCAGAGATGCCGAACAGGACCTGGACTTTTGTATGCATTTCCAACCTTCCCACGAAGGGGGTACATCCTGGAGGTGCTCGCTGATAGTATGGTACCTTATCAAATTGCCTGTGCCCGATATATACTTTGCTTGCATATGGAGTTGCGTGAAATCTCGACGACCTATTAGCAGCTACGTAGTATAGCCAGCAGCAAGAAATGCTGAAGCCAAAAGTATGAGCTACCTGCGACAGCAGCATACCGTAGCTAGCTGCCATCGTACCAATCGGTAGTAGATGGAAACTAGTCTAGTTAGGAAAGACTGTGGTCCTCTAGCTGTTGCTACACCGCAGCAAAGTCCTGCTAGCTGGAAACATCGAGTGACTCAGTCAGTCAAGACCCTGAAACCAGTGCGTTTCAAACCCTGCCGGCTTATTTGCAAAAGATTTTATGTCTCGACGTCTCGACAACAGCTTTTTACACTTTTACTTTGACGATGACGGATCTTGTTTGTAGTGGTTCGTCCTGACAGCCTCGTCCCAAGGAGACGGATCGCCTGTTGCCCAGCACTACTGCTAGTAGTAATAGCAGCAGCAACAGCAATGCGAGTGTGTGGGTCTCCTTGTTGACACTACTGTTGAGTCTTCCCGCGTTGATTGGCATGTGATGTTGGCCGGCCCTCGTCATTCCTCTCTTGGGAGGAACCGTGACGACGGCCTCGCGTCATGCCAGTCATGTCGTTGAATTCTGTACCAAATTTATTATGTTGGTGGCGGTGGTGCTCTTTGTCGCTTACGAATCCAGCAAACGCGCTTCTTGTAAGTATGGTCCCACGATTCTGATCAGTGTGGCATCGCTCCTAATTCTCGTGGATCCCACTCGGCACGTGTTGTTGGATCAGACGCACTGGCAGTACGTCCATCAATACGGAGGCATGTACCGGCATAACTGTCCCGTACGAGCGCTCATGTTGCCACCCCGCGAGTGTAATGTCGCGGCGGACTGTGGACCATATCATTGTGGAGGAGACTTTTATGCCATGGCGCCCCATCAAGATTGTTTTACGTGTTATGATAATGATGAAGACACAACTAGTAGTACTACCACCACGACTACCGGTAGCATGTGCAGTGAAGGCATGGAAACCTTTGCCTGTCTTTCCGTCACCGGATGGATTGTCACCATTGGAATGACCTACCTGGGATTTGCACTCTTTATCATTGGCACGCTGTGGAATGCCAATATTCTACACAAAATAAGTGACATTCGGCACGAATGGAACCGGTTGCGAGGGACACAAAATAATATCCCAAACAAACAAGAACAAGAAGAAACACAAGTTTAGCTTGTAGGTTGGAGGGTATGCATGTGTTTGGAGGCAAGATGGATCGATCAATCAATCGACACGTGCGGCATGGGAACGAATGACGTTGTCCAATGGAAGGAAAAAAGAGACAAAACTGCAATGTGGCAGAACCAACTCTAGCTTTCTCTATGGATGACTGACTGACTGGTAGCTACAGTACCGACCATAACACCTTGGATGCTCAATGATTGATTGACTGATTGATTGAACAAATGAATGAATGAATGAATTGTGGATGATCAGCCCAAGAGTGGAATTCTCTCCTGGATGGCTGATACAGTCAGTGCTGCGCCTTCACAATCATCACAGGCTTGATATGCTAGTAGTGTCTGCATGGCTTGTACATACATACCGTACCGAATGTCATACTGTAGTAGTAGCCATAGTTCGACTGGCTGAGGCTGCCTCGATCCTCATTGTGTTGGTTGCTGCATGCTTACAAGTCTGAATTTCTTCGTGTGTCCTCTCCATATGTTCTCTCTATGCAATGCCATTTTGCAATGCAGGTTTTGCTTCGTCTTAAATCCACGTTCAACACAACCCTTTATCGAGGGGTTGTTACCTCCCCAATGAGGGCTTCTCCTCTTACTGCGGAACACACAACCGTGCACTATCCAAACAGAAGGTCCGCCGCTCACCTTGCACACTGAAGACAGCATTGTGGTCAGTTAGTTCGTCCTTTTTTGAAAAAGCTACTACGTGGTAGCTAGCTGCTAGTAGCCTAGCAAGCTACCATAGCAGCAGAGCACTTGTTCAGTACGGTGTTTTGATTGTTGGGTTGTCGCAGTTGGGTGCTGCTGATCACTCGATCACTCGGGAGTGCCATTCTCGATCGAACTTCTGCGGAATGTTCATTGCCCCGCTACGGTTTCATTCCGTGAGACCAGCTAATAGAGTTTGTAGAAATCAGCTTGCAGACAGCCGCTCAGTACTGGTGCCGTGCCTTCAGCTTCCAAATCCTGCTTGATGTATGGTTCCATGCATCGACGAATAGAGTTTGTAGAAATCGACTTGCAGACAGCTGATCATTGGTACAATACCAGGTACTGTACTGGTACCCGCTGAGCTATACGTACCATATTCCACGGACTTTTCCGTGGAAATTCAATGCATCGTGGTAATTGCAGCCAGGATAAAATATTAAAATTGATAAAATTAGAGTCAGAATACTATAAAAGAATGATTGGTGACGGATGCTGTTGGCGAAAGTCACTCTGCCCCACGGCGCACGCTATTGGCTTCTACCAGTATTGTCCACAAAAATTTGTATTGACTGTTTTAAAGCAATCTAGCTAATATCATTTCATCAGTATCCAACATGTCCAACGATTGTTCTGCTTGCTGAGGACCAGCGCCATCGCCGCCTCCTCCGGCCAAGGAGACGGATAGTCTGCTCAAACCGCCCAAGCAGGAGGAACCAAAGGCTTGTGGTACTACTAGCAGTAGTAGTGACAGCGCGCTCGTGTCTTCTTCTTCTGGATCCACCACGGCGGTACGAGTTGCCTTCTTCGTGGCAGTGTTATTGATTATTACGGTGCCGGTGACGATCCAAATTGTCAAGAGACTTCACAGTGTGGGATCAGGAGAATATTAGAAAGAAAGAAAGAAAACGTAAGGAGGATTGAATCCCCAAATGAGATGGAATTATTATTATGAAAGAGTTGGGTGGGAATTGGTGCTGGCTGGAAGGAAGGAATGTCATTGGGAATGACGTTGTCCTACAGAGAGGCTATTCTGATCTGACCCTGCTCATTGATGCAGTAGCCTTTCCAAAGGATGACTGATGAAACCAGTTTGAATTCCAAACCTCTCAAGACAGTGTAAGATGCATTCCAGATATTATTGGTTTGTGGAGTGTACCGTTTGTAAATGTAACAATGATTTGGTTCTACCAGGTTTACTATTCTAAAATGACGTAGATTCATACGAAATAATCGTGATGCCGAAGAAGGAACTCAAGGCGATTCGAGGTCTACTATGGATTGATGTAATGTGTACTTGGGAGCAGCAGCGTCTTTCAATGGAAATCTGAGAGCTCCAGCCCAATAACATACATAGGTTGGTCCTGAGTGTCCAGTGATTCTGGGTCAAAGTCTGTCATTATCTTCCTCTCGCGATGGGGCCCTTGATGATTCCAATTCAAATGGTCTGACCAGGCCCCAAATTCCCAGCTCTGGAAATCGCCATGAAGCTGGCCATTACAGTGTCGAGTGCCAATGAAGGGCTCGCTGCCATAGTGCCAGCTCGTGAAGGAAGCCAGTGACGGCATAGCAAGAACGTCATTATGATCAACAGCCAGGACGATGATAGAACAAGACGGAGCACAAAATATGTCGTCGAGCAACATCCAGTCAGTCTTCGCCACCCGAAGACCAAGCTCAACCGTCAGCGTAACATGATCATCGTAATGCATTCCTTGAAACACTTCTGTACGAAAGCCAATGACGGGGACAAACCCCTGCCAGATGACCCTCTCTTTTCTATTGTCGCTGTGGTCATAGATCCATACGAAATAATCGTAATGCTGAAGGATCTGTCTGAATTCTCCCTGTGTGGTACCGGACCCGAAATCCATGAGCATAGGAAGATTGCAAGCGTGTTCATCCTCGCAGCCCTGCCACTGCATGTGATTGTTGAAGTGAGTTGAGATGGCGGAGTGATATAGATCCATTGCAAATCGAGCGCAATAATCGTGCAGAAGCACACGCAGTCGAAGGCTTTGGCCTTCGCTAGTTTTATTCTCCTGGATGGCAGGACCTCCATTGTCGCGTATAGCAGTCCAGAGTGGTCTCAGGGTTCCGACACTTGTTTCACTGATGTCGCCAGCGGCACGTTGAGATCGAGAGGTTGGAGGGATATGCCCTTCGAGTTCTGACCAGAGAACGTTGGAATTGGTGATCCTTTTCGGTAGCAACCCTGACGAGGAAATCAAGGACACGCCCACTGCGTCAAAACAGCTCAAGATGTTGAGCAATGCCGGGTCAGGCAAGTCAGATAGATTGTTCATTGTGTTGTAATCGTGGTGATGCTGAGAGATCAGCTCCTTGCAATGGGGTTGCGATGTTGCTGTGGCAATACTGTGGCTTGAGGATCCAAACTCTTCTCTCAGGCGTCTTTTGTCTTCAACGGTGGTCATGCACGGTCAACTTGAAAGATTCGCGATGCGCCTATCAGATCTTTTCGCGAAGCGAAGCTCCGATTCCCGTTACGCGAATTACTGTGTCGCTTGATGCCCCGAGCACCTGCCACACCGAAGTATCGTAGCAGTCGCTGTAGCTTGATGCATGATCAAACAGAAACAGAAAAAGCAAGCAAGAGAAGAGATCATTATCAAAGGCGGCAACCGGTATCGTCCGGGTAGCTAGCTAGATGCCTGATGGCAGTCGTAGTAGCTCAATTCGGCCAACTCGAATGATGGCAACGACCTTCGCCTTTACGGCCCAGCCAGGAGCGAGAATTGAGGAATCAAGCCAAGGGACTGAAGTATCGGTAATCTACTATTCATACTACAAGCAGGAAGGCTCCAGTTGAATCAGTCCTAGCTATTAATGGCAGAGGGCCATCGAGTTGCAGCTTTGCAACCTAGCTAGCTACTTTAGAAGTAGTAAGAGGTTGTTGGTGCTGTGGGGAACTCTCACGTACCCGCCGCTTTCGTTAGGATGGCTTTCAGCTGGTCTTGCTCTGGCTTTGAAAATGCACTGTTGTGGCCACAGTGCAAATTGAGGAACATTCCGACGGCTGTCTCGTCCTGAACTCCATGTTTGCAACGCCAAGAAGTCTCTACATTCGGTGCCGAAGAGAGCCTTGCAACAATGTACTCCAGCATCCCCACTACGAAATCCATCTCGTGTTGAACTGAAAATAGGTATAAAGAACCCAAGGGTGTCAGAGAGCACTCCTGATCGATAAGAAGGAACAACTGCATTCAATACTCACCGGTCAGAAATGCATCTTTGTTGCTGGCAATCAAACCCTTGATACTCTCCAAAACTTCGGGCACTGGTTTGGGGTGCATCAGTTTCGCCGATTCTTGGCTGGTGTACCCTTCCGGGCGCTGATCAAAGTCCGATGGCACGACTACGGGAGGACGATCAGTAGCCGATGGCATGGTTGCCGCGAGTCGACGTTCTGCATTGTCCACGACAATTTGCCCACCGTAGGTTAGTAAACAACACAGCCACGCTAGAGTTTCATCAAACCCAATCTTGACAGCAGCACCGAGTGGCGCCCCGCACAGACCATCGCAGCAACTCAGCGCTTCCCAAGCAGATTGAATTGGATTCGTCACAGGACCGCCACCTCCCAACTCCATTTCTTCGGATTGAGAGGAACGACGACGACCACTCTGTTTGGCAACCCTCCCGATCCTCTTGGTGCATGCCGCAAAATGAAAGGCTTCCGCCAATGTGATGTGTTTGTCTTGCGGCCATACTGGAGCGCATCGGTTGACATGACCTGCAGCAACATAGTGGGATCCTGGGACACATGCAAGTTCAACATGATGTTAGAAGATGGACCAATGAATCGCGTGCAGATCCAATAAATACACAACTGGACGTACCAACCACCGAGACATTTTCCCAATCTGCCATTCGATATTCGACCGGTGTTTCCGTCACCCAACCAATGCCTCGAGTCGTTGACATGCCACGTTTAATCTCCCTCCACAATGCTACTCCAGTCTTGAGCGAAGACCCATCTGCTATAATGGCATCGGCAAAGTCATTGGCTACTACCTTGTGACACGATGCCGCGAGGAAATCTCCCGCCACGTCGGTATTCCACAGCGGGGCCAACATTCGAATGGCATATCCCGACCAATTCCCAACCAGTCGTTGTGCCACCGCTTCGAGGTTGCAGAACGTACGATCGCAGACTAACAATTGGAGTTTTTCGCGCATTATGGGCACGGTGGACAAGGTTTGTGCCGATCGCGAGGCTGCAACTCCTCCAATGCTCTCTCCATGAATCACCAAGGATGCCACGGATTGGTCACGAGCAATGTAACTGGCCAATGCCACTCCATCGGCGCGCAATGTGTCGGGTGTTGGCTGTTGTATCATAATTATTAGAGAGAATGCAATCAAGATCAAGCAAAGAGGTTTAGTGAGGTTTTTGAAGCAAATCAGACAGAGTTTAGTATTGCAACACTGATGACAACCCTCCTGCTCATTGTCAATTCAATTTGGATATGCGACGGTACGTACCTTGAACGTCAAGAACAATCCCTTGAAGATTCGAATCACTCTGTGAATCACTGCAGCAGCTCCGGCTTGTGGCGGTTCCACAAGATTATTCGGTTGACTGCTGCTAGCACACATGGACGTTCCAAAACTGCGTCCAAATCCAGCATAATTGAACAAGTACATGTCATATCCCAGTTCCGTATAAAAGTCAGTCCAACAGGCGGCCGTGGCAGCCGTATCATCCCCCGCTTGGGGTGGATCTCCAATATTGCCACCCGCCAAACTCATTCCAGTGGCGACTTCGTAGAGACCGGCATTGGGATTGCAATACATGACGGCTTTGCGGGGTTGTTGTTGGACGATATTTTGTTGAGGTGAAGATTGTTGTGCTGCTGTTCCTGGAATATACAAGACATCCAGCATGCCACCGTCTTGACGTGGGACCCACAATTGTCGTGCTCCCACGTACCGTGACAACACTGTCCCTCGTAGTACATCCATTCCAAATATGGACGTGTGGAGAGGTGGATCGAGCATGGGTAGAATGGACGACAATCCTCCCTTGATGGCATCCATGGCACCACCCTGTTCTTGCTGTTGCAATTGTTGTTGCTGTTGTGCCGTCGGTGACGCTGTGGAATTGGCATCTCCGCCTTCATCTCCCGGTGGTTTCAACGCCGACACAAAATCGCGCAATTCATTGGCGGATGCTAGCAATAAAGACGCCGTTTCTTGTGCTTCCGGTGAAAACGTGGGACGCGTGTTAGAGGAACTGCCGTATGGATTGTTGGTATTGTGAAACACAGAACCGGCTCGTTGTTCCAGTTGATCGAGTTGTTGCATGATTTTCTGCAAAAGACGCAGCAATTCGCGGCCATCTTCTCTGGCTTGGGGCTATCACACAAGCAAAATAGAACAGAATAAAATGAATGATGTAGTGAGTGAATACATGAATACATATAGCAAACGAGCCTTTGTTTTTCTCTAGCTAGTGCTCACCGTGATTCCACTGAAATTTCCAATGTCTCCTTGAATTCGATTGGTTCCAAATCTGGTTCGTACTTGATTATTCTGAGAAGATGGTGGCGATGTTTGCTGCTGTTGTTCATAGACAAACAGGAGTACTTCCAAATACACTCCCAGAGCTCGATCTCGATAAGACAGGGTTCGTTTCCACAGCGGCGCCAATTCGTAGTTGGAGAGAGTACTACTACTACTACTAGGACCGCCCGATCCATCGAGACTGGATTGATGAATGGCCGACGAGAGCTCTCTTAGACAATTGGCACTGGCGACCAACATGCGGACACTGTACTTGGCAAACTCTGATTCTACTTCGGCCGTGACTTTGGAAGACGCACCGGGAAAGGCAATCATGCGAATAATGGCTCTGCCCAAATAAAAGATGGAAGCCACAATCACCGCATAGACGCCCCATTCCGTTACTAGAAACGACAACAACCAAAAGGGTCCCACCAGTACTAGCACCACCACCAAGTAGACCGCCAACACGGCCAAGCCGGAATACTTGCCCGATGTGACGACCGCTTGAAACACCGACGGCAGAGCATCGGCCACGGTAGTCACTTGCACCAGCTTGTGCCAATAGCGACTACTATTTGGCGTCATGCTGAAGGAATGGTGATGATTTTCGCCGCTAGTTGTTGTTTCCATACTCGTAAAGCCTCCACCGTCCTGCTCCTGCAGTAGCAGCGGCGACACAAGGTCGTCCCCGTCGTCGCCGGACGTAGAAAGTATCTTGACGGATTTTGTAGAAAGTACTAGCTAGTAGTCAATATAATACTGTATAGCGTACTTGACTGCGTACCGTAGTCTAGTAGTCTAGTCGAGACTGTGATGGGAGGGAAGGATGGAATGACAGGAGAAGAGCTGAATGACAATAGCAAAGAATGGAAGACGGACAGCACCGGAGGTCGCAAAGATTGGACAGAGTGCCATGGTCGTCGGCTGTTGGGATGTCGCTCCCAGCAATAAGCCGGTGCGATTTGTGAATACACCTTCAACGCCATGGTCGTCGGCTGTTTTGGGTGTTCACGCCTCAAGAAATAAGCCGGTGCGATTTGTGAAACACACCGGTATTCACAACCGTCACTCAAAGCAGAGACCGATTGTCCGGTTCGGCCCTTGCCAAGTAAGGATGTACCGGTAGCCAGGAACCAATCTGCCAGTACCGTAGGTAGGGCAGCTGGCTTGCTAGCGCTGCCAAGCTAAGGCAGGGCAGAGTGAGTCAATGCCGATCGCGTTGGTATCCGAACGGCGGTTTTGTCAGCCTGGCTCCTCGAGTGTCCGGAAAGGCGCATTGCATTGCGGAGCGATGCATCAGGTTGAGCTCGGCACCTTATTGGACGTTCCAGCTAAAATGGACAAGCCAAGAGTAGTCAAACAAGATGTCTCCTACTGCTGAATATGCTGCCAAACAAATATCGACCTTCGCAACTGCAGTTTGTATTGGGCGGCGAACAACAAGTGCCATTCAATCGTCGTGCTGTACGGTACGTACCTCTGCCCTGAATGGCCACTGCCGCCGTCGGAGAACGTCGCTGGATACGACACCGCACACTAAGCTATGGTACCAGCACATATCTACCGTATCGTCCCCATCGCATCGACTGGCCGTCGCTCGTCAAATGCTATTACGGCCGACGGTAGACACGAACACTACTAGCTAGTGGCTCGCGGCAATTCTAGGTATTCGACTTCTATCCCGCAAGCTCCTCTATCCCTCCCTCACGGCCATTTGCTCATGCAAAAGCATGCATCGTACCAGGCCCAACACGCGACTCTTCGATGCCTTACTAGTACCTCTAGCGTCCCCATCGCATCGATTGGCCGTCGTCAGTTGACACGAAAATTAGAGTCGCGGCCTTCAGCGATATCATCCCGCGAGCTACAGTACCGGTACATCTCTCCCTCCCGCAAGTGCATTGTTCATACCGTACGTACAAAGCTGGATCGTGCAGGCCAAGACGCGACTCTTCGATGTTACGGTAGCCTTCTCTTGTGCTGCAGCAGTTTACCACCTTTTGCTAAAGATATAATTCCTGAGTGAGTGTGGGAATCAAAGTGTGTTCGAAACACAGTTGCTCAAAGTTCGATGGTGCCGCGTTGCATGTACGGTACGGTAAAGGTACAACAATACGACTACGCTACCGTACACAACACTATTCAATCTAAGAGCTCAGCAAAGCCCGATCAAAACCAGCCCAGGCAAGAAGCACACAACTGAAACCTGCAGAAGCAAAAGATCGCGATGTTTTTAGCAAAGCCAGCCAGCTCCGTTAGGTTTGGAGGAGAGCTCAGTTTTTCATTATTTTAGACGAGGAGGAGCTCATAAATTCGATTCTCCAAACATCGAAAGCACTTTCTCTCTGAAGTACTTTCATCGTTGTGCTCCTTTGCCACCATGGCGCTCTAGCGGCCTCCGCAGAGCGCGTAAATAGCAATGGACCATGACGCTGAAAGTCGACCAACGCCGCCACACGACATCAACAGTCAGCCCGAGCGCTCCTTGATCAAGAAGTTTGTATCTTGACCATGGCGACGCTCGCGCACTTGTTGTTGATGTTCGTGTGCGCCGCATCCGCCCAAACAAGAAAGCAACGGACAAGCACGTCAACTCCGCGCGACAACAAACGTCCCCAAGGCAATCCATGATCAAGGAAATTGTACCTTGACCATGGCGGCGCCCGGCAGGTCGCTTTTTGTCCCGTGTCGTTGGTGCTTGTTTGCGCCGCATCCGCCAACGAAGAAAGCAACGGACCGTCAACGAACGTCATCTTCAAGCGACATCAACAGTCAGCGAGGCATTCCATGATCAAGAAAATTGTACCTTGACCATGGCTGCCTCACTTCGAAACAAGCAACGTACCATGGCGCTACCGGTAGCCGTCAACGAACATCATCTTCATGGACAACAAACATCTTCTAGGCATTCCATGATCAAGAAGTCTGCACCTTTTGACCATGGCAATGCCTGTAGAATTGTTTGCTGTCCTGTGTATTAGGCATTCGTTTGCGCCGCATCCATCTTTCAGCACCACCTGACATCCCGAGGCACTCCGTGATCAAGACGATTGACCTTGACCATGGCGAAGCCCCATCGGTTGACTGCAGGTTTTGGGGTACGGTACTGGGGGCGATGGTCGTTTGCGCCGCATCCATCCCGATACCAACAGCATCCTGAGGCACTCCGTGATCAAGACGATTGACATTGACCATGGCGGGCCCAGAAGGCTTGTTGTTCGTCTCGGGTACGGTGTGGTACTTGGGCGTGTGTTCGTTCATGCTTCCATTTCGACTCCATGGCGTCCTCGTCGATCATGAACTATCACAGGACCGTCGCGAGCAGCCAAAGGAAGAAAGGGAAGCAAAACCAAGCCAAGACCTCAACACCACCATGACGCCAGGTCGCCCACGATCACGAAGCCAAGTCTTGGCCGTGAGATGACCCGACGCGTCATGGTGAGGTTAGGTCGATTGAATCAGCGAACCCACTCCCATATCTTCCATTGCCTCCTTGTCACTTTGATGGTACTTTATTGCCAACGCACCAAGCTGAAGAAGGCAGGATCGAAGATTGATGACCCCGGCACCATGATGAAGCGAAGTCGCCGTGCGATCAAGAAACTGTGTCTTGGCCATGTGTGCCGCCTCCGTTTTGTTATGCTGGCTGGATCATTCTTTCTGTCATTCTTTCTCCGTTGTCGACCGGATTGGAACGGGATCACTCTTAGTGCTGGAACCCGTCTCGAAGAAATTGGTGCAGTCTGTGTAGCCTCTGGTACATTTGCTACACAGGTTGAAGTTTTGGAGACATGTCCCGACTCAGTCTGGAGTGTGACATGTTAACGGTCACAAAACTGGCGCTTTCTGTTACTTAGGGTGGGCTTCTCAACTGGTTCCAACAGGAACACGTCTCCGCTGGTTGAGTCTCGCTGTCACTTAAGTCTCGCCTGGCCGGTCTCGCGTGTTCCGAGCCGTTGGCTCTCCTTTCCACTCTCGCCCGTCCAGTCTCGCCTTAAGTGCCATCTCGCCTCTAAACCAGAGGAGACGTGTTCCTGTATAGAACATCACTGCCAACGCTCTGAGTCATCACGTTTGTGAATCAAGTCGACACCGAAGGAACCATCAGAACGAACCTCTCGGATTGACCATTGTCAACGCACTGAGCGTACTCTTTCACATGTGGGTCGATGACTGGTTTTGGGGACTGTTCTTTTTGCTGGAAAACCTTTTCCAGCACACTGAGCTATCCTCCATTCTCTTCATCGTCGTGCAGCCGTATCCTTTTGTGCTTCTTGTTTCCAATTCGGCCTGAACCGAAGACTGATTCAAGGATTGTTCTTTTTACTGGCAAGGTATTGCCAGCACACTGAACGATCACTTTGTCGATCTTCTGTCTTGTTGTTCAGGATCAGCCCAGCCAGTGGCAGACTGCATGGAAGACGGAGCAGACCGAAACTGGACGTGCGGGTCGATGACTGATTTGACGACTGTTCTTTTGGTTGGGAAGCCATTGCCAGCAGACTGAGCGATCATCGAACAACTCATCGGCTTGCAGCCGTGTCCTCTCGTGTCTCCAATGTGTTCTGGAGTGAATACTGATTCGAGGATTGTTCTTTTTGCTGGAAAGCCATTGCCAGCACTCTGAGCGTTCCTTCTGGTTTGATGTATTCACTTCAGCTCAGTAGGGAAGCAGACACCTCATTGTTTGCGAGGCAGCCAATATTATCTTCATCATCTTGCAGTCCTCTTTGCTTGCTACGTCTTCTGGGGCAAAGGGAGAGCCGGTTCATTGTGTTGGAAAGCCTTTGCCAATGCTCTGATCCTTCCCTTCCGTTCTATTCCAGCAAACTAGCAGACGACGGAGAAGACCAAGCTGTGTTGAAGATGAAGGGAGACCGAGACTGGATTGAAGTTGGACTGCATGATTCCTTTGTGTGTTTGGTAGCAATTTGCCTGCGCACAGGGCCGTCATTCGGGTTGCTCCTTCAATCCGGCAGATTTGACTCGAAGACAGTAGGAAAGGAAGACTGAGACTGGATTGAAGATGGACGTCATGATGAATTTGTTTGTTGGAAAGCCATTGTTTGCCAGCACACAGGGCCGTCATGCTCGTTTCTGTCATCAATCCGGCACGGGATTTCAGAACGTTTGGTCGTGTGGAGCAGTGTTCGTCAACTTCAACAGCGGTGAGCTGGTCGATCAGCCTGATCGTCATGCTGTCCCGTGGTTGATTTGCTGTGCGCTGCTCCTGGAGTCGACGGATCTTGGAGGGCCCCGGGCTTGCGCGACGTTGCTTGAGTCCATGAAAGAGAGAGCTTATCTTTCCAGTTCTCAAGCATTCGTCTTCTTGTCTAGGACCCTTCTTGAAGTCTACGTCCTCTCTCGACTCTTACTGACCACAAAGACCACAGACCTTGCCATCTGATGGGCAGGATTCGAGTCGTGAAGAGTCTACTTGTGTGCCTCTTCTCTCGACTTTAATCCTGATCTCAATTGGCAAGGCTGCAAACGGAGCATGAAGACCTTGCTGAGTGTCAGGGCGTGAAGCAAGTCGCTGAAGAGTCCAAATATATGCCTCTTCTCGACTTTCCCTGGCTTTGGCACTGGCCAAGGCTCATCTTCTTGCGGTGCCATCCTTGATTCAGACGAAGCAAGTCTGGAATGCCGTTGCTGCTGTCGTTGATGATCAGGGATGCCGTACTCAGCATTCTTTGCAGACTGCATTCATCATCCTTGGATCTGCGTTGAGCTCCTTCCGAGACTGTTCCCCGGTACCATTGTGGTATTTCCTCCCTATGGTCGGCTTTGCGTCCATTCTTTTTACGTGAACGCAAAGTTCTGGCCATTTTGAGGCAAACGTCACAATGTCTGGTATTCTTTGGACTTTCTGCTGCCTGAGATTGTCCTTTGCAATGCTAACCACCTGCAGGAACCTCAACGTTCAAGACTCGCTTGATGAACGTCAAGGTGCCTCTGAGATGGAATTGCTTTGCAAGGGTCAGTTCATTCGCCGGTTGTCTGGGCAAAAACTACCTGCTTGATCATTTGAGGCTGTGGGATTGTCAGCGTACACCCTTCACTAGCTACGGCTTCCCAAAGCTCTTGAGTGGTCTGGAGCACTGACAAGATCCTGTGGTGGTCCTTCTTTTCAAGAATGCCCTTCTTGATGAGTTTGGCGACCTCGCTTGGATCTTTGTTGGTGCTGAGATCTTTGCTTCCCTGCTGAGCTGCTGGTGACAAGCAAATCCTTCCTTCAAGCTTCCTACTGCTTTGAAAATCTTGGATTCCTGAAGCGGACTCTGACAATCTTCCCTGCTCAGCCCAATGTGACACGCAAATCATTACAGCATCAAATCTTGTGATGCTGCATGCTTTGCCGGGTTCCACGTGCGTTGAGCGGAGATGAGTTCACAACAATGTTGCTCGTTGGACCTGCTCCCTCCTTTAAACCTCCTACTTCTTTGAATATCTTGGATTCCTTGCTGAGCCTGACTTTTGCAGGCAAATCATTGCAGCATCAAATCTCGTGATGCTGCATTTTTTTGCCTTGTAGAAAGACAGCACTCAGCTACCCTCCACGCAATTCTTGGAAAGCACCACGAGGAGATAATCACATCATCTCAACAAGTCGACGACTTGAAGGCATTCCGTTCGACCAAGAAATATTTTTTTGATCGTTCGGGGCGCTGTTTCGAGTTGAGCCTTGTTGATCTGTGACACTTCCCTTTTCGTACTTTCTTTGCTGCTGAGCGCGTGAAGAGTGCAAGACAAATCATTCCAGGACCAAATGGTGTGGTGCTGGATGTTTTGCCATTCGCTTTTCATTTGCTCTGCAGTCAAGAACTGACGAAACGGTTGTTTTTTCGGTGAAAACATGACGAGGAGATAATCACATCATCTCAACAAGTCGACGACTTTAAGGCATCCCGTTCGACCAAGCAACATTGTTTTGATCGTTCGGGGCACTGTTCGGGGTTTGGACTAGCTAGTTGATCTGATGTCACTTCCCTTTTCGTACTTTCTTTGCTGCTGAGCGCGTGAAGAGTGCAAGACAAATCATTCCAGGACCAAATCGTGTGGTGCTGGATGATATGTCTTCTCTTTTTCGTTCCGCAGTCAAGAAACGACGAAAAGAAGCTTCCCCAATTGGTTGGTTTTCCTCGCCGACCACAAGAATGAATCGAATCGAATCGAATCGACGGCAGTAAATCACCTGATGCAGTGCTGTACCAAACGCTTGAGGGCCCTATATGTGCGGTTGGAGTGCCATCACCTAGAATTCTTGTCCTTGGCAGTCATCCCACGACAAGCACAATTCTCGAGGAGGGTGTCCAAGTACGCACCTGAGGCTCTCGGTCTTTGAAGTAGCCAGTAATTCTTTTAAATATTGTAGATATATGTTATTATTTATTAACCTTTAGCTCATCTTCCCCGCCATTGATTTTCGCGATGGTGTTTTAGGAAATTTCCATAGACTTTATCATCGCTAGATCGATTCTTGTGATTGTTGTTGTTATTGTTGTTTCTGCCATTATGTTGCCCATTGTTGTGATTGTTATTATTTTGAGTTTGACTCGCCACAGCCTTTCCACGAGCGGCATCGAATCCCACTCGCCCCGGATCGTCGTCTCCTTCTGGCACTGATTCGGTTGTTGCTGTTGTTGGAACGGATGCAGTATTATTATTTCGTTGGTTGCTTGGAAAATGTCGATGTCGATCGGCTGCCGATACTTGAAATCGTGCGGCTCCGGCGGGAAGAACCGGTACCTGTGATTTGGGCATATTTCCATAGCTTTTATTATTATTGTTGTGATGGGCGTGTTTGCGTGGTCCCACAGCCGCTGCTTCTTGTGTGGCATGGACTGCCTTGATGCGTTCATCGACTGGCAAAATGACTTCTGCCAATCCGGTTCCCGCCACCAACATGGCGCCACCCGTTCCGACATCTCCATCTTTTTTCGAGTCGCCTTGATTCGTGGAACTGGACCGTCCCACCATATTTTCGGACGTTTGAGCAATTTGTCGATAGAGTTCTTCCTTGGTCAGTTTGTTGTTATTGTTTGGATTGCTGGTTGTAGAGTCATCCTGATTGTTGTTTGTTATGGATGTTGGCTTATTATTATTGTTGTCTCCCCCGACCATTCCCACCAATTTGGATTCTACGTACTGTTCCAACGCTTGTTTGTGTTTTTGTTCCATGACACCTTCTTGCGATCCATCTGGCTGATCAACTGTAGTAGAAGTGCCATCCACTCCAGCAGCAGAGTCCAGGGCAGAATCGTCTCGTCCCTTTAACAGCGATGCCGCATCGGTTCCTTTTTTGTACTGCAGTTCGGTCAACAGCTTGCGCTTCTTCTTGACACGAGCAATCGTGGCCGCTGTTTCATCTTCTTCCTGCTGAGCCTTTTGGGTCGACTTTTCTTCTTCTTCTTCCTCATCCTTCTTGCGCCGCAGGGCACCCTTTTGTTTCACGTTGCGTTTGCGGGCCTTGAACATGATAATAGTCTGGTGGATACAGTATGCTATTGCAATCAAGTTCGATAGTTTTGGAGGATGGCGTGGCAATTGAGCCCCTTTGGTTGTTGGATTGGTGGGTGGACGGAGGAAGGATGGAAGGACTTGGAGTCACGAATTAATGTGACTCGCCTAAATCAGACCGTTACACTCCCCGAAAGGCGAACCCAAACGGTTCCAAGGACCGTTGACCCACAACACCGCTATGGTGGTCTATTCGCAACAAAAATACATACAAACACTACTAGAGCTAGTAACCAACCATGGTCCAATCATCAAGTCGATGGGCGAAGCAAGTGAAGCGCCACCATGATGTGATTCATGGTAGAGCCAAACAAGGGATCATGCTGTCTTCGATGGTCCTTCTTGTCATTTACTCCATCAACGCTTCCTTTTTGGGCATTGAACGAGCCAATCGAGAACTCTTGCTGCTCGACAACAAGTACAGTTCCTACTACCGGTATGTCAAGACACAGTCACTGAAACCACAAAATAGATCCACATACGATGAGTACAAGAAAAAGTCACTGCAACCATCATTCCTACTAGAAGATACTACCACTTTTCCAACCAAGGAAGAAACCTGTCAACACGTCCAGCCCATCATGACGACAACACATCCACCACTGGTACGGACAACGGACTGGACGGTGGTGCTGTCGACCAACTCTGCCTTTGTCGACTTTTTCCAGAATTGGTGGGAATTCTACTTGGATCTTGCCATTCATGATAATAAGATACAAGTGCTGGTGCTAGCAGAAGACGACCATGCGTATGAGACACTGACCAACATGACACGACAATACCACAATGCACACTTTGTAGTGGTACGAACCGATTACAATACTTCCACATCGCGACAAAGCGAAGGACACAACTATGGATCACGTCAATATCAAAAACTCATGGTGACGCGACCATCCAGACTCTTGAGTGTGGCATGTTCCTTATTGCCCGGCAATAACAACTTGATCTTTGCAGATGTCGATTCCGTCTGGAAAAAGAACCCTCTTCCATTGTTACAAGAACAACTCAACAACTATGACTTGGTCGCACAAGTAGACGACCCACTCGACACCCCCATTGGATACTGCGCCGGATTCCTGGCCATGAAAGTCAACACTGCCACACTCTATTTACTGGCGCAATGGGATGCTGTTGCCACGGAACGATTCCAAGCAAACCAACTTGATCCAGGGGGAGATCAGACTGTCTTGCGGGAACTCGTGGTCAACATGGCAGGGTTGCGGCATCACGGGCTCGACATGACCTTGTTTCCACCCGGACGAATCTATTTCAATACAACAACAAACGCGACGAGAAAAAAGGCTGTCGTGGTGCACAACAATTGGATTGTCGGTAGACGGTTCAAAGAAATGAGATTTCAGCAATATGGGTTATGGAAACTGACCGGACGAGGGGATAGGGTGGATGCCTCGGATCCATATTACAGAATCAAAAAGCTATTGCAACAAGCCGGTCGAAGTTACAATACTAATAATGGGCTGAGAACAACCACAACAACAACAACAACAACAACAACAACAACAAAGCCTCAAGGATAGCACCAGCAAACAGGCAGCTGATGATTACTACAGTACTGGTATCATCAGAGGGGGGCGCATCATCGTGTGGTGCGACCATCTATGCAACTCGCTGGACTGTGTGCCCTTGGTGGCCCTGACGATGCAAACGTTGTGTCTGCAACCCAATGGGTAGCTAGCTAGTTCACAACTATATTTTGCTCTACTAAATCTCTTTATAGACCAATAGGATGTCGATTTATAAAGTGTTCTATAACTAGCTAGTGACATGATTGGGATTGCTTGACCGTACTCATCCTTTACTAAATATATGATTGTGAGCTGTGCACCAAGTGTATTGTTGGGTCTTCAAGTAAGTGTCGAGTTGAGCGTGATCTTTCCACATGCACTCCATGTACATGTAGTACTCTTGGTTTCTTTGTCTTTTAGACGAATTCCTCTGCCATTTGCAAGTCCTGAGCCGCAAGGACATCCCTGACACACATCTTTGTATGTGACGTCCAGTGGGCACACGCTTCCTTGGCCTGTTCTTCCGTAATAGTTCGACTACTGCCTTCCCGGAGCTGCCGATGCTCCTCCGCAATAAAGGGAGGTGGAATAATGCACTTTTCGGGGTATTGCGGTGCCCGTTCCGTCTGAAAGAGCATTCCATCCATCTCCGGCTGTACCTGCCACTCTTGTCCCATTTCATCCATGTCGGTAATGACTCGTGTTCCATCTCGAGCCAACAATTTGCCCGTGACAAAGTTTCCCATCATACCGACGGAATCTGCAAAGTCCACTGCCAAGGGTTGATCAATCTTGACACTGACCCAATCTTTGAGTGTCTTGATGACAATGCGACGATCTTCTTCCAGAAAGATATCAAACATGTGTGATTTCTCATCCCGGGCCAAATGAGCCACGGGCAGACCCCCGACAAAGGCTGGTAGGGGAGCACCCTCGACTCCATTGAGAAAGTAGTCTCCGTACGAGGAAATCTCCAGAATATCATCGCCAATCTTGATGGCTGCCAAACACACAAAATAAAAGATGGAAAGGGTGAGAGCGTATCATAAATTGGCAGAGATGAAACAAGACTGTCTTCAAGTATTTCTGCGCTTACCTGCTGATTCGATAAAGGAGTAGTCCATTCTGATGATCACAAAAGGAAAGAACATGGATAAGTTGAGAGGAACAAAGTTGACTCGTCACTCATCGATGCATGCTTGTGTTCTTTGGACGGGGCTGCTCTCATGTGAGTTCCAAAGGGGTATCTAGCTAGCTTGTTGCTCACCTGACTTTGGTTCGGGTGTGTATTTCGAGTCCCTGTCCATTTTGAAAGCTGGGGGCCCTGAGGAAAAGGATATCACAACCACCTTGAAAGTCGTATATTTGTCCATGCCACTGTTTGTAGTGTGGATCTCCATTGGTGCCAGGACTGGGTGCACAGAATCCGTAGTGTTCAAGGCACCACGGTCCCACCACGGCTGGATCGTCGAATGCCGATGGATCATCCGGAAAGGAACCGTCGGAATTGGGCACTCCATCGGGGAGGTACATGTTCAGATACGGAACGTCATCGGGGACACGAGCAGCATCGTATCCGGCCCTCAGCTTGGTGGCATCCATGGGACGATTGTAGCCATCCAGACTGACCGGTGGCGTCGTGAATTCTCCCTGCGGATCCTCGTGAAACTTAGACTTGGGAGACCAATAGTACTCGATCTCCTCGTCCTCTATATAAGTGGCAGCATCTTGGCATTGACCGGCCTTGGCACACCATTCCCAATTCTCAAAATGAGTCGGATAGACACCTTCGGGAGCCGTACTCTGTTGTCCTCCTGGAATGGACAATGCAGTGGGACTTGTACTGACGAGAACCAGCAGTCCAAGGACAAGAGCATTCAGACGCGACATCATTGTCTCTGTTGGATGAGTACTAGTAGTAGCTGTGGCAACAAAGGGAGTGGAGGCGTAAAAACAAACGCTCAACCGCTTGACGGAATTAAATTGTGAGATGCCGTGGTCTGCCGCCAAGCTTGGAGCTTGAAAGGCATAGTGTCCATAGAAGCGCCTAATTATTGTTCCCGAGTTGAGTTGCTTTGTTAAATCTCTTCTGCCTGCGACTCATCCGTGACTCGTGGTTCAACTGTGCGTACAGCTTCAATTCTCCCCACGCTCATTGGAGCGTGGAACATTGATTGATCACCACAAGAAACCAAGAGTCATGGTCTCTCAAGCGCTCTTTCAAGCTTTTTCGAGACAACCCTTGTGCGTACGGTACTCTGCATCTGGAGATAGATGCCGAATTCATCAATCAGCAGAGGATCTTCAAGATAGGTTTGTCAGCTACAAGGATTGTATCATTCTAGCTAGTCTAGCTAGTCCCGGTATTGTACCTGGCTGAAAACACGTCTTTGCAGTTATTTAATTAATTAGAAGTGGCAACGAACACCACAAAATTTGCTACGTTACGCTCTTTCACTAATATATTGCTGCCACTGACAATCCCGGGCGATTGGTCCATGGAAAGGTCCATAGAAAAGTAGTTCAATGAAGACTGCGACGACGTGGCCAACGCATGCCGTGAGCATCCATCTCTCCGTGGATTGGTACCATGCTTGGGACAGCCCCACAAGAAACACAACACGTGCAGCACGAACATTCAATGTAAGCGTTGTTTCCTTGACCACAATCCGCTTCCAGGGTGCTCAAGAAGCCGTCGGGGCCCGTATTCGAACAAACTTGGTCTGGCATGATACCCATCAGCATGTTGTCTTCCAGTTCCAAAATTTGCAACTGAAACAGGTCGCCCATTTCGAAAGGGATTGTCCCGGTCAGCATGTTGTCGAAAAGCCAAAGGAATTCTGATAAGAACGACAGATCATTACAAAAACGTGGAAGAAGAAGAGACACAAGCATGAGAGTTGTCCTGGGTACAACATGGCCACGCTCGTCATTCATTCATTCATGTCATGCGATGACTTACTCAGCTCCCGAAGAAGGCCAATTTCTGCGGGTATCGTCCCCGAGAGACCGCAGCCTGACAAAGACAAGCTCTCTGATAGTTGAAAGAGTACGACGATGTTGAGAACACGGTCCAAGACATGCATGCGACGCATTCTTTTTTTTGCTGCTGAGGCGGATTGTCCTTCGACGACTTACCGAGAAAAGGCGAATGGGCAATGCTCGTGGGGATTGTACCACCAAGGCTGGGATTGTTGCCAAGCCAAAGATCGACTGTTGCGTGGTAGTACAATGACACGGATGATAAGATTCAGACTGCTTGTGTCGCCAGGGCAGCCGATGACACACGAGCACTTCAAAACACCACTCAAAGACAGAACACGTACCAAGGGGTGATACCATACTTTCCAGAAAGTACAAACCTCCCACCAGATGTGCGTCTCCCATGTAGAGGTGCTCTAGGATGGATAATATTGGGAACCTGGCGTGAGATGGCTGCTGGCCGCCCCCGTCTCAAGCCCGTCTGTTTTCTAGTGCGAACTTACGAAGATTGGGCATCATTCCGATTTCCATCGGAATCGTACTGTTGTAAACATTTCCACCCAGCGACAACCATTCTGCCGTAAAGACGCGGACGAAGCACGTGAGCATAGTTCGTGTTTCAACGATTCGATTGAATCATTCAGTTCATTAGTGAGATGTTTTTACGCACCCATTCTTTCCCACATCACAAACAACTCTGGCTCGATTGGGCCGGAGTAGAGTGTATTGGAACAGTCAAACTCCACCAAGTTTGTCAGCTCCATGAGATAGAAAGGAATGCCATGATGATACTCGAAGTTCGTGCTGCCATAAAAGAGATGCTGCAACTTGTACATTTCAATCAGCCAGATGTGACCATCGTCACCATGATTGTGGACAGGGTTTTGAAACAGGTCGAGGTATGTAAGGTTTCCTGCCAGAATCATTGTTTCATTTGGGAATGTCCCAGTCAATCGATTCGAAGACTGGAGAGGTATCATAGTGAGATAGTAAAAACAAAAACTGTGAAGCTCTACGGTCCATCCTTTTGCCTTCATTGTGACTTACCAGATCGAGAGATTCTACAAACGAGTCCCTGGTACAGTTGACCCCGAACCATTCGCACTCCGAAATAGGCTCGAGCCACCCAGCTGAATCGATCCATCCTCGTGTGGAAGATACCGTGTATGGGTTAGGCACAGCGTAGGTGGCAAAGTAAATGCATGCGAGCGCATAGCGCTGCCAGATCCTTTGCTGAGAGAGACCATCATAGGCAAGTTTGTCATTTTCCAGCCATTGAATCGCCTTTGCCTGGTACGACGTTCCGTCCCTCCACTCGGAACCGCCTTGGAGCGCCACATGAGTGACAATGATTCTGATCTCTGATGCCATTCCGTTGGGCATGTATGTCATTGGAGACTCAGTGTGGTAATAGTGTGGCGTAGTGGGCACTCTGGTTCTTGGATAATCAGTCGGGTAGTTATAGGGCTCCCGAGTTTCTGGCGCGTCCGCTAACTGAACGGCAAAGCGCACCCTATCACCACAGTTGTCGTACTGGACAGCAAGGAAGGCCGTGTACATGTCCTGGCCATTACGATCAACAACATTGACAATGTATGGTTTCGAGTCAAACGATATGTGCTCTCCAGCAGGTAGGGTGGGGTCCTCGCAGTCCTCCATCAAATTCAGCATTTCATAGTCAAAGTCGTTTTGCACCATCGCCTCGTCCACTCTTGCGTCCACCCTGCCATAGTTATGAATTGTATAGGTAAGTGTGATCTCCTCCACGATTGATTGCACACCTTGATCAAGGTTGCTGAAGCTCACAACCCGCAGAGCTCCAAAGTCTTCCGAGAGAGTGAGGTCTCTTCCTGCCGTTCCAAGACAAGAAAGAGGAACCCTGTGGATAACTTGAAGAGGCAAGCCGGGTCTAGGAAATCCTACTGGCACGGTGGAGATGACGATGGTCACAACACCACAATCTCTAGCATCTACAGTGAAGATGCGACCGTGCTCGACAACTCCTTCATAGACAATATCGTAGCCGTGCTGCATGAGAACGTAGTACTGTTGTTCTTCAAGGTTTTGGTATGGGTATGTTTCTTCGCAATGGTTGGTGTAGGCGCAAGTATTCCCCGTCACCATGAAAGATACCGAGTCTGCGTAGCCGTCATAAGAGTCACAGACGAAGTGAGATGGCCCCATGATATAGTCGCAGCTTTGACCACCACTAGTTCTGCAAGAAATCTCCGAACCAACAGAGCAAGCACCATCGAAGTATGGGGAAGGACTGCTGGTCGTATACAACCGAGTGGGCGCTTCAGTGTAGCTCGTGGCAGCCTGTTGTGGCTCTTCTACGTCTTTTTCCAAGTCATGATCATTCTGCTCATTGCCATTGTTGGCTCCGTTGATATCATTAGCTGTTGGTTCTTGTGTTCTCATTGGAATTGGTATACCCGTTGGTTCTGATGTGGTCAAAGGGATGATTGCTGTTGGTTCTTGTGTTCTCATTGGAATTGGTATACCCGTTGGTTCTGATGTGGTCAAAGGGATGATTGCTGTTGGTTCTTGTGTTCTCATTGGAATTGGTATACCCGTTGGTTCTGATGTGGTCAAAGGGATGATTGCTGTTGGTTCTGGCATGGTCAAACGGATTGCTGTTGGTTCTTGGCTGGGGCAAAGGGACTGCTGTTGGTTCTGGCATGGTCAGAGGGATCGCAGTTGGTTCCGGCTGGGGCAAAGGGATCGCTGTTGGTTCTGATGTGTAAGGGATGGCTGTTGGTTCGGGCATGGTCAAAGGGATTGCAGTTGGTTTTGGCTGGGGCAAAGGGACTGCGGTTGGCTCTGGCATGGTCAGAGGGATCGCAGTTGGTTCCGGCTGGGGCAAAGGGATCGCTGTTGGTTCCGACTGGGGCAAAGGGATCGCTGTTGGTTCTGATGTGTAAGGGATGGCTGTTGGTTCGGGTCACGGTAAAGGGATTGCTGTTGGTTCTGGCATGGTCCAGGGGATGGCTGTTGGTTCCGGCTGGGGCAAAGGGATACTGTTGGTTCGCATGGAAGGATGGCTGTTGGTTCAGCATGGTCCAAGGGATGGTTGTTGGTTTTGGCATGGTGTTTGCAGGAATTGGAAAGCCTGTTGGTATGGTGGTTGATACAGAGCTAGAAGAGGATGTCAATGCAGGGGTGGGGGCTGTGGGTGCCAATGGGTTTGGTTGGTCCCTGGCAAAATCAGCAGTGGAGCTCGGAGCAGCAGTGGATACAAAATAGATGCTCGCCTCCCCGGAAAGGATAGCACCCCAAAAGGTCTGGCAGAATTTAAGAGCTCCCAGGATGTTCATGTTGTCTTTCAACGTTGGGAGAAACTTGGTCGGATAGACTGGTGTCCTCTAAAAAGCGAGACAGAAAGGCTACCTTTCAAACTATGCCTCCAAGACCATGGATTGCCGAACGTATCTTGAAGCCGGAAGCTGCCCATGTTTAGCATCCCACTCCAACGGCTCCAAAGATTAGGTCACCCCAGATAGATGGCCGACACAAGGTATGATAATACTCTCTTGCATCGTATGTAAAGATCGGTTCAACGTCTTCAGCGATGTGGATCCTTTTGGATATCAACTCTTGCGCCGGAAAGTGTTCCGTACCGGTATCTTTTTGAGCACGTGACCATCCACCCTTCGTTGATGTTCCGGATGATGATTTATTTATGGTTCATGGAGCAGCCAAACAACTGCAGAGGTGCACATAAGATTGACCTTCCTCTCTACTGTATCAGGCAGGTACTACCGGTAGACTAGTATCGTAGTACGAGTACAGTATTGAGTACGAGTGTGCCCTTGCCCTGATCGCGCCTCTTCCAAGACTCGGTGTCAGTTTGAGGAGGGTACCATGGTCGCATTCTTAAGACTCGGAGGCATACACTTTGACCGAGTGCTTCGCAAGTGGCTGACTGGTACCTATTAACAGCTGGAAGGAAGTCATACTCACGAGCTGTGCACCAACTAGCTAGCCGCACTGGTACTGCGATGCTTTGCTGTGGTTTGCCATAGCTAATAAGCGGGCAGGAAATGCACGAATTTAGGGAGAGCGGCTGGCTGCCCCTCGCCATTATGCTTCCAGGCAGGCTCTCACAGCCGCTGGTTGATCAACTCGGCTAAGTCGTTGAAGCATTCCTGAAATCGACTTGAGCCTATTCTCTCTCCCGCCCTTGTGCTCTTCAGACGTACCTGGTACTGCACCTATTGAAAGGCGAGGCGGGAGGCAAAGGAGACCCAGCCGTGGACCGAAGCAATGTGGCGGAGGCAATCTGCGAACGGGCTGACTGGAAATAACCAAAACGCCAAAAGCAGCGACTCGGAAGCTGGCAGCTGAGTAGGTGCAGGATCAACGATGCTGTTGACCTTGCTTCATTGACAAGAAGATCTCCTCTCTGTCGGGCACTGACAAGACACCTCTCCTCGTCTTCGCACCAAACAGCCCAAGCAACCGGCTGTGCAACCGGTTCTGCTCCTACGCGTGGGCGCCGAGAGTTCTTGGAAGGCCATGGCTGGAGTTGGGACAATTGACCAGTTCAGTCCATGGCGGGACGAAGCAACGAGCTGGTAGCTTGTGAGTGTTGGAGTCGCCCTCTCCAATCACTCCTCGTGCAAGGTGAAGCTATGGGGCTACAACCTGGCTTGACACAGATAAGATAAACAGGCCTGACTGGCTGCTGACAGAAAAAACATGCTCATTGAGAGAAGCCATGGATGTGTTCACGTATCATTGCTGTCACTTGCAGATGGCAACAACGAAGAGCAAGAGCAGATGTTGCTGACTGAAAGACTACAGAGTGGCTACCGAACTTCTATGCTGAAACCTCCGCCACTATTTCTGGTACTCACTCCGGTCAAACTCTCGGAGGGAAGCCAGCCTGGCAGCATATTCAGATCCACACAGATGAAGATTGAGGCAGGATGAACAGAGCCAAGCAAATGGGTTCTGCGAGAGTGGCATCCGGCGCTCCAGCAGTATTTGGCAGGATCGTGGTTGAGTACTTGCGAAAGGGCGAAGGATGAACATGAACAGAGTTGCAGCCCTTATCAATAAGTCGGTAACGATGAAATGTTGATCTTCTCTCGGAGCATCCTACGTCGAGCTATTCTTCAGTAGTTTGGCTCCGTTCTTTCTTGCGTTGCATGAGTTGGACTTCGATAGCCTGCGAGACTCTTCTGGCAAGTGGTTAGCCATGAGTATCGCCGCAGAATCGAGTTTCTTTTTGGGTTATTCGCATCTTATATCCGACAGCTTCTGCCAGTGCATTCGACTTCATCAAACGCGATGTTAGACACCGGTACCAGTATCTTACTGCACGGTACTAGTAGTGCCATTGATGTCAACCTACCGGTATCAACGAAGCAAAGAGCACACGGAAAGTCCACTACCGGGCATCGTACCGGTATGTGAAGCGGATGGGCTGCGCTCCCCAGTTTGCGAGGACAGATGGAAGAACCCACCTCCAATCAATAGCCGATGGCCAACGGAATTTGCAAGCTGGTGAATTAATTGATGCCAAGCATTACTGGTATTAGCCAAGAGCTCCTTCCGCATAGTGCAAAATCTTTCACTAGCTACTATTAATAGCTAGCTATTAGAGAGTGGCTAGCTAGCTAGAATACAAAGAACAAAGCAATTGTGCCTTAAGGGATAGCCCCGATCTGTGGACTACTAGTAGTTGATAGTTTTCCAGTGGTCAAACGGCGGCGGGATAGCCACTCGAGACTGGAGGAACATCGGGCCTCGGGCCTAATGCTCCCCAGTTCACGAAGCAGTTCCCGGCACTCACAAAGCGCTGCAAATTTCAATTTGGAAGGCGAGTGAAGGCGCAAGGCGGAGAGAGCTGCGCACATACGGTACAGTCGTACCGTGACACTTGGTTGGTATTTACTGTTTATTCCTTACTGCCATGAGGTCAGTAAAAGGAGCAGTAATGGCAGTAATGCAGTAATTCCTCAGTAGCAGTAATCATACACAGTAATTTAGAGCCAATTGAAGGCAGTAAACTACAGTAATTGCAGTAATATAGGCTAATTACTGTCATTTACTGTCATTTACTGGATATTCCTGTTGCATAGCCCGATTACTTACTGCATGGGATTACTTACTGCAGTAACTAGGGGGCCAACAATGGCAGTAATTGGACAGTAAGGAGCCAGTAACCCGGATTTACTGCAGTAAATACCAACCAAGCCGTGACAGAAGCTGCTTCTCCGGAAGCCATTCGTAGCTTGAAAAGAACAAAACCATTTGTCTAATAAAGAAGAATTGAGGGGCAATGAGGTGGCCATCACTCAGCAGTAACACCTGCAGTAACGGTGAGTAGCTTGCAGTGCCGTATCTCCATTCGATCGCTACGAGAAGTGTGCCCTTCTTGATTCGATTCACGGTTCATGGAACCGGAAGACAGCTCTCGAGCTCTCGAGAGCTTCTCGAGTATTGTCGAGTACTTCGAGTACTGTTCTGTGTGTCTACCGGTAACCGGTATGTTAATTCCCCAGCTATTCCCCCTACAATGCTCATAACGATGGATGGATTTGAGAATTAAAGGTAATTTTTGCCCTTATGTTCTATGCTTCTATGTAAAATGAAAATGAAGCTCTAAGGGTGCACAGTGGGAGCTATGATCACGGTAATTGCAGTTCTCTTTTTGCGATAAGTTAAATTCTGGTTTTGGTACTGTAGGTTTGATTCTGGTTTTTCTAATCCGAAGGGATGGATGCACATCCAGCATGCATGCAGCCGCAACACAAACAGCTCACCAGCAAATGGAGGGTTCGGCTTGTTTGAGAAACAATGAAACATTGATCTGGAATAGCTTCTCGAAGTCTTGAAAGATGCCTGCACGCAATGCAAGGTGAGACATGTAGGCCAAAAGGGGGCAGGGAGTTTCGAGTTGATTGCATTGGGTTGACGAAGCAAGGGAAGCACCAGGTAGACTCAGTGGCTGGCGAGAAAAGGAAGCACACTACAAAATGGGCTTGAAGAAAGATATCAGCCAGCAACCGTGGCTTCATCGCTCCCACCGTATTTTGTAGTCTACATACCGGTAGCTGCCAAGAACCGGTAGCTGCCGAGAACCGGTGTGTCGGATCCATGTCAACTTGCTTGAAGTGCAAACAGCCAACACAAGATTGGACCAGACTGAGGTTGCACCCTTTTTTGTTGGGCGCTACAAAGCAGAAGTAGATTTCTGATGCTGTGGATTTTACACGAAACTCCTCTTCCCAACTCTCGACTCTACTCCAAGCTCCAAGGAGTACATGAGTGCTGGATAGCTTCAATGGTTTGATCATGCATTGAATTCTTATCAGTTACAGCAGGCACAGCAAGCTGGTAAATAGGCCTCCAATAATTGCTGCTAGCTACATGAGCTTTACATACATGTATGTTACATCCTTCATACATGTAGTATAGCTTAGGCTGGAAATTATTTGAATAAAGAACAGCCTGTTCTGAAAGAGATCTTCTTTGGTTCTGGAATAGATTGCGGAATAGAAGGAGTTAGGACACCCCCAAGATTCAAGAGACAATTAACAATTAGTATTTCGCGCAAGCTGTGGACTTTGGAGTGGAAAGGCTACCGTACAAACATCGACATAGCAGTACTTCCACCGGTTACCGGTACTCACAACAGCTAGTATCTATGGTGTGTTTTACAGACACAATGACTAATGGTAGCTACTCGTGTACTGACTACTGAGTACTCCGAATACCCATGACAGTCCAAACCAACGCGTCGACAAAATGGGCAATATTTAAATCTACCCAAGGGTTCTTGGATCACACAGGGAATGACGGCCACGACCAGAAGAGTGGTGTGATGATGTATGTGGGAGGGTAACCGCAAAATCACCGTCATATCTATGTCACTTCGTGAAAAGCGAAAAAGACGGGATTCCCGAACTGCCAGTCTTTGGAGTGCCGGTTGCTTTAGCTACTTAACGTCTCGGCCTGTCCTCACCACTGTCCTCTTTTGATTGGTCATTTCAAGATTCGTGGAAAGATGTTTTGGTCATTGTTGAATGTCACAGCTGGCTGCTTCGCTTCACACCAGTCTGCAACTGGTTCACCTGTTAATTGTCAAGAGGACATAACAGCATCTGGAACGGCTTTGGGTGTTCTTCCTGCTTCCCATCCCGCGACTCGTTGCTTCCGCGCTGGCAAAACAAAAGTGCTTTGAGTTTTTGCAGCAGCAAATTTGGGTATCTTCGTTTTCCTCTTTGCGCACGAAGCTGGTTCGATTATCTTCCCACTCTTCCCCACTTACCTTTGAAAAGGACAACCACAACCAAAAGATAGGAGCAACCCAAAAGGAGCAAGAGCTGTTGTCCTCATAAAAATTCGAAGCAATTCAATTAATTAGCACTGCAACTGAGTTGGTTCGGTAATTTTCCTCTGTCTTCTTTACCTTTCAGTGTTCAACCAATCCTTCCATCCACCATGACCTCTGTTCTCTTCCAGAATGCTGCCACTGTGCCTGCTGCTACCCCCGTGGCTGGTCCAGCACCTCCTCTGTCTGTGTTTGACATGAACACCCGAGCCATTGTCTGCCTCAAGGAAGGACGCGTCCAAGAGTGCATGGCTGGTCTGAGGGATACCCTCGTCCACACCCGCACGCGCCTCATGAACCATCAGCAACCAGAAGCCCCTGCTGTTCCTGCCCCCGTGGAACAGCAGCAGCCAAGCACTGCTGCCAAGGCTGCGGACGCCATGGAGGAAGATACCCCCCGTTTGCCCTTGCTCTCTCTCTTTAGTGTTCCTCTATTCACTCATCAGCAGCTCTTGGCTCCTGGAGATGACCTCAGTGCGCACTGTCCTCTCTTTGACCGCGCGTTTGTACTGGGCAGCGACAGTGTGGATCCCAACGACGAGACCTGGATGACAGACGCTCACTGCCAAAACGTTACCTTGGGCGTCATGCTCTATAACTTGGCTCTCTCTCATCACCTCACGGGTATCTACAAGGGAGTCTCGACCGAAGATTTCCGAGTGGCCATTAACCTCTACCAAATGGCCCTCAGTCTCGTCGAGTCCAGTATCCGACGAGGAGAAGACGAAGAAGGAGAAGAATGCCAAAATTTGGTGATTCTACTCTGTGCCATCTTTAACAACATGGCTAACATTCATTCCAGACACTTGCATGTGGAACAAACACGCAATTGCTTGGAATGCCTCAAGGAAATTGTCTCCTCCGTCGGTACCGTCGTGCCCTGCGTCGAAGAAGATCACTTCTTCTTCTACCTCAGTCTGTTTGTCACGGCGCCAGTGCACGACTTTGCCATTGCGCCGGCGGCCTAAAACGAGCACACACACACGAGATTTGGATTCCGCTCTTTTCTTTTTAGACTCATATTGATCCTTCTTCTGGAACCTCTTTGCAAGACATACACACACTTGCCGGTCGTTCCTGTCTCCCTCCTCCCCAAAGAGTCGTCTCACCACTCTTCTTCTACATACATGCATGCATCATTACTACAACTACAACACCTGTAAACCCAATTTAGTACATCACAATTATTCCACAAAAGTCTTCTAGCTATCTACCTATACTTGCTCTAGCTTAGCAAGCTAGCTTCTACTAGTCTCTTCTCATCATTTATTTTTGTCAGTACACTCCATCGCATTGCAGGCATGGACGAGGTGGTGCCTAGCTGGCTAGCTAGCCTTTGGAAGTCTACTACGGATACGAACTACTACGAGTTACGAGTTACGGTACCTATAAAACGAAGCCACAAACACATTGCAAAATCAACACGGGTACTACTATCCAAGTTCCCCTCTCCAAATCTAAAAGCTAAAAGGTATCTCAACGAGAAGAGAGGCGACCCCTGTTGTTCTCATTGGGACCCTTCGTGAGCCCCTGTAGCATTTTAGCTACAAGGGAGCCCTACGGTACGTGCTGCGGTCCAGGGGAGCGTCATCACCCCGAAGGATGATGTAGCGAAACGTTGCACTACTTACTATCCAGTAAGGTTCGCTTCTTTCCATCTACATGTAGTAGCATCATCAAGCTAGCTAGCCACCGGTGGTCAGCAGACCTAGCTAGTAGCTGGATGACTGTCGCATGTTGTAGATGCACCGTCGTCAACTCATCATGAATTGCTTGATTCCTCCTCGTGCGTCTACCAGTAATATGCCTCGAATGCAACGCATCATCACCGATCAATACGCACGAGGCCAGAAAGTGTCTGAGTTGTCTCCTAAAATTATTTTCTCCTCTGGCCTAGCTAGCCAGAGCTCGGGGGAGCTAGAGCTAGCTATTAATAGTACAGCAAGTTAACTTCGCCCTGGCTACTGGCTTTCTTTGCCCCAGTGAAGCGCATTCGGCAACCGAGGAGGATCGCCACCTAACCTCTCCAATGCACTTGCAACCCACCTAACTAACGCCCACCATGAATCACAGTCGTCATCGATCCTTAGAGTAGCCAGTCTTCTCGACCCCCAGCAGCTCGTGCATCCAGAAGAAGAACTGATACAACCGTCCAACCTCCTTCAGGTGATATTGACTGGGCAGTACCGTCATTTTGCTCATTGATAGCTTACGCAAACGGCTGGGGTGAGACAGAGGCTTCTTCAGGGCTTACTGACTCGACCGCGGAATATTACAGACGGCCAACACGTGTTGGTTTTGTTCTGTGATGCGTTAACTCCTGTCTTCTTGTTGAGAGAATTGCTTGCAGTATTCAATCATACTCGGCGAAGACTGGTAGACTGGTAGCCATTGCCCTTGCCTCGTGGAGTTGGTTGTTCTGGGGAGAAGGTCCAGGGCTGACTGAAAGAAGCTAGCCCATGGCAGCTCCCATGCATGGCTAAGTGCTATTGCTCGGTCTGGAAGTTGGACCAAGACTTGCGCTGACTCAGCATGATCGATCGTTGAGCCAGATGCACAATGCTGAAGTTGCCAACATCGCCGGTCGCTCCCAGCCAGCGACACAGGTTCTTCGTTTTTCCTAGCTAGCCAGTGTGGATCGGGTAGCTGGCCAGTGGGTCGCATCAATACCTCTCATCTGCACGATGGTTCTGGGCACTGCTTTGGTACAGTCGTAGTTCTCAGAGAAGATTTCACAAATGCTCAATAGGACGGTGGAACTTCGGCTCCTCTCTCTGAGTTGTTATTGTTTTGCCAGCATACTAGTACTACACTGTACTAGCCATACCTGGTACCGGTAGCTAGTAGACCAGTATGGTACCGGTGAATTTGTTTTTCAAGCGAACGTGCAACATCTCCTGGTAAAATTCAACTCCGAATTGAATCTCAATCGAACCGAATCGAATCATGAAAATGCCTTGGAGTTATTCGCACACGTGCTTGGACTCAATGCTACGTCAGAGAAAAGTGTAGGAGAAAGCAGCATTAAGTAGCAGTGGGTGCGTCATGTTGTGGAACAATTGGAAATACAGTGACAGGTGACACCTCCAGGTGCTCTACTTTACTATTTTAATTAAAATAGAGTACGACTGTATTCGGGTGAGTGGTGAGTGTCATGCCGCTTGTCGCTTGCCGCTGCTGCATTCGTTGATCCTGGTACCGGTACTGGTTTCTCTTTTGTCGGCCCCATGCGCAGTCTGGTCCAGTATGGAGAGAGGCAAACTTCTTTCACCGCGCGTTGACCATTCCTTTGAGTTTTGAGCTTTGAGTTGAGAAGCCCCAAGAGCCAAGAGAACCAAGCACATTGAAGGGTATCCTTTTTTGCTATCCTTTTTTAAAAGAGTTGCCACTCAACACTCTACATAGCTCTCTAACGGTACATGTAAGCATGCCTACCGGTGGATCGATGCTGTCCTCCAGCCGGCAAGGAACGCATCGGACTGCTCCCAGAATTTAACCTAATTCAGCAAGATCCCGCAGAATTTGCCTCTCGGCCTCTTGGTCATTGCTGGAAGTTTCAAGTAAGTGCCGGATGGAAAAAGAAGCTAAAAAGTACTGATTAATACTCACCAGTGATTCAAGCATTATGTCGTTCGGATATAAGAGCCGATTGAATATGAACTTGCAGTTGCATCGGTACGGCTGCTCCTTTGCACCGCATTTTGAACAAAAAACGAGATAAGGGTTGTTCGCCGCGTTTGACCAGCAGCTTGTGGCGTCTGTTGGTCGTTGGTGTCTATCTACCAAGCTACCGGTAGCCCAGTACTGTACTAGTAGCATGTAGCCAGCTCCTCGAAGGCTAGAATACATACTACTCGTACTAGCTAGTAGAGCCCAGTCAGCTCGTCGATAGTCGATAGTAGTTGCCACAATCTACAATCTGGTACCGGTAGAGCTGCTGGGCAAGAGTGGGTAGGTTCGTTTATTATTTGACCACTATCTTGCTTGGAGCCATAAGCCGCATGCACGAAGAGTTCACGCCAGAAATCCATTCAAACTAGCTTAAAAACTGGTGGCAGCTGGCTGATATAGAATGCTTCCATCTTCCATCACTTTGCATCTTGTGCCGAACTTTCCAACTTGATTGCTTCTCTTACGTTGATCTTGTGTTGACGGGACCATGCTTCCAACTACAATTGCTCTACCGCTTCCTGCACTGGTAGTTGTGGGCTGAGTGCTGGCCGGAGGGCTGAACTTGGAATAGATGCAGCTCCTTGATCCTTCAAGACGTCGTCCTCGTGGAAGGCATCCTCGAATTCATCTTGAAACGAACTGGCTGGCTGCTCCAGCAACTATCCAAACATCCAAACCCTTTAGTTAATCGTCGCTCGCCTGCAAGTGCATGCAACCACTAGAAACACTTATTAGCCACCTGCCCTTCCAAGTAAAACAAATGTTTGTCTTCAGGCAGGTTGGCGCGGAGGTGTGAAGGTTGTTTTCAGTAGTAGGTTTCGCCCCCTGGTCCCTCTTCGAGTTGAAAATGCGATTGCCCACCGTCTGCTGCTGACCGGCCCTTTCGCGTCCTCGTAGTAAGCAAACCTTCACGTGTCCTCGCTCGGCTGGCTGGCTGACTGGCTGGCTGGCCCTTCTTCTTTGATGGAGCGATTTGGCAAGGAAGCACCGCTCAGAGCGTCCATGCTTCGCTGGGAGCGATGGTTTGGGTTGACCTGAAATCTAATTATGGACAAAAGTGCCCGCTCTATTGCGATGAACCCGATACAATGCACGTCCAAGGGATTTCATTCCAAATGGTGTACAGACGGTCTGAGTCAAGTGCTGTCTGATGCCTCCGCATGCCAAGATTTGCAACATGCAGCACGGCGCATGGATGAACCAGTTTCCGCTTTCCAGTCTCCCCACTTGGCCTGTCCAACGTCATGATCTCGGTTCCTGAAGATGGCCGTGCACTGCCACATATGGAAATGGCGACGATCGCAAGCTTGGACCTTCTTGACTTCAGTTGCGACTTCAAAATCCAGTCAAATCACTCAACGACACTGGCAGAAACTTGAAAGGGTCAATTCAACAGGCAAGATGATGTTCTTGGTGGGCAAATTTCATCGACAGCCAGGAAGTTTCAAGTTGTGTTGTTTTTCAGATCAATCCATCACCCTTTCGTAAATTGATTTACGGGATAGGAGGGCAAAATCATGTATGGCGTCCTCTTGTACATGTCTGTTCCACAAATCAGCCTGCTTGAACGTGCTTAGCCTAGTGGCTGAAGGTATGGTTGATTGTTGCATGTATTTGCAGGGGCATTCAAATAATCCCCTCTCCGTGTAGCGTTCAGTATGGTGCGGTGTCCTGGAGCAAAGACAGACACATAATGCCACCATTAGCCGCAGATGCCATGAGCTTGCTAGTGATCTCCCCCAGCAAAACCTTCAAGGATTAAGGGCTGATAAGCAACTTGCATTCCGTTGAGAAAACAACAGACCGTCGATCCAAACTTCACACAAGTCCTCTTCGTGGTGAGCTTCGGGAAATAACAAATTCTGTGTGTTTGGCTTCCACCCAATGAATTGTTCCAAACACAAATAATCGTTGCTCATGGCCATGTTCGGTTCCTCCTTTCTCGTGACGGGCGGTCTTTGGGAAGATCAACCCCACCCTTGCGAGAAAATCATAGAACGGCCAACTGGGACTTGGTGGGACGACGCCGTTGCCGCTTTAAAAAAGAACAAAAAAACTGCAAGCTCAATCAATGTAGTTTTGTGGTGGTGGACAACATGCTGACTTTAGCTCTATATTCATCAGAATGATGCAATCCATTCGACTTTGCGCATCACAACACATGTATACCTCATTCATCCCGAGACGCCGAGCTTTGCAACTTGAAGGTACTTTACAAGATGATACCCTATTTTGCTCATGGCAAGAAAGCAATGCGTTGGCCATTCTGACTCTGCGATGAGGATGGCACGGAACGGAGCATTGCCCCACGTTGAGCCACTGCTGCCGGTGCTTGGGTCGATTGCATTCTACAGGTATTAGAAATGAGATCCAGTAGGGTTGGGGTTTAGGCAGAAGGTACGTCAGTTGCCACCATTGTGACGTTGTTGATTTGCGTAGAACCCGTAGCGCGCCGTAGGAAAGGTTCAACTTGCGTATCCAATGAATGAGCCCCATTCCATCCGACTGCTCACTCCAGGAAATAGAATGCAAAAGACTGATGCGTTGTTGATGGATGACTGGAACTCTTTCTTTCTCCATCATCAGCCATCACAAAGACACACACCACCACCACGCATCTCTTTCGTCTACAGCACCAACAATCGCAGCAGCAAAACCTCTTTGCAACCAAAATACGTGGATTTGGAGCCACCTAAGATCACAACTATAACCAAACTGAAAGAGCTCTACCGTGCCTCCCTTTCCCCTCTTTAATGTAAAAAGCGAATCCTTTCAAGTTCAATAGATCTTTGCTCCAGACTTGAAAGATTTCTCACAATTCTCATTTCACTTTTTCATAATATCTATCCAGCCTGCTAAGCCAATACTATATCTGAACAATGAAGTTCCTTACCAACACCGTTGCTGCCCTGGCCCTTGTGGGTTCGGTCTCTGCCTTCTCCACATCTGCTCCCCGCTCTTCGACCACTGCCATGAAGGCCGCCACTATGGATCAGGTCCAATTCAAGGAACCTACTCCTGCCATTGCCGAGAACACTGAAGTTCTTGAGGCCTTGATGGAAGCCGAGGATGCTGTGCCAGCATGGAAGCAAAATCCTGTCAAGCGTGTTCAACCGTGAGTTTGCTGCCATCACAATTTTGGTTTTTTGGAATCCTGCGAGCCTGTTTTTGTTTTTCTCACTTGCCATTCTGCTTCAATTCACGAATTCTTGTTTTTTTTTCACTACTGCCCTTTGATCCGAAATTTCCCCCTCTACGTACCAGTGGCCGATACGATGACAAGGATGAATCCATTGCTCTCCCCTTCTTGAAGCGCCCCACTCAATTGGATGGAAGTCACGCTGGTGACTTTGGCTTTGATCCTCTTGGTTTGACCGAACCAGGAACTGGATTCGACTTGTACGTCATGCAAGAAAGCGAGCTCCGTCACGGACGTTTGGCCATGTTGGCTGCCGCTGGATTTCCCTTGTCTGAGCTTGTAGCTCCTGACTGGATGCTTCAGGAAAATGGCTGCGCTCCTTCCGTCTTGAATGGATTCAACCCCGTTACATTCGTGGCAACCGCACTTTTCTTTGCCGCTGCTGGTTTGTTCGAATTCAAAACGTCTCTTCGACGAGTCGACAACACCCGTCTGGGAAGAATCCATAAGGATGACATGGAATTGGTCTGGGAACGAGGTGTCGCTGGAGACTACAACTTTGACCCTCTTGACTTGTACATGTCTCTTGGAGACAGTGCCGTCGGTCGCAAGGGAATGCGGGATGTTGAAGTCAGCCACGGACGCAGTGCAATGCTGGGAATCACCGGCATGGCTGCATGGGAGGCATTGACTGGACATGCCGTCACCGAGAGTTTCAGCATGTTCTTCACACCAAACCTGCTCCTTCCCGCTTTGGGAGCTGCCTACGTGGTGGCCACCAACCTTTACGAAGTTGAGGAAGAGGTCAGCGACAGATACTTGAAACTCAAAGTCAGCAGTGAGGGAGAGGCCCGAATTGAGAACTTCAACCGCGAAATGGCAAACATGCAAGAAGCCAACAAGGGATTGACCGAGTCTCTTGGAGTTGTTGGCGACAAGATCGCTGACTTGGCTGGAAAGGGCTTTGAACTTGCCAAGGAGAAGTATGAACAAGTGAACGAGGAATACACTGAGCAAATAATGAAGGATTTCAAGCAGTAAGCAAGCTTTCAGCATGCTCTACTTGCGAGGTACTGGAATGCATGATGCATATCTGAATGGAGCGATGTTGGAACGAACAGCAACACAAGAATGGTTACAACAGCAATTGTAAATAGAAACGCTTAACCATCATGATTCTACTACAAGTCAGCTTTTCGTGGGCTTCGAACGAAATAGATATTCAATTCGGAAACCACGAAGACAAATTGGTTTGCGTCCTTTAGCGTGCACCTTGTGCTGGGGCTGTGTTTGGACGATTCGATTCATTGCAAGGGCTTGCACAATCCCAGCAAAGCAGTGCATGATAGCGCAACCGAGCAATGGTCAATGACAGCACCCGCAGCACGCCAACACGGCTGCGACCGTCTGCCCCGACAAGTTTCGTGTGGGGCAAAAAACGAGAAGAGGGAATTCACAAACTACATCCACTGGTTCGATTTGGAACTTTGAAACTGTTAGCAACGCTACAACAGAAACTGAACATCCAAGATCGCTGAAACGAATCTTTTGAAATGGAAGAAGCTTTGAACTACTCTTTCAGTTTCAAAGTCTAAAGGTCCGCTCATTTTCGTATCTTCTGTGGAGGGACTGTACCATCAGTTGATAGCATCTTTCTGTCGCCTCTTCTTCATTCGGCACCATGAATATCTTATCCAGCCTATCACCAAAGTCATCACATCCCATTTCAACTTTTTTCAAAGGAGGACAACACCGCCGGACAGCGGATACCATTGTATTGACCAGAACACCACTGTGGTACAATTTGCAAACATGCAGCGAGAATGGGTAGTTCCTTACTTCCATTGCACACCTTTTCATGATTTTGAGATCAATCAATTGAGGTCTCTTCCAGGCATAACCTTCCCATTCAGTGAGGAAGATTGCACCATGTCTCACAGCTGCCATATCAGGATTGATGGTGTGATGCAGATAATAAAGCCCTGCAAAGTATGACTTTGTTGCGTCGATACTTGTGAATGCACTGGCCTTCACTTTGGTAAAGTCCAGAGCCAGCATGTAGTTGCTGTCTTGTGGACTGAAGCCCAAATAGAGAATGTGTCCTGGCATGAGTTTCATAAGTTCGCGCAACCTTCTCTTTGACTCAGAGAAGCTGTCCAGTACGTCATACTCTTGCCGGTAATGCTGAAGTTTGTAGACCCGGTCCATGGCAGATTCCATGTTTCCCTCTTCTACAACCGCAATTTGGGTCAGCATGAAATCCGATATCACATCCAGCTCTGGATCACTCTGGACAGCTTCTTTCAGAGACACAGCCCATTGGTATTCATCTCGCGTCAACTCCATCCGCCTGGAGTCATATTGACTCAATGGCTCCTCGGGCCATTCCAAACGGACAACATCCCTTTCACCCCTCTCCTCCTCCTCATTTCCTTCACCAGCGTCCGCTGCGGCTTCCTCCTCCACCTCCACCTCTTCAGCTGCAGCCAAGGGTTCCATCATCGTCGATAGTGTCTTGCTGAACTTGTTGGTACCAGTACTACTGTATCGCAGCCTCTTCACTGTTGTTGTTCTTCTGTTCGCTCTGCTGCTCAAACAACGACTAGTAGCTAGCTAGTAGACTACATGTAATAGAATCGGTAACACAGCGCTGCTGGAAAGTGTGGCAAAAGTTGAATTTGGGGACGATTGAGTTAACTTCCAGGTGTATTATTCAACACTGTTGAACTGTTGAAAAAAGTGTTGAATAATGTGTTGAATAAAGTGTTGAACATTATTCAACAGGTGTTGAATGGATTCAACAGTCTATTCAACAGTAATTCAACACCTGGTTCAACAGTCCCTCATTGAAAGACTAGTACACCACAACACATTCAACACTTTATTCAACACCTATTCAACAGTTGTTGAGCCCCATTCAACACTTTTTTCAACAGTTGTTGAACCTCTATTCAACAGTTTTCGGGTTTGTTCAACAGTGACTTGAAGAATTAAACACAAAAATGATGTCAACATCGCCAAATTCAGCTTTTGCACACTTTCCTGGTCCTCTTCTCTGCTCTCGATTACTCACGTGATTGTGTCCTCTGTTCTCTGGCAGAGTAAACCCTATTTTAAGTCTTATACGCTTGTGGACATAGGAGGCTCAAGGGCAAATAAATAAATAGATGCATCGGGTTCCACAGCGCTAGCTAGCAGGCCACTTCCTAAAGACTGGTGTCCTTCCTTCTCCAGTGCTTCCAGCTAGACTACGGTACCACTGAGCAGGAGCTGACCGGCCCACCACAAGACCACCATCGGATAGCTTATTGGATCCCCTTGTCAAGGCATCAATGTAAGTGGAATCGGGACGATGTTCTGCGGCATGGTAGTCACCATGAATAAGATATCTATTTACAAATTGCTGTAATCTAATGAAGGGGCAAGGATTGCTCACTCAGTCAGTCTACAAATTACTGTTGCTGTTTGCGCTCACAGTAATTTGAAGGATGCCTCATTGGCATAACGTAGCTGCAGCGCGGCCTTAAATCTAGCCAAGAACCTCTCAGTGCAAGTCTCCATGTCTGGCACTGCATAAAGACGATCGAGTCGACCCAAAGGCGAAACACATCCATAGTCAACTTTTCGTCGGAGGTATCGTGGCATCAATTCCCGCGTTACAGCAGCCAACAAATTCACAAATACGCCTGTGTGGAATAACCGGAACTGATGATAGCGTATGGGATATACAGAACCAAAGTCTGTCCAGTACTTCCTCACAAAGTCCAGGCCAAAATGTGTGTGCCACGAAATTCCTTCACATTCCGAAAGAACAACAGTGCCCTGGCGCAAAGCTTGGAAATCTGGGTTCAAAGCAGTGTGAATGTAGTACATGGAAGCCATCAATATCCGCATGCCATGCTGTGTTTGGAAAGCTCTCTATGGTCGTTTTTGGAACAGTCAGTAACAAGGGTCAAGTGCCCATCAGGAGTTTGGGTCCATCCTAACAGAAATCCTGGAAATATTCTAGACACCTCTTCCACAACAAATCCCCCTTCTTCGAGGCTATCAACGATGTCATATTCCTTCAAAAAATGTTGCATTTTGTAGGCCCTTTCCAGCGCTGCCTCATATCACCCTTGTCGATGATGGCCAGTTGAGCATACCAGAAATCTGTCAAGGTGAACTCTCCAGTCTGCACAATGGCATTCTTGATAGCCACAGCCCATTGGTGTTCCTCATTGGTTAGGGTCACTCGTCTGGACACATATGGTAGCAGAGGGACAATGGCTTCCTGAAGCTCTGGATTCGCCATCACATGCTGTGCTAGGGCAGCGACCGCCTCGTCTATTGCCTCAGCATCTTCTGCTTCTTGTTGTCCTCTTTCAGGAGCTCCGGCATCCCTGATAGCACTCATGATGATAAATGATTATAAACAGCCTGGAACTACACGTGGTTTGGTGTGCATGTTGTGACGTTGTTGTCGTCTTCCTGTCGCTCTTCTTGTGTCGGTTTTGCACATGCGATAAGTCTGCGAAACCAGGAAAGACAAAAGAGAAAGGCTGCTGGACTGAAGAATACGCCTCAACCAAGGCGAAAGCCCTCCCACCCCCAAGAATCCCAAATCACCCACCGCTCTCCTCTTTGCACACATGCTGTGTGGGTGGCATTGCATGATTATCATCGCAATTGGTTGTCGTTCTTCTCGCGAGAATTCTTACTACGAGTAGGCATATGATTTTTAAATACGATGTCACAGTTGAAGTTCTATTCCCTCCTGTGTTTCCGACATTGTCGTTGTTTCCTTAGTTTCTTGGAACTCCAAAGCATCGCTTTATCAGCTTGAAGAAGAAGGGCAAATCAAGTTCAAAATCGAGTTGGTAACCCACTTGGAACCAGGACCAGTGTAGTGGACTCCGTCGTGCGACAAGTCGGGACGACTCGACAACATCTCAAAGGTGTCTACATATTGAAAGCCCACAGGCACGAGCAGCTCGGTGGCAATTTCATTGTATCTTTTGGCCCTTTCGTTCAACATTAGCCGACTGGGGAGTTGGTAAGGTGTCGTGTAACGCAGAATCTTGTGCTTTATTTCGCAATCAGAAAAAGAAGCGGAAAAGTTGGCCAAAGCCTTTGTCCGTTTGTAGTATTTGGCATCAGATGTGTTTTTGGGGTGATCCCATAACCCACTGCTGTAAATCCAAACATCTGGACAGCCTCTCTTCACGCCTTGAAGCAGAGGATACCAGTTGGGAGTATCACGGAATTTGATGGTATCGCTGCTGAATGTGATCAATGGTCTTTCACTGCTGTTACCGGTAGCTCCGCCGCCTTGCGAAAGGTTTTCCAACGTCTTGTGCTTGTCGTTCCATCCCAAACCGAAAATTTCATTCATATCGTAAAAGACGTCGCGAGCCAAAGAATCACCATCAATATGAATCCATTGATTTTGTAGACACAGCATGGCATCATGTTTGGTCCACACCTTTACATCAGGCTCTAGCTTGTAGCGCAACACTGCCGAATCATAGAAGTGGTTTCCCCACTTGTTCCCTTGACCATTGACTGGAAAGCTGTACCCAACGCTAGGTTTGTAGTAGATAGATTCATTTGTATGTTGGTTCACCTCTTCTTGGCCATCTTGGGTTGGTTCTATCAACGGGATGATCGGATGTGACGTGTTGGACCACCAGTGGCGGACGCCAGCATCATGTGATGATGATGATGTGCTCGTTGTTCTGCTTGTATTTCTTCTTGTATTTCTTCTTGTTATTGACGATATCGATGGCAGCGCACGCAGTAGACTCTCTTGCAGGTTGCACAACTTCATTACGAGAAAAACCGCAATGCCAAACACCGCGATCAACAGCCGCAGATGGCGTCGCACCTTCATATTCTTACTTTACGTAGTGAGCAACGAGTAGAAACGCCTTGACTTGGTGAGGAAGTCGTCAAGGGAAATTTCTATAGACGTCGGATCAAAGCGCCGAGTGAATGATTTGAATGATTTGTTCTGCTACCTGGTAGTACTTCGGTCGCATCCTTTTCATGCCAACAAACACCAGATCTGGTGTTTGTTGAAGATCTGGTGTTTGTTGGCATGGTAAGCACATGTAGAACAAATCAGGGTGCCGGTACGAGGACGATCCGGCAATGGTGATTTTGTGACGATCCTTTCACGATTGAACAGTCACCAATAGGAGATCGTTTAGGTGACCGTTTAGGCGACGGTTAAAAATAGGCGATCGTTTAAGCGACCGTTGCCGGTAATAGGAGACTATTTAGGCTACTGCCCGGATTTAGGATACTGCTACTAGGATTTAACAGGTTGTTCATCGAAGAATTAGGCGATCGTTTAGGCGATCGCCTAAAAATAGGCGACCGTTTTGGATACTCGCACCGGTTTTAGGATACTATTTAGGAGATCGTCTCTTTTAAATCCTGCTTGTGAATTCAGTCGTGATTCATAATTAGCTTGGGCACCTAATTGCCGGATCGTCCAGGTACCCAGGAGCGATACCGGTATACCGGTACCACCATGACGTGGCAATTCGTGAACCAGGTAGAAAAATGCTGGATCTCTGAAGCTTTAAATATTCGTACGGTGTGGTGCGGTACGGTACGGTGCGCAGGTACAAAAATTGTCAACGAAAATTCTCTGCAAAATACTAAAAGACTGCCCACTGATAATTCTGAAGTAATACTAATACAACACTAAAAGAGTTCGGGGGAAGCGTTCGGGGGAAGCGTTCGGGAGCAGTGTTTGAGAGAAGTGAAACCAAATTTGGTTGTGGTGTTGTGACGTTGTGCTGTTGTGCCTGTCTGCCTTTTTGCCTGCACCTCCCGGTAATCTCCTCCAAATGGAGGAAAAAGCTGAAATGTGTTCAGAAAATGTAAAATCATGTAAGAGATGCAGGATTCCACAAGGCCTGTTGTCAGAGCCTAAAGAGCCTATCATAGGCGCTTAGATTTAAGATTGGAAAATAATTGAAAACTCAGATCCCTGAGTTATTTACCTCGATTTTCAATCTGACTTTTCCAATCTGAATCTTATTAGCCTGTTGTAACTTTAAGCGCCTAAATAGGCTCTTAAAATTCAGATTCGGATTGCTCAGCTCAAATAGGCTGTTCCTGTAAGTTACTTTTGAAGAAAGTGTTTTGGAAAAAGGGAGAAAAGACTCAATTTGAGCACTATTACCTCAAGGTGCTGGTTGGGTGTGATTTCGGTTTGTGCGTGAGAACAAGTGTGCGAACCAGGACAGAGAGATGTCTCGAAATCGGCAAAAGATTTAAGATCACACTCAACGCATGGCGAAAGCGCACCCAACCCACGGCATCACAATTCCCCACGCTCTCCTCTTTGCACATGTACACGCTGTCTTGAATCTTGACATTCATTGCTTGCAAACAACAACCGCTTGATATTTGTGCTTTCGTCCACTCGGAACATTTGACAACGAAGGTCCTCTTGTTCAGAGTGTCTCCTTGCCTTCACAGGAAGTCGTTCATTGCTCTGAAATCCAAAGATTTGCGCTTCTATCCTTGAAGAAGAGCGAAACCTCAATTCCAACGGCATCGGCGTGGACTCGACAAGCTATCATCTTCCTTTGACGACTTTCTACACCGACTTTCTTCACGATGAACGACGTTTATCTTCATGCTGACACCGATATGAGCCGGTTCTATCCGAAAGAGAATGATCCCTGGTACAATGCGAAATGGACCGAGCAACGAGCTTCCACCGTCAAGGGCGAAACCGAGGATATGTTTGAACACGCCAAGAAGATTGGCAGCCGAGGCATGAACACTTCAATCGATGCTCCTTGGTGGGTTCACCAAGGCTGGCGCATTACCGACGTGTACACGATCTTGATCATGGCCTTGTTTCTCGTTCCTTTGATGCTCGTCTTGTGGCTTCCTCTCTTTTTCTGCCTGCTTCCTCCAGTGATGTTGCTACGCCTTTACGTCGGATGGCGGTTGCCTCAGCCGACGCATCAAATTCCTCGCCAATCCATCGAATGGAAGTTCCATGTGCTTGTCCAGTTGGTACTCTGCATCCCTGCATTCCTCCTGGCCATGTTTGTGTTGGCATACAGTCATGTTGTCATGACCATCTTTGGAGGTCTGTACTTGACAAGCAGTGCTATTGTGCAGTGCAAGCCCTACCTGCTTGTCGAACGATTGCGACACAACAATACCGTGCTCAAACCCTACCAAGGCGGGCCTTTCCTGCTCTGGCACATTGAAGACATTATGGTGGCTGTGGCTGGATCTGTGTATCGACAGCATTTCTTGGAATTCATGCGGACATTCACCACCATGTTCTTTGCCAATCCGTGGATGAAGTACTGGGTGACGGCCAACATTTACCTAAGCAACCTCGATGAACGCTTCCTTACGCAGATTGGACAGTCCATGGCTGACATGAACCGAGATGACATTGACACGCAAGTCATGCACGCCATTTCACGGGCCAAAAACTCCGAAAGCAATCGCAATGAACTCGATGCCAAGACGTTCGCGCCGCACTATCCATATCCACCCCCTTCACGCCGCTACGCCATTGGAATGCAACATGCCGGTCTCATCACCACCTTGGTTCACACAACCCATTATCGATCCCCACCAGTTGCCAACGAAGGACCCGTCGCCTCACTTTCCAATTCTGCAGCTCTTCCCGTTTACCGTGTCATGCTCTGGCGAAACAATCCCTACCACATTTACACTGGATACGTGGAAGCCAATCTTTCCAGCGGCTTTCCTACACAACCCTCCAAAAACTTGGGAGGAGAACACCCCATGTGGTTGGTGAACAGTCACAACAAACTGGCCGCGGATCGAAACTTGGCGTACAGCTTGGGCGCTATTGACTCGTTTTTCGATAACTACATTCCTCAGTTGGCTCACTTTGTCCGACTCAATGTGAGGGGCCGAGCGATTGCCGACGAACATTTGAAGCGGGATAGACGCATGGGGTTTGAACAAATCCAAAACGAAAAGTTGGCGCTCAAGTATCAACGAATGGCAGAATGCTGAACTCTGGGCAGCAGCCAGCAAACAAGTCTCTCTTTTCATGGGCACATTCAAGAGACTAGTAGGGGAAAGCATCCAAGAGATGCGAAGCAAGCAACAAATAAATGATGACAGAGAAATGGTACACGATAGACGAGACTATTATTCACTCGCCATTCTGATCCTATAGAAGTAACTAAAGACTAAACACCAAGACACATATTGCAATCCGCGTGCTCGGATCACATAGCAACCTACTAGAGTAACGAGTTTCAAAGGTGTTGTGGCCTTCGTTGCGGCCGGGGCTTCTTGAACCTAAGGAATGTCACACCACCGTTATAGGACCCAACCCTGGCCAATATCCAGGAGCAACCCCAGGCTGCTGTACAGCTGACCAAGCGTTGGCCCCAAACCAAGCAAGTCCCGCACCCGGACTTCCGAGAGCTTGACCTGGATCGGCATGTGTAGCTCTACAACTGGTCCACCCCTGTGGCTCGACCAGTTGGCTGAGAATCAGACCCAAAGTGCATGCCCACCTCCAGCATCAACACCAAGTCTATTTTCCTGGACCACCATGGACCTTCACCTCACCCAAGAACGAAGAAGCTTGCCTCCAGGACAATGCTAGGCCAAGTGTAAGGCTACCTATGCATGCATAGCTAGGACCTGCTGCGGCTGGCCCACGCACTCCCAGCTACTGGCTAGATCCACATCAGTCCCCATACTAAAAACTAAACAGGACTTGGTAGCCTGCCGGATGGGTGCTGCCCCTGGTATTGTGAGCTTGGAGATATTGTGGCTGGGACTTGCCAAGCACGGGTAACGGAGCGTGACTACGGACCAAACACCATTGAAATTTGGCGCCACAAAGCAATCCTGCACGGCCATAACTAGCAGGTTCTTGTCTAATTAGAGTCGTAGAGTCGGATATCCCAAAAATTTCGACCCCTCACGCTGTTGCCAATTATTGCTTCTTTTCTTCTGTCAGCTGGAAATTCACTTCAGCCGAGCTACTGCACTGTGCACAACAGTGTACAAATTTGATTTTGCCGCCCTTGGTTTGTCGTATGGCGCGTTTTCTCTTCGGATAAGCTTTTCCGTACCGATTGATTGAAAGGAATAATCTGATGGAGCTTCTGATGGTCTGTTGGTGACATTGAAATTTCAAGGTGCCAACAGCTGTACCAACCGAAACAGGTCCGTCATTTACCAGACAATCGGTAGGCACGAGCCCAGCATTCCCATACGCCCGTCAACCCGGAACGTACAATGGTACACATGCAAGTTATTCGTTCTGAAGATGTGGATACCCTCATTGCGCTCGAATTTGGGAAGAAGGGGGGAAATTTGGGGAGCGTCCGGCGTTTTCGATTCTTTTTCTAGGAAATAGAAAAATTTGTGAGAGGCAAATCCAGAAAAGAAATCCGTGTGAATGTGAGGAAAAGGAATGGGTAGCCTACCTGATGAATGGACGAGGGCGTGCTGTTATTAGCATCAGCATCAACAGGACAGGTCCAAGGTTAACGACTAGCTAGCTAGCTTCTGCACCAGTAGTCGTTGCTGCTCTTGTTGTTGTGGTTGTTGCTCTTGTTGGCTTCTGAGGTACACATCTACCACCAAGGGATCTGGCAAAAAGTGATTGGTTCCGAGAAACGAAGTGATTGGACTCACTCCGCTTCATCTGGTACTGGTAGGCTCTATTGGAGGCAGCGTTTGTGGTTGGAGGCAACAAGAGAATTAATCTTCACCATGACAGGTCGACATCAAGAAGTGGCTCCCTTTTCCTTTCACTGTCGGATCTGCTATGAGCGGTTGAACCTTACCGACCGGCCGCCCGTGGTTCTTCCCTGTGGCCACACGTATATTTGCCAGCAGTGCTCGCAACGGTTGACACGATGCATGGAGTGCCGTGTCAGGATTGTCCCCGTCAAGAGACCTCCAGCTCAACAGTCCAATCCCAACACTGCCAGGGGCTACCGACACCGCCATACACAACAACGTCATCAGAACTATCAATATCCCGTCCCCACTACGGTAGATGAGCTACACAATGTCTGCAAGGCGACAGCAGGCCAGGAAGACAAACGGCCAAAACTGCCCAAGAATGTGGTCCTGATGAGTCTCTTGGAAGCAGCCCAACAAAAGGTGGGATCTTCAGCCATGAAAGACGATGACGATGATGCCTATGAAAGTGGAGACGATGATACACTTGTTTTGGAAGGACTGAGAGCACTTAATAGCTCCTATGGCACCTACGTTGTCAAGGCCAAGGAAGGATTATGGGTCTTTGACGGAAAACCATCAGCGGCACATTTGCAACAACACTTGCAGCAACTCCAAGCCGCCAAATCACTCTCACGCAGCAATTCCCTCAGCAGCTCGGATCCTCCTGGAAAGAGTCCTTCCAAGGAAAATCAGGATCCCGCCAATCCACTTACCAGACGTGTCCGTAGTTCGGGTGACGCCGCCAAGAAGGATCGTCGCAGTAGCAAATCGAGGTCACCCATTCCCACGGCCATTGTCACGGACTCGGACTCGAGTCTCAACCTGAGCATTGCCAGTGGCTCGCGATTGCCGTCATCCATCGGCAAACAACCAAGCAAAAAGGCACCCAAGGCGAAGGAACTCTTGATTCATGGACAGACGGTGCAAGTGGTGGTCTTTGGGCCCGAATTTGTGGCGCAGCTAGCAAGAGGGGGAGGGTACATACGGGTGGAACGTGACGATCAGTTGGTCAAAGGTAATAACTTACACTCTACTACTACTACACCAATGGAAAATGTAATTGGCTGGAATGGCTGGGATCTCACTGCTTTTTCCTTTCCTTTTTTATTTTCATCTCCACAGTCGGAGAACCTGCTGATGAGGCGTGTCGCATTGAAGGGATCATCTTCTCCGTTCTGGAAGAAAAGAAACAGTACAAGAGTCGCATCGCCAACCTCAGCAAGTTGGAAAAGACGATGCAGTCGTCTTTACGCAAGTTCTACATCAAGGAAGCGGAAGAACTAGAGGAAAAGAGGGCCAAGGCCAAACTGGAGCAATTGGAACGGGAAAAGGCATCGCTGCACAACACATCCGTGGCACTATCGCTCTTGGAGGAAGCTAGCGATGACGATCAAGAGGACGATCTCTTTCGTCCTGTCAATATCACGCCACCATCTTCGCCACCTCAGCTGTTGGAAGTATCTCCCGACAGTGGGCTGGGATCTCCAGTGTCACCTCGTCCATCGACCACCAGACGTGGCCAAGCTGCTGCAGCAGCAGCCACAGCGCAGGCAGACGAAATGGTAAACCCGCAAGCCGCACCTGCGTATCACTACGAAATGAACGGCACTGCGTCTCCACGTCAAGCAGGAAGTCCTCCCAGCAAGGATAACGCGAGCCCCACAACCACTTGGGAAGAGGATTTCTTTCAGCATGGGTGCGATATGTTCTTTTGCGCCACCATGCCACTCTGTGTGGGTCCAACGGCATCTACGGCAGTCAATGACGTGCACGGAATTGTGGGACCAGCCCTGCAACCCACTGCCTCCATCCTGACTGGCATGGATGCTGGAAGTCATCATCAGCAACACCACTTTATGAGTCATCAATCGCCGCTTCACCATCGGCAGCACTATGTGTTCCCTTCGTTGGACCGAAACGAGTCTTTGGATGGCAATGGCTCTACGTTAAGCAGTGGCAGTACGGTCGCCAGTGGGGCCGTGGACTTTGCTACTGGGCTGTCAGGACATTACGGCATCTCGCGGGGTGGCAAACGACGACAACCGATTCGCAAGAAGGAAGTGCGAATGATGAGCCAACATGATGGCGTCGCCCATATTCGACGCACGCAAAAACACAGTGGCGCTGCCAGTGTGGTCAGCGTAGGGGGATCCTCCAAGGCTTCCATTGCGACCTTGTAAGAAAGTACGCAAGATAGAAGCACTAATAACGTTCCCAGCCAGGAGTGGTGGGGATGAAGTGTCTTGGACATGCGTTCTTTAGAAATCTCTCCATCGGTGAATGAACCAATGCATCCCCACCCCTTTCTACCTATCATCACAATCTTATCTACATTTATTTTCATGCACTCTTTTCTTCTTTAGCTGTAAAGTAGGCGACCCTTTCGAAACACTCTGTTTCAGTAGCTTGTGTAGTTTGGAGCCGAGCCGTCTGCGTGCCGCGGGGTTTTGCTGGAGATCCCATGGATGCCCCATGGTACAAGCAATGCAAGCAGCACATATAACTGACGGGTGGTTTAATTATTACGCGTCTATGATAGCATCTGTTCAACCATTGCTGCATGGAAGCAAGCTTTAGATGTCAACCATTCCTGCATGGAAGCAAGCTTTAGTATCTGCCTTATCTACCAGCCCAAGTCAGCAGGGAACGCCGTCGAGCTGGAGTTTTGGGCCGTTCCTCCTTTTTGGATCTTGTCGTTATTGCAGCTGCAAGTGTAGCCGCTTCTATACCCTCTGGGTTTCCCAAAGGCTCTAGCCATTCTGAGTTTAGTCATTAGAAGTTGTGGTACGTGGTGAGATTTCCATCTTTCAAAACTAGCTACCGATGGCCACAGATAGCTGGTGCTCAACAAAACACTTTAGACAAGAACATACCTCTTGCAGCTCTCTGCTCTGTCCCCGTGTCGGCCCTCTTCACTGTATAAGAGCAGCATCGGCCATCCCCATCACGGTGAACTTGTGTGACTGTTGCCAGTACATAGCGGTGGGGTCCAGATCTCTCCCCTCCACTGCTTCCTGCGCCTCGGGGGTAGCCATGAATGTTTACGGGAGCCATGGTGAAGAGATCGGGGCTGAGATAACTGGTCAAATCAAGGTAAGTTACGACGCAGAGAACTTGATCAGACCTCTGAAACGAAAGGCTGTCGTCCGAGATGGAATTGGAACCGAACAAAGCATCGGCATCCGACGCAGAGGCTTCGGTGAAGTCAACGCTCTCGTTAGCATTGCGCCTTTGGTAACACATCCATCCAAATACCATGTTGTTGCTGTTGTTGTTGATGATTGTAGTTGCTGAGGTCTCTATCGGTGTTGATCGGAGAAATGGGACCATGGTGAGTGCAATTCAACAGTGTCCAAAGGATCAAGGACAATGTCACCATGCTGGATGGATCAGATCCGAGGAATGTGCGAATGGAAAATTGCTTGCTGTGTGAATCTTACATTAAAAGTGTACGAGACCTGCTTGCGCGTGAGACGTGGTACCGGGAATCCCCTATGATCCAACCGCTTAGCTTGACGGAGAACTGGGAACAGACGACATGTACTGGAACCAAAACGGCCATAGTATGAGGCACGATGCCAATCCAGGCGTTGTTCTGCAGCCGATTACAACAAACCCCCATTTGCCGTAGTTGCCAAGCCTTTCTTGTTGTCCCCAGTCGCTTTCGATGCCCATGATTATTGCCAGCACTACAGGGCCATGAACTTTGCCGTACGGTAACCCAGAGGATAGGTGCCCAACAGAATGGGTGGCACACAGAGCAAAACCGAAACCCAAACAAAGGAGTTGGTTTCACCCATCTTTCCCTGTAGGCAACAATGGAAGAAAGGAGACGAGGTGCTCTGCATGCTTTGGATTCTCAATGCCAATGCCGACACGGATTCCTTCACATTCAAACCTGTCAATACTATTCACGGCCCCCCCGCAACGTGGGGAAGAACCATTTCAGTTTAATCTGACAACACTTGACCATTTTGACGAAGCTGCGGGCTGCTACACCGTCAGGATGCAGGACATTGCAGCGGAACAAGGGGCTGGTCCAGATATGTTTGTTTGTTTGTTCTTGTGTGCATGGAGTTGAAGCTTGCTCACGCAAATACGATACGCGCTGATTTTTCTTCTTTTTCTGACATTCAAGTTCTTTCTGCACCATGCATGCTGCCATATGGCTAGCACTTTGTGCGATCCATAAGGCCTCACAGCATCTAAACTTGCTGCTACAAGCAATAACAGGATATTCCGAGAAGAAGGATTGGACCAAGCCGGAAGTAAAATGGTGCGCTTTGCCTTCTCAAATAGGTTATTAGTAGGAAGACAAAAACAAGTTATCATGCCGTCACCAACTTGACCGTGTATTTTCACCAACACATGATTGGCAGCCACATTGCCACCAACAGACAACCAAAAACAAGGCTGGATGGGAAAACGACAACCGAATTTCAAAAGAAAATGACGATCGCCTTGGGGAGACCCTGTCTGCGCCAACACAGAGCTCTCTACCCCTGTCCCTTTGCGTTGGCCCAACTCCAGAACCAAAACCTGCATCAGGTGAGCCATCCACCAAGCCAAGCAGCCATCAATGAGCAAATAATCTGGTTTCTTGCCTGGCTATTATCTAGCTAGTAGGGCAGGTTTTGGTTTTGGTTTTGGTTTGCAGCAGCCGGTTTGGTGTCATACTAGATGGTTCCGGCCGGACGTCGTTCGTTCAGGGAACAGCTAAATCACGGGCTAGTACCGCATTTTCCCAGGTATTTCCTGCTTCGACTCATCAACCGTATCTCTGTTTTATGGTGGTTGGTCCACAAGGCCACAAGGGAGGAACTCTTATCATTTTGAAATGACAACTGCTACTAGTTACTAGGTAGATGTCGATGCATTGATGGCTGTCAGATCTCACGATGCATGTTCCGTTTCTCAGCCCACCGAGCTGGGTAATCGCCAGCTCGCACAGATGCATTGGATGTTGAGAGTGTGTGGACGAAAAACGCAACCCACCGATAATCCTATCCTGAGCTTCATCGATGAAAAGGTCAAGGGTCCAACACCGCAGACTCAGATTTCCATCGACCTACGAGCCATTAACTATTGTCTTTTCCCCAGGAGACATTCGTGATAAACACATAAGACACCATCAATAAGTCCTTAATAATCTGAATCCGGCATGAACTGCCTTTAGTACCGCACTGAACAAACAGGAATTATTGTCGATTATACAGTAGTCATTTTGGCAATAGTAAGTGCATATGTACGTGGCGCGGTAGTGCGTACCGGTGGATACTGCTTAGATTCAGAGATGCATGTTCAATGTATTGCCGTGTGAGTTGCCGCCGATGCTACCCATCCACTCGTTGTGGTTCCTTTGCCTTGCCACATATCTGTGCCAGATTGCCCTCTCCCTTGTGTACCATTCTTGTTGGAGTGTTATCTTTGTGATCGTATCCATCAGAGGTGTGCGGTGAATGGTACCGAAGCTCTAGCTAGCTACTAGGAGCGAAAGGTATACACACCATTTCTGTATTAATCTACATTGCTACCGGTAGCGGAGGCAACTCAGAGGTGATACCGTTGGCGGTCAGGTCACGCTTTCCCACGGCAGCCCTTAAGATTCCGCAGAGTGAATCTGGGTCGATCTATCTGGTTGCGAATTAATTAATTGATCGAGGCGTTTGATTGATATACCACGGCAGAAGGACAAAGGGATATCAGCATTGTGGAGGTTTGGAGTGTACCGACATTGTCAAGCACGAATTAGCTCGTTAGTTGTGAGGTTTGGAATCTGCAACAAGCAAGCGGCAATCCCCATCACGACAAACTGTCAATCAGATCAAATCAGGTCAAACCACTTCTCTCTAGCTGAAGTTGAATTAAGCTGACTGAGACTAGACCAAGTCAAAAAGTCGGATAGAAAGGTATCAATTTTGGAAGGGTAGCAGACCATATCAGACCAGGCCAACCTGCTAAGGAAGGGAAAAAGGAAGCAATATCCATCCATTATCAGCCTCGGAAGGTAGAAGCCAGTATCAGGAAGGATCAGGAAGACTTATCTTGATAGGGTAGACAGACACACAACAAATCCATTTATCTTCAAATCTTCACACACAAGAAATAAATAAGCCAAAATGCCACCCAAAAAAGCTCCCCCCAAAGTCCGCCAACCGCGAAAAGCTCCCGGTGGCGGTCGCATGGCTCCAGGAAAACGAGGCGTGGGTCGGAATCACACCTTCAAATTCCGATCGTCCATTTTCGTCACACAACGCAAGAGCAAGAGTATCGAAGACTATTACGAGCTAGTCCAAGAACTCAACGAGGGTGCCTACGGTGTCGTATTCAAGGCCGTACACAAGGAATCCGGCGCCGAACGAGCCGTCAAAAAGATTGAAAAATCAAAATGGAACCCCGAAGAAAATCAAAAAATCATTGACGAATTCAACGTACTTCGTGGACTCGATCATCCCAACATTCTCAAAATGTACGAACTGTTCGAAGAAGATAAACATTTCTACATTGTTACGGATATCTGTAAGGGTGGAGATCTACTAGATGAGCTAGAGGCCATGGAAGAAACTGGATGTTTTCCCGAAGCGGATGCCGCCATCCTCATGAATCAGGTACTCTCCAGTATCAATTACTGCCACAAGAACAACTTTGTACACAGAGACCTAAAACCGGAGAATATTCTATTGGAGCAGAACAAGGCCCTGCACGAAATCAAACTCATCGATTTTGGATTCGCCGTGCCCTGCGACGAAAATCACACCATGAGCGAACAAAAGGGGACCGCGGCATACATGTCACCGCAGGCCATGCTGGAAGAACCCTACGGACAAAAAACAGATGTCTGGGCCGTGGGGGTCATTGCCTACATTGTCCTCGCCGGATTCAATCCGTTCGAAGGACACACCGACCCCGAAACAGCCGTACTCGTCGAAATGGGTGAATTCGAATTGGACATTCCCGAATGGGAAAACATTAGCGACGAAGCCAAAGATTTCGTTACCAAATGCCTCGCATACGAAGAAAAGGACCGATTGACGACCTCGGAGGCATTAGAACATCCGTGGGTACGCAAGTGTAGATCCGACATCAACTCCGATTTCTACAAGAGCGCCGCTGATGATTGCATCGGCGCCATGCACAATTTGCAAAAATTCCACGCACAATCCAAATTGAAACAAGCCACGTGCACATTTATCGCATCGCAGCTCCTTACCAAATCAGAAAAGGAATCCATCGATAAGCTCTTTCGGAGTATGGACACCGACTCGGATGGAAAGTTGGGTCGACCAGAAGTGCAGGTCGGATACAAGAGCATCTTCGGAGAGGACTTTCCCGAAAAGGATCTCGATTCACTCTTCCAAGAAGTCGACATGAATCAGGACGGGATTATCGAGTATTCTGACTTTGTCGTGGCGGCCGTGAACGAGGAAACGTTGCTATCCACACACAATCTACGCAAGGCTTTTGAAATGTTTGATAACGATGGAGATGGAGTCATCTCAAGAGCGGACATGGTCGAAGTCATGAAGACTGTTGGTGGAGGAGAGGAAGTCCCAGACGAAGTCATTGATAAGATTATGAATCAGGTAGATACCACCGGGAGTGGAAAAGTCAATTTTGACCAGTTCAAGGATAGCATGTTCAAGAACACTGCCGTTGCAGAAAAGACGCAGGAAGAACAGGATGAGGAAGACAAGCTCTTGGAAGAAGCTCGGAAACGTGCCAGCGAAAGCGACGACAATATCTCGACCACTTCTTCCAAGAGAATCACGGCCAAGTCGGCACTGCTAATTCCACGACGTCGGTCGTCTGCTGCGGATCACGCACCCTTCTGCCGCACGCTGTCGGGATCGTCCGATGTTTCGGCTCTTTCTGGTGCTTCCGAGCATTCGATGGACGATGAGCCAGCCATTAGACGAACATTAACACCACCTCCCGCGGGTATTGTAGTGAAACCCAATTCGCGAGAAAATTCGCCCATGCGACGACCTGGAGGACACAAGAAGGGTGTCACCCGTACCAAGAGTGGTTTCATGACGCAACGTGCCGAACCAAAGACAGAACCGCGAAGAGGCAAAAAACCAGTCAAGCCACAGCAGCCGGCAGCGAAAAAAGAGGACTCGGATGCCAAGAAAAATGCGGCAGAACCCAAGAAGTCAGAAGCTGCCGCCACAAAGCCGACAACAAAGCCGGAAAAGAAGGAAAAGAAGAAGGAGGATGGTCCCAAGCCGACAACAAAGACGCCCAAGAAGAAGGATTCTTCTCCCAAGCCAGCCTCACGATCGCGAGCAATGTCGGATGCTTCGGATTCGTCGTCTTCGTCCTCTTCCTCCTCGTCATCCAGCTCCAGTTCTTCGGGATCATCCTCATCGGGCAATAACAGTTCCCCAAGCAAAAAGGCAAAATCTCCAGAAAAGGCAAAATCTCCGGATTCCAAAAAGGCAACGCCGCCGAAGGAGGTGTCAACCAAAAAGGAAAAGTCTCCTGCAAAAGCTCCCGAGAGGCAAGCAAGTCCTCCTGCAAAATCTGCTGCATCGGACGAGTCAACCAAAAAGGAAAAAGCTCAGGCAAAAGCTCCCGCGAGGAAAGCAAGTCCGCCTCCCAAGGCACCTGCCAAAGCTGCTGCACCGGAGAAAAAGCCAGCTCCACCCAAAAAGCCAGTCAAGACTGCGGAGAAAAAAGCCGACAAACCTGCCGAAGATGCCCCTCCAGAAGAGAAGAAATCAGACACCTCTCCTTCTGGCGTGGACGAGGGTAGCAAGCGGATGGACAACAGTAATCGCCGCATGGACGACAGCAGACGCAGTGAAACTGGCGCCAAGGAGAAAAAGAAAGGCTTGGACGGTAGCAGCAAACACATGGATAGCAGCAGACGCAGTGAAACTGGCACCAAGGAGAAAAAGAAGGGCATGGACAACAGCAGCAAGCACATGGATAGCAGCAGACGCGGCAGTGCAACGGGCGGCACCAAGGAAAAAACCAAGGAGAAAAAGAAAGGTGGTGGTCTCGGAGATATGCTCTCTGATCTGCCATCTTCCAGCAATTACAAAAAGCAACAAAAAAGCCAAAATCCAAACAGCAGCAGTGCCAGCGTCCCAGCGATCCCAACTCAGACTTCTATCCAGCAGCGAAAGGAAGTAGAGGAGTCGGCGCCGGAACCTACTGGCAAGCGCTCGAGTGCGGGGGCTGCGCCGAGTATCCGAGACCGCATGAACAATTTCAAGGGTACCGGTGGTGTGATCAAAGCTTTCTTCCCTTCGAACAAGGGTCGGGGCGCTACCAAGGGGCTGACATCTCCCAAGGGCAAAAAGGCCAGCGTGCCTCGCGATGGCATTCCTTCGTCCTCCCCAAAGACTGTCAAGGCGAAGGTTCCCAAAATGAAGACCACCGGAGAGTTCCAAGAACCGGTTGCACGCAATGGTTCCAATGACGAAGCGGATTTGTTGGCAGGATCAGAGCCCGCAGTCCGACGGAATTCCGGGGGCGGCGATGACAACCTACGAGGAAGCTTGAAGAATCGCATGAGTGTCTTCGAGCAAAACATAAAGAAAAACAAGAATCAAGGAGCAGACAAGAAGCCTTGGTAGCAGTAAGCAACAACAAAATGAGTAATCTTTAATTTATGGACTGGACGTAATTGTAAGCTTAAAAATAGTAGTCTATTCTTTGCCTAGCTAGCTACTGACATCCATGGTTTGCACAACACGGATAAAAAACCATGTCGATAATGGAAACATAAAAATACCCAAAGTATCACATGAATGATTCAATCGAATGGCTCCGCGCAGCTGAATGCAGTTCTTGAGCAAGGTTACTACAGTACTAAGTTCAATTCGAACTACTCTGGGTCCTTGCCCAAAAACCGTATGTACTACTTGCACCCTGGATCAATAAATTGTACCGGTATGATCAATGGATGCCTCTAACAACTAACTATCGTATCTTCCTGCCTGTGTGTGGTTTTCAATTCCATACACCAATCATCTACCTAGTAGACACGAGCCATGGGCGGAACGGTGGCACATTCTTGCTCGTCCAATGTGTAATCGTGAATGGGGCGGTATTTGAGCGAAGTCTTTTTGCTGTCCCAATCAAAGTATGCCAGGGTGTGTTTCATCCATTCCTCGTCGTTTCGATCGGGGTAGTTTTCGTGAGCATGTGCTCCACGAGACTCCTTGCGGTTTTCCGCTCCGTACATGGTGGTGGATGCGCATGCCAAGAGATTCTTGAGCTCCAAGTTTTCCACCAAGTCCGTGTTCCAGACCAGCGACTTGTCCGTGACGGCAATATCTTGGTACTTGTTGACGACTTGGTCGAGTTGTTTGACTCCTTCGGCGAGTACATCGGCAGTACGGTACACGGCGGCATGCTCTTGCATGACGTGTTGCATTTCATTGCGCACAGCGGCAGTGGAGAGTTCTCCCTGTTTGTATCGCATCTCGTCGAGGTCTTGGAGGCTCTGCATGCCATCCAAGTCCTTCAAGTCTGGTACGCTGTCGCCGGGTTTGGAAGTTTCGGCAATGCGCAAGGCGGCGGCGCGTCCAAAGACGACAATATCCAACAAGGAATTGGCTCCCAATCGGTTGGCGCCATGAACGGATGCACTGGCCACTTCCCCGGCGGCGAAAAGACCAGGTACGACCTCGTCACTCTCGTAGGATCCATCTGGCTTGAAGTTGGTTCGCAAGACTTCTCCGAAATGATTGGTAGGAACACCTCCCATGTTGTAGTGTACGGTGGGCAAAACAGGGATGGGTTCTTTGGTAACGTCTACACCGGCAAAGATGGCGGCAGTCTCACTGATTCCCGGCAAACGCTGCGCGAGAAGGTCGGCTGGCAAGTGGTCCAAGTGCAAGTAGATCTGATGAATTGATAATACATAATAGCGGTGTGAGCAACAGGTAGTAAACGACGCCCAGAAACGTCCAGGCTTGCCTCGGAACAGACAGACATATACTCACATGATCATTCTTGGGTCCGACACCACGTCCTTCTCGAATTTCCATCGTCATGGCTCGACTGACAACATCTCGAGATGCCAAATCCTTGGCCGAAGGAGCGTATCGTTCCATGAATCGTTCTCCTTCACTATTGCGCAAAACGCCCCCTTCTCCACGACATCCTTCCGTCATGAGACACCCGGCGCCGTAAATACCAGTGGGATGGAATTGTACGAATTCATTGTCTTGTTGTGCCAATCCCGCTCGCATGGCCATGGCATTGCCGTCTCCCGTGCACGTGTGGGCACTGGTACAACTAAAGTAGGCTCGTCCGTATCCACCCGTCGCCAATACCGTATTCTTGGCCTTGATGCGATGAATGGTCCCATCTTCCATATTGAGTGCCATGACGCCAATACAACTTCCATCTTCCTCCGACATGATCAAGTCGAGACAAAAGTACTCGATAAAGTAAGTGGTATCAAATGCGAGGGATCGTCCGTAGAGAGTGTGAAGCATGGCATGGCCGGTCCGATCGGCAGCCGCGGCACATCGATGAGCTTGTCCGCCCTTTCCAAATTCGAGGGATTGTCCTCCAAACGCTCGTTGGTAGATGCGTCCATCTTCGGTGCGACTAAAGGGCATGCCGAATTCTTCCAATTCCCGCACGGCGGCGGGAGCTTCGCGGCACATGTAGTGAATGGCGTCTATTTATTGATGTAGATATCATTGATGATGTGTGTAGATGTGTAGAGTGATGTTGTGGATGATGGAAAATGTGGATGATATTGTGATGTGACGATTTCCGTTGCAGTGTAATGTCGTGTGATTGTGGGAGGTTGAATAGATTTAGAGAAGAGAGTGGATTGTAGTGTGATTTTCAGTATGAAATAGAGTAACACAAAAGAAAATAGTGAGATCTCTGGGACTCTTTGATCCTGCACAACTCAGCTCCAAAGCCAGTTCCAGGCTACAATGGCTGCATGAATAGAGCACCAAACGGGCCAAAAGCACCCAAGAGAAGCCCACTCAATTCTTCCAAGAAATCACATCAAAGCACACAAACCAGCCAACCTTTCCTCCTCAACTGACTGACTGACTGACTGAAGTAGAATAGAAATAGTCAACTCACCTTGATCTCCCAACCAATCGGATCCCTTGACGGTATCGTACATGTGCCATCTCCAGTCATCCTTGCTCATGTTACCGAGTGCGGCATTGATGCCTCCTTGGGCTGCCACAGTGTGACTACGGGTCGGAAACAGTTTGGTCACACAGGCCGTCTTGAAGCCAGCTTCACTCAAACCCATGGCCGCTCGAAGACCCGATCCACCGGCACCTACTACCACCGCATCGTACTCGTGATCCACCACACTGTAATCACCCGTCAATTTGGGAGCACTACTCAGAGATCGAATGGACGTACTGCTAGCACGGCGGCTCGCGGTGCGGGCGAGTGAGGAAGAGAGACCCAACATTGTATCCTATCTACTACAGTACTACTTCTGTCTTCTATTCTATCTCCTATCTACTTGCTTGTGATGAGATGCTGAGAGGTTGATGGAATGCTATTCTGTCTCCTCCAATAGTTTGGGCTTCCTTGGATCCTGGATCTTTGGCTTGGGCTTCGCTTGATCACCCCGCAGATGGTGGGTGGATCACGAATGATTCAGTCGACGCGTTCGCTTCTTCGTGCGGAAATGGAAGGACACTCCGAGTTCGCATCGTTGCTCCAGCTCCACCTCTTTAGCAAGTCAGAGTAGCATGTCAATTAATTGTTTTAGAACTACTGTAGGGAGATTTGATGCTGGGGAGTATAATTTAATCCAGTAGAGATGTTGAGGCAGTTTCATGGTTGGGAGTCAAGCAGCAGGGTCCCAAGGAGGGAAACTTCCCACAGATCGTACACGTGTGCCATACCAGAGGTGCAGCTATTCCACAGGCAAAATCCATTCTCATGCTCTCATTTCTCTATTTTGAAAGCTGAGGATCAGGATCGTTCCTAACCAGTCATTTTAACCTCTTTATTCCTCCGTGCATCCGCGAAATCAAGATAACGGCAAAAAGCGGCTTGCTTTCCCTCTTTTTGCCCATTAATTTCGGTACGCCGTATCAGTAATTTTGCATTCTCAATTCGCCGTACCGAAATTAATGGGGAAAAAGAATTCGCGTAGGACCAATCAGAACGTTAGAGCCAGCCGCACGAACTTCAAAAATCGTCAACCCACCAGATTCTGCCAAAACGCAATCACCGTACGTCAGGAAAACTCGTGAAAATCGCATATGATTGTTCTTTGATAGAATCTCGTGGGTTGAATGACTTGCATGTGGATCCAGCAATCCCATGTGCATCCATTTGTGGCTCCTATTTCACCACAATTTCCCTTTTTTTGAGTTCTTCCTCTCCCCGTAATCGAATCGAATTCCACCGCACTCCCCACCGTTGTCGTTGTCGTTGTCGTTGTCGTTGTCGTTGTCGTTGTCGTTGTCGTTGTCGTTGTCGTTGTCGTTGTCATGGCTTCAGATGATAGCGATGGCTCTAGCCTTGATATAGAACGGAGAATGCGGGAGTCTGATGAGCGGCACAAGAGGAAGAGAGACGAAGAGGAAGCCGAAGTATTGGCTGCAGCCCCAGTCATTCCAGTCGCAACAGCAGCCTCAATTCCCACAGCGACAGCGGCCCCAGTTCCCTTAAACAGAAATTACCTTGATGGTGGGCGTCCACGTCTTAGCTTGTGGGATCTTCAGCAACAACGCCAGATGCAGATGCAGCAACTCCACCAACAGCGAGCCCTTACAGTGCCGCTACCACCGCTGCCTTATTACGAAGATCCGATTGCCCAAGATATGTACATGGGACAACTCAAAGCGCAAGAGTCACGGGAGCGGCCGCCACGGTATCGTGCTGCTAGCTCCCCTTCGCCTGCTGTCCATTCTAGGTCTGCATCCCCGGCTATCCGTTCTGCATCCCCGGCTGAGCGAAAGGCTGAGCAAAAGGTCATCAGGGAAGCAGCGAAGGCCGAACAAAAGAAGAAGAAAGAGGACGAGAAAAATGCTAAGAAGGCAGCCGACGCTAAGCAGGCACGGCGTATCAAAGTTGTGATCGACAAGTACGACCCCTTGAAAAAGCAAATTGTCTGCGGGGAAGAAGAGAATCCCAGCGATAAGGAGATGTACCGTGTGGCCAAGACGTTGGTCTACGACAAAGGGGAACCAAACGAAATGACATTTGATCTGGCAAAATTCACTAGCACACAGATCCGTGAACTTTGTCTGAAGTGTCAAGTCAAGGGAGGAGGCAACATGAAAATGTTCGATGCTAGGAAGGAGATTGCCCGAAGTATTGAGATGGGAACCATGTACAACGACACGACAGTTTCAAACCTTGCGTTGGACCCCTTAGCCAAGAGGATCAACACTCTCGTCAAAGTCCTCAATATCTGCTTCCATCCTACTATTTACCCTTTCTTCGTCTCACTCAACGACAGCAATAATCGAAAGGAATTCGAACGGGAGCCTCTTTCACAGGAGGGTGTGACCGGAAATCCGTTCAAGGACTTTTGGCTTCTCGTTTCAGAGCACATGAATGAGACGAATGAGACGGTTGCGGAAAGGTTGTTTGACGACGTCTTGGGTCTCCAGGAGGGGGAAGACGAACATCTACTTGCGTACAGTGCCGAATTCGGTTTCAACTTAAATGACATTTACCGTGACCAGAACAACAAGTCAGTTCAGCGGCTGATGAGCGACTTGATGAAGTCCAAGGATAATTGTCTTGCACAAATGAAGATATCGGGCCACCATAGCAATGACATATGGACTTATTGCGTAGTGAAGAGGTGGTGTACTCCTCGGAAGGGAATGGCAGCCGTACCTGCCATAGCGGTGTACTATTGTGCCTATCTCTGCAAACTCCATCCCACAATTGAAGGGAAATTTGCCACGTTTCTCGAAGCCTGTTTGAAGAGTGATTCCACGGTCGATATGACAGGAAGTGCTGATGCCGCCGGTAAAGGCGGCAAACAAGCCGTGGCAGACGCCATTGAATCGCTCACCAGCGTCAGTTCCGACCTGAAAGAATCCATTGGCCAAAGGAAAGAGAATACGGAGGATGCGGCGGAAACGAATCAGTGGGACGGCTATCTGGCCGTGGGCAACCAATACCTGAAAATCGTGGAGGAAATAAAGAGCGGTGACTCCTCCAAGGCTCCCCTTGCGAGAGTCATGGAAATTCGACTTGGTCGACTCGAAAAGAAGTTGAACATTCCGGCTGAATCTTCCCTCATTGTCGGAACGGAATATTAATATATAGGAACGGAATAATATATAGGTGTGATTACTGTGTTACGATGCTTCTTCCCTTCTACGTTTTTTGTTGCGCGACGGTCTTTTCAGCTGTAGGCGCTTGACTCTGTTGGCCATGAATTCCCGTAGGTACGACATCCCCTCACAGCTCGAATAAACATTGTCAAGTCGTACAGGATCACCATTCACATCATGCGGAACGCTGGGAATGTAGCCAGTGCCGTTCACATTGGTGGCAGGCTCTGTCGTTGGGCCCGCCGTTTCGAGTCGCTCATTAATACAAAAGTTGTGTAGGCGAGCTATAGCCTGCGCCAGCCATATCATGTTCTTCAATGAACAGCCAATAGGACGCGATAGTAAACCCCATTTCATCTGCATCATGCCGAAAGCCATCTCCACCCGTATGCGGCACTGACTAGCGTAAAAGTTGAAATTGTCGTAGAGTGGGATCAGTTTGTCTGAACCCTGGTACACCGGTACCATGTGCTCTGTTGGGATATACGCAGCATCGCCAATTACGCAAGTACCGAGTGGAAGTGACTCCACCAAATTTTGTAAAGCACATTGCCGCATAGCATTACGGTCATCCGAGACACCAGGAGCGGCATAGGCAAAGAAGATGAACCGAGAATGGTGGTCCGCTACGGCCTGGATATTAACTCCATAGCACTGGTAGTGACCCGAGAAGAAGCTTCGGATGTTACCGGTTTCCTTCTTTGCCGGAACTTTGATACGCATAAGATAGCCATCAACCACACCAACACAGTTATGTATGGCAGCCCCATCGGATATCCCGGCAAAGCCGTCTATTGCACTCTTTATTTCCTGTTGAGTACGGGGGAATCGAATCTTCAACTGCGGACACTTGCATAATGCCGTAATTGTCTTCCATAGGACTCGATAGAACGAGCTTTGTGAAATTCCAGCGATGTCCGTAATATCAAGGTAGGAGCCACCGGCTAAGTATCTAATCGTACAGTAGAGGCACAGTTCGGGAATGATGGAACCACCCCTTCGCACGGCTTGGGTCTCATTTACAAGCAGGTCGTCGACTATGAACGAAAGCAACTTGTCAAAGCTCTCTTTGCGCATCCGGAGTCGTCTAGCAAAGGTGGTACGTTTCTGATGTTTCTGGCAATACCGATCCCAATGCAACCGTTGTTCAAAAATGGACGGATTTCTGGGTTCGCCTGGTAGACACAGTAGAAGACCAACCATAAGAATCGATAGTTGCAGAAGCAACGCCACATCTTGTTCGTATTCCTCATCATTGAAGTCCATTACGGCAGAGTAACTACACGACAACGACGGTGCTAGCAACAACGGTGGTAGAGTTACTGTGTTCTCACTTTTATTACAGTTGTATTACTACCTCTCGCTTTTCGATTTTCGTGTTGACGATTTTCGTTAGAGTTGGGGATTGTTCGCGTTCGCGTACCGCGTTAGAGTTGGGGATTCTTTCGTGTTCGCGTACCGCGTATGTGGATAGGAATGAAATCTTGATACGTACGCCTAAATAAATCGATGAAAATAAATGTGTTTCGCGTATGCACGGAGGACACACATGGAGTTTGGTTAGGAACGCACCTCAGGCAGATAGACTGCCGAGGTATTCAGCTCTCGTTGCCGTTTCCTCCATCCCCATTCATGACAATATATCGTTTCCCTAAACTTCCAATCGAACTGTCTTCCGGTGCTACGGTACACTCGATCTTCCAGTCTGCACATTGTCGCGTGCCCCCAGCCGATACCCAACATCCGTCATTGTGATCAGCGCATCCTTTTTTTAAAAATCTCGGAGGAAGAGCATCGTTGTCCCCGGAATCCCGGCTGACAAATGTGCAGGAAACCTGTCCGGTGGTGGGATCCTTGTTGCGATCGTCTAGCTAGTTGTTGTACTAGTACCATGGCTTTTGAGTGGTACGGGATGATCAATGAATCATTCAGTATAGTGAGCAATCAGTTATTACTGTACGTATGCCATCTGACTTATTCGTAAACTTTAGTTTGGAGCCCTGTAAAGTTAGCATTATTGACTCTCTTGTCTCCATTGCGGTGCCCCTTGTGAGAGAGAGAGTGGCTGACAGTAGAAATACACGTATCTTGGTCAGAGCATCATGGCTGAATCACTTGACTTTTGCTACGGACCATCATGTTGCATAATAACCTGTCTACTTGCTGTTGGTTGCACTGAGCAACAGCACTGTTGCTCAGCGTCATCGTAATAGAGGAGCAGAGCAGAGCGCCATCCAATAATATTCGATTCATTTTGTGTGAGAGGAGAAACCACTGGTGGTTTTAGTCAATCCACACAAAAATCCTCTTGTTGCTGTTCATAGCGATTAGATCACCCAGCTATACTACTAGCTCAATTGGCAACACTGTATTTCGTTTCACCAGGTGGCTGTGAAAATATCACTAATGGTCTTGGCAACGGCGGCTCCGAGGTTGATTGTTGAGTTCGGTACATGTATGAGTTACAGTACCATGGTACAGTGACTAGCTAGGCGTAAAGTAAGGTGCTCTTGGAAAAAGCATAGTTCTGGATCCGGTCCTCGTCTGGGATCGTTAGTGGGGCAGTTTCTCCTTTCGTAGTGTGTAAATGGCACGAATGGTCTGTTGATAGCCTGTCCTCCAGGCATGGCCATGTCTACCGCCAAATAGGATGCCAATACCCAGATATCCGCTCTTGCGAGTCGAGTCAGTCGGATTGGAATTGTTGTTCAACCGGTACCCCAAGTGATTCCATGGCTGCATCTGCCCCCCACGTAGACTAGTCATGAAATATGATTCGAGTCTGAGATACAAAGCTGACAACACTGGTCGTGCTTGAATGATGGCGGCAATGTAATGTTGGCCCTAGCTGCAATGCCTGCACCACAGCTGCCATTCCAGTATTTGAAGTAGCAATATTATTGCTATTGCTGTTATTGGTGAACGACAAGGCGATTCCTCGAATACTGTTTTGTGGACACGCATTGGAGACTTGAATGGCTTGACTGATGGCCGCTGCTGGATAGAGTTCAGGATCATCTTGGTCGTCTCTTTGGTTGACTATTGAGAATAGTACAGTAGAACCGGTACCGAAAATGACAGATCCTACGCGTTGATTCGATTCTCGCCGCCATCTTGCGTTCCACACGTCCAGATCCACACTTCTGAATCCACCGCCATTGTCGCCGATCCCGCCGCAAGACAATCTAGTACCAAGAATTCAAGTTGTCCTCTCCACGAATGTCAAACCCAAGTTCAAATGGAACATTTGCGATTCGCTCAGGGGCGCGCTTGCTGTGATACCACTACACGTACTTGAACTTCCAGTCCAACCACCCCGTGTGATTGTCATTTTCATCGTCGATCATGCATCCGAAAGAAAAAATGAGGAAGCGGAAGAAGATTCTCGAATGAGTTCTCTAGTCTACTAAAATTTTTGAATTCATCTAGACTAGTAGACTAGGTAGCCATTATGAAAACACACGAGCCTTCCTGAGCGCGGGGTCTCATGGTTGCCTTCACAAAAGCAAATCACGAATCTGGGCACACGCCATGGCCGGGCACGAACTCCGCGAAGCTTTTGCATGGTTGCTGGTTGGCATTCACTTCCTCTGGGCTGGACTGTGTTGAAAGGATTCTTTCCTGATATCATTGTATCTTGAATCAATCCTGTGGTTGCTTCTAGCTAGACTGGTACCGTAGGTAGAGTCAGTCTACTAGATAGCCAGAATTACATGTCATTAATAAAAAAAGGGATCATTTCAAACAGGGCGTGCTGATTTTATTTGTTCTCTAAAGCGGATTTAGGTTACTTATGTATGTACGGTACAGTATGCATGTGCTGATGTCTATTGGACGGCATAATCAATCTGCTCTTGGGTGAAAGAGAGAGGATAGTCGATGAGTTCTTGCTTGATGTGATGTACGTATTACTCCAACACTGCTCCTTCTTTGCTTGCTCAGTAGTTGGCCCTCAGACAGGCTATGGCCTGCCATAAATTAGTTCAGGGTCCACTTTTCCACACCATAGCCAACAAACTTCTCACTGGTTCTCTTGAAGCCAGCTCCTTCAAATCCAAAGCCCAGTTTGTCGCTCTCTTCTTCCAGTCGAGCCAGTTCGGAAGCATTCATTCTCCATCCCATGGAGCCCATGTTGTCTAGGTATTGCTCTTCTGTACGCGCACCAGGAATGGGGATGCCTCCTTGGCAAATGACAAAGTTCAACGCCACCTGCGCCAGAGTAGCGTCGTGGGCGTCGGCAATCTCCTGCATGGCTTGCAAAAGCTTGCTGATTCCACCCTTGGGAATGCTGTCACCGTCACCGAGGGCATAGCGGTACAGATCGTACTCTTCCAATCGGGATCGTTTGCTCGACCGCAGCGACGACGACGATGTACTTCTACTCTCCAGCAGATTGTTGTTGTTAATGCTTTGGTGGTTGTACTTGCCCGTGAGCAGTCCCATGGCAAACGGAAAGAACGCCAGGGTTTGAATACCCAACTCCTTGCCCTTTTCCAACGTAGCTTGAGCACCATTGTGACGGCCCAGAACACTGTACCCAATCTGGTTGCTGGCCAAGGGAACTCCCTTTTTCGCCAAGTGTTCTTGACACTGCATCAGCAACGTAGGTCCGTAGTTGCAGACTCCGACATTCTTGACGAGACCCCGATGATAGCATTCCGCCAATCCGTCCCAGTAAATGGTGTCCTTGGGTGCCGCTGCCCGACCTAGCTTGGCCATGGGCTGGACAATGTCTGGCATGTGCAACTGATAGAGATCAATAGGTTGTTGTTGTTGTTGGTCCGCATTAGTACTGCTGCCACCGTCCACCATGAGCCGTTGTCTAGAATCCTGACAGGCTTCAACGACGCTTTGGACTGTCGTTCTCCAAGGACTGGGAGTGAATTTGGTAGCGACAATCGTCTTTTCGGGGTCGTGATTGTTGGATGATGATGAGGATGAACCAGTGGACAAGAGTTTACCAGTAAGGCGCTCCGTTTCACCCCATCCCAAACCAAATGCCGTCTTGATGTTGGATCCATAGCGCTCTGCGGTATCCAACAAGAGACCACTCGGGTGCTGGGCTGCTGTCTCCATTAGTCGTTCCAGTTCATACCGATCCGAAGCTGATATGAATATAAAAATGGCAGAGTAAATAGAAAAGGTAGTGTGAGATCAAGAGGGGTTCCATTTGAACCAGTTTTTCCTTGTGTAGATAGACTACTTCGTCTGTCTGACCTTTATCCGCAGACCACGAGATGGTTCCTACTCCAACTTGTGGCACTGTCAAGGTTCCCAACGAGACTGTGTCAACCGGTTTTGGCAATTTGGCGGCTGGTTCTTCAAGTTCCACGTCCAGATAGGCAGCAAGAGGGGCACTCTGATACCAGTACTGTCTCCTCGTCGTCAATACCGAAGAACTTGGCACGAATGCTGCTGTGAAATGCAGACCGAAAATGGCGCAAATGGTCACGCGGGAAGTACTGGTACGGCTGGTTGTCATTGTCATTGTAATGGCCTGGTGATTGGATATTGGATTCAATTCCAGTGGTTTGCTTGTAAAGTGTGAAGTGAAGAGGATATCTCGTTTTCTTTCTTCAGCTATGAATAGCTATGAGTACTTCTTGGATGCGGCACCGGTAGGTTTAGACGATGGATGGCCAACTATTGTATACACGAACGTCAGAGACTTGAAATGTCGACAACAGTGATGTAAACAGAACCAGAATTTATGAGAAACTCTGATGCTCTTAAAGTCAACAAGTCAACTCTCACATCAGTCAGACTGCCATCATCAGATCTTTCACATCGGAAGCCATCAGCTACAGTGTACATGTATGTCATTTGTATTCCAGGTCAAGAAGCTGAGTCACTGCATGGATTAACAAGCCAAGTAGTGATAATGGGTACACCACCACTTCTTCCGTGATCCCGGCCTCCAAAGATCCACGCAACAGAAAATAAATATGAATGAATCAGAGATGCACGAATGAATTTGATTGATAGCAATGACGTGGTTCACGAGTGACATCAATCCCACCTATGCTACAGAGCTCGACCCGTCTGCATGTTGCCATTTCTGTGGTCACCGCGAGCAGCAACAGCAAGAAACCGCCCTGATGGCACGATGGCACCCCCAAGAAGCTTTACCATGGACCATTTGGCAGTGGCTAACCGAGTCATGGACGACCCAGAAGATTTAATGCATGCAGATCCCGTGCATTTGGAGGAACAAGAGAAAAGGAAACAAGAAACAAAAAAACGGAGTCAAACATTCCTCTTTATCCTGTTTCTGGTAGTCTGTGCTCTGGCTGTCATTATAGGGACGGTGGCTAGAACTGCTGGAAAGACGATAAAGTTGTTGTGTACCAAACACCATCTCCTCCTGTCTTTGGCTCCATGACTCCTTCTGAAGCGCCATCATCAGCGCCCACGGGAGTTTTGGACTTGTTGTTTAATAATCTACCAAAGCAAACCTTTTCTAGCCTGAACAATGGCAGTGAAACTCCGCAATGGAAAGCATGGCAATGGCTTGTGAATCATCAAAACATCACATGGCTACCAGAATGGAGAAAGGAGCAGTTGTTTGCTCTTGCTAGTCTACTTTTTTCTATGCATTTGAGGGAGAAAATTGGAACCCCCTCATAAAGGAACGATGGATGGATTGCACAGTGGATGAGTGCAACTGGTTCTCGAGTGGATTTGGATATTTCGATGGTGAGGGAAAATTCATTGAAGATGCTTTGCTGTCTCCATGCAACAGTCATGGTAAATTCACTGCTCTTTGGTTGAACCAACTCCAGCTTTCTGGATTGACACCTTCTTTTCCAGCAGAGATCACCATGTTGACTTCCTTGTCCCACCTTGAGTTCGCTTATAATGATATTGAGACATCAATTTCATCTCTCTTCCCAGCAGAATTGTATGAGATGACTGCATTGACTTTTTGGCCATTTATGGAGAGCACTTGACTGGCACACTTCCTTCTGAGCTTGGACAGCTCACTGCTTTGGAAATGTTGTGGTTGTATCAAACTCAGTTGACTGGACCTGTGCCATCCGAGTTTGGCCTTTTGACAAATTTGGGTGAGCTGGATCTGAGAGGCAACCCTGGCTTGTCTGGCACAATCCCAGAGGAGCAATGCTTCTTGCAGAATGTGTCTTGTACCTATGGGCCAGAGTGGTACCCTCAGCCCTGTTATCTTGGCTTTGACTGTACCTCTGTTTTGTGTGGATGTGATTGTGCCTGTTCCAATTCTTCTTTGGCGGAAGGAGGAACAGGATTAGTTCGAGCTCTGATTTCCAAACCTGTCAAAGCAGGATCATGATGAAAAACAAACTTTTATGCACTACGTTAAGTGTGGGATACACTCCCACGATCATGTCATGCAAACTGTTATTGAGGTTGGTCCCCTCTACTACCTGTAGCTAGACGCGTACTGCTGTACCGTAGAGGTTGCCGTAAAGGCAGGCCATAGGCGAGGAAGCGGATCAAATACGTGTGATCAAGTTGCCCTAGCTAGCCAGAGTTACGTACGGTAGAACCGCAACAGAACGAGCCCCATTCAAAAAGCACCTATGGTACGGAAAAGCCCTTGTAGGAGCTGGGGCGGACTGTAAATATGCAGACGTTCTTGCCCAAAGATAAGACGAACTGGAGCACTGAGAGAGTTGACGATTCTGGTGAACCATGAACCAGTACATGCAACGGAGACTGCAAAAGCAGCTTCGGTTTTCCGTGTGAGGCGTTTCATGAATCATTCAATCGTTTTGATCGTCACCTGAGGCCCGAAGCGGGGTCTAGTAGCCAGTTTACCGAATACGGCGGGGAGCCACTTGATTATCAATGATAGTGAATCTAAGGGTATTCTGGTCATAATCATGCAAAATGGATTTGCAAGCATCAAGTTTCGCCAAACATGCATTGCCCCCGCTAAGTCCTTCTTGCATCTACCCACCATGGAGTGTGTGCACACCTGACTCCCAAAGATTCTGCACTCTTCTTGACGACCCAGAACCTTTTTGTGGTACAGTCGTCTTGCCGATGAACTATTCGGTCTCTCCTTCGTTGCATTGACAAATCCGCCGGGGGGCGGGCAACTGATATACTTCTATTGTTGAATCGAATCTACACGTAAAGGGTTTTGCTTGCTACATTTAAGCTTCAAGTGAACATGCATATATATCAACTTTAGCTGATTGCTTCCTTGCTTTAGGGAAACGATCCTCGCAAGGATGCCCTCGCAACTAAGTCTTGTGTGTTAGTAGCTGTCTTTGTCTGACCAGCATATCCTCCTGGAGTGGTAAAGGAGTATTCGGGCCCCAGATACATGCGCCATCCCTGTTGCGGCCAGTCTTGTGTAAAGTTTCCAAAATGATAATGTCCCTTTCGAATGACACCGTTAAAGACGTAGATGTAGTTGTCGATCACAAAATTGGATCCAGCCCATCGAGAACCACTATCGGGTACGGGAGGAAGATCATTATTCCATTGGTTGAGTACGGGATCGTATTCCAATACTTCGTTTGTAGGCATGGATCGATGATCTTCTTTGATGGAGCTGTCGGTGGACATACCATAGGCGGCCCCATTGGGCCATCCATCCATGAGATTGTTCCCCTTGATGGCCATTTCTCCACCAATAATATATCCTTTGCCGGCATGATCAAATTGAGTTGCCGCCACACGTCCTGGACCGGGAAAGGGAGCCATTTCTGACCAAGAATCAGTTCCATCGACTAAAAAATTGTGCCGCCACACGTTGTTGTAGATAATGGCTGCGGCATGTCCACCCAGAATGTATGCGCCACCGTCCATTCCAAAATGAAGAGGATGATGAATGGGATAGGGTAAGTTGGCTCCACGTTCCCAAGTATCGGTAGGCACATCGTAAATCCAAGTATCTCTGAGGTTCCAAGCATAGCCCCGAGGATCTTTGTCTCGAGGATAGTAAAACTCTTGGGCTTCACAAGGATCGGCGTCTGTTTCGCAGAGTTCGCCGAATCCTCCTCCTACCCACACTTTGCCTCCTTCCGCGCTTACAGCGGGATGCGTTCGACCCGCTCCGGGAAAATCGGCCAGCCGCGTCCATTCGGTTCCATCAAAGCTGTACCAATCCTTGGGACGAGGAGTCTGAGTAGTTTTTCCACCCAATCCGTAGGTGCCATTGTCAAAGAATCCCTAGACCCCAATAGAGCATTTCGTTTTCCGTGCCACGATCCATCACGTCTCCCATTCCGTACCCTCTGGCTCCCAAGGGAAACGGTCCTAGATCTTTCCATCCCGTGCGGGGATCATAACTAAAATAAGCATCACTAAATTCTTCTCGCACAGTCACATTGTCAGCACCCACGCAATTTTAAAATTGCCACAAAAATCCAATTCTGGAATCCGCAAATTCCCCGAAAACGCAAACGTCTTGCCTCGGAGGGTCACGCCAAACATGTGAGTGGCATCTACCCCAAATGGATTCGTTTCCATAAAGGGAGCTGCTTCCCACACTGGCGTCCCGTAGATAGTAGTTGTTGCCATCTTGGTGTTCGTTGAAACGAAATTATGGGCCCAGCTTTCTACTACATTGTAGTAGAAATCTAAGATCGGTTCAAGCAAAGAGATTTCTAAGATGCCGAGAATGACCCAAAGACCGTATGGCAACCGTATGTACCGGTGGCCTTGACACCTCTTTCTAAGATGCCGATCGAGAATACATCGTATGTACCGGTGGACTTGACACCTCTTAACAAAGTGACGTCAGTCCGATCTCCCGAGCGAAGTGGAAAACACCGCCACGGCATGGTGGAGCACTACAACTACTATCCGACAGAGACCCAACACCACGGGAAAAGTCCTGAACGCGTTGCATCGGAGCAAACAGGACCGTCCGACGGTTTTCACTCAGGCTTTAAAACCTGCCACGACTGGTTATCGTTTTTAAGGGCATGTTAAGGGCATGTTTGTTTTAAGGGCATGTTTAAGGGCATGTTGCCGATTTAAGGGCATGTTTTAAGGGCATGTTTATTTAAGGGCATGTTCATTCGTGATAAGGGCATGTTCTATGGTGTTTCTATAAAGGCTTAAGGGCATGTTTTGAGGCATTAGGGACATGTTTTAAGGGCATGTTTATTTAAGGGCATGTTTAAGGGCATGTTGAAGATTTAAGGGATGTTTAAGGGCATGTTTTAAACCGTCATCAGTCGTGGGAATTTCAAGTTTGTTTTAAATCCTGAGTGAAAACCGTCGGACGGTCCAGGACGGGATGGCGACTGGCAAACGTGCAAACTATACCGGTCTAACACGAGCGAGAACTTCTTGCGAGAGACTTGAGCCAGGTGCCACCCCCCAGGACTTTCCTGGTGTGGCTGAAGAAAGGAGATGAACGACCAGAGCAACTTGGAACGACGAACCGAGTACTAGCTATAGAACAATAGCGAACAAGGAAGTGAGACCGACCGTAGCTGCAAGGAACGAAGAATACAGAACGGAGCTATAGGTCTCGAGCAAGCAACATCAGATGATGGAGGAGCAGGTTCAACTATACCTACCGGTAGTAGATAGTTAGGACTTCATAATACGAAACACAAGACTGCAAGGCAGTAGGGCAGGGCGTGGGTTGCTGGCACTCGGCCAGCAGCCCACGCCCACTAAAAACTATGAAACTACTAGTATTTTATTGCTACACACCAAACACTTTGTTGAGTCGATCGTAGGAGGTTACCATCACTTGCAAGCACACTGCTCTACTCCGACGAGGGAACTGTCACATCTGAGCCTAGAATGACAACATTGCAAGGAACCACCGAGACACTCGATCCGACTTCCAAGTGAAAGTACGACGGGGAGAGGCAACGTAAAACGAGCGTTGAAACACAAGAGCAGGACCACCGTGCCTTGTATGAGCTCGAACCTAAACTAGAAGACGGAAGATGGAGAGAATGTGAGACTTGCGCCAGGTAAAGGTGACATGACAGTTGATAACAAATTCCCGGTGAAGAGGGAGGCGAACGGACTCATGAAATGGCCGCCAATCTTCAAAGGCTCGTAGCAGCTCCAATCAGCACCGGAACAACCACACGGAACGACGACTGGCAACGACGAATGCGTACTGACCTTCAAGAAGATATGCTGATGACAGGGAAAGGAACGGCCAACAGTATCATCTGTTGCGAACCTAACTAAGAGCATGAGCAAGAGATACGTGAGACGTCGAGCGACCCGCCAAACAGAAGAACCGACTTTACCTTGAGCAAGGACGACCCACCCCACAAAGGAACCACCGCAAGATGTCTCTGGATCCGTTCAACCACACAGCGGTCCGCGCGAGGGTTCATCAAAGAAGAACATCTCGAGGCACGTGAACGTGGGACTCTCAATACCGTCATTGTCATCGTCATGCGCCCACCCCAACTGGAACCACCGCAAGATGACTCTGGATCCGTTCAACCACACAGCGGTCCGCCGAGGGTCCATCCGTAGATGCACATCTCGAGGTACGTGAACGTGGGACTCTCAATACCATCATTGTCATCGTCATGCATGTCTTTGAAGAAGACAGAAGGAGTTGTTGTGTTGTTGTGTTGAGAAAGAGAAAGAGCTCGGTTTTGAGGTTTTGACGCAACGGCGTTTCATTGCTTCCTCGAGGAAACGATCGTTTCAATTTTGAGTCAGTTCAAAATCAAAATCAAAAAATAGAAACGCTCCTTTATTAGAATACCTAAGCTGCGTCACGATTGTCGTTCCTTTCAAAATGAATGAAGGCAGCGAGGCAGTTGCACCCGCGTCGAATGATTGAATCGAATCGAAATATATATTGGCTACAGTACTTCGTACCGTCACCGAGAGGTACCTCGTACCGTAGCAGCAGCCGTCATTTGTTCCGATATCTATCATACTATTAATTTCCCTACTCTAAAACCCCCATCATACTATTAAAAAAATAGTACCAGGTACGATGTACCTGTTGGCAAGCCAAGCAACACCTCCATGGATTGACGAAGCGATGCTACACTCCAGGAGCGTTGCTCAATCGTGCCTGTGGGTACCGGTTGCAACGGAGGTCTCAGAACATCATAGTTAACACTAACGCTAAACAAGATCTGAGCAAATTTTTAATTTCTGATCTCTCACTCTCTGATTGAGGGAATGTGGGAATGAATTCATAGTTAGGTACTCGAGTACTAATAGCTAGCTAGTCGATCTACTTCTAAAGTAAGTAATGCTGACGTTCTGAGATTCCTATTTTGGAGATATTTTGTGGTAAACTGCCTTCGAAATTCCGGGAGCTATGCATACAAGTACCGGTATCTGAATTCTCATGCTGCTCACCATCCGTAGGCCACTAGCTAGCTAGTACTGCGACACTGCGACTTTGCTTGCTAAACAAAGTTGCTGCCTGCTAGCTAGCTAGAGCAGGCAGCAACCACGGAGAAAAGACCAAGATCGCTCTTCAATATGCACACGCTTTCACGCATCACCACGTGGCGAAGTTCCAGCGGGATTATGGAGAATAGACTATGAGTTCGTGACCTTCGACGCAGTTTCCTGTCTTAGCGTGATCCCATCCCAGTTGCTTTGAAGTCAATAGGCCATTGCTCGTTTCCTTTCTTAAGAACCTGAATCACTATTGCATTGATTGTTAAATCCTCTTGTACCCTGATGGAAATATGGGTTGTGGTCGCACTTACAGATCTTTGGCTCACTAAAACATCTCATTTTTGCCTTGCTTGTGTCGTAGGTTTGTGGCTTGCAGTGATATCCCGTTTATCTAGACTACAGTCGTACTAAAATTTTGTTTCTAAAGGTCCCTTGCATCTCTGATGATATTTTAGAAGCGACCTCGGAGTTCAGTGGGTACGACGGTGTACGACCGCCGACCACTGGGTCACAGGGTACTGGCTAGAGTACCCGTAACGATGTGAATGATGTGGCGATGTGGCTGAACTTCTGGAACTTCAGTGTCATTGGTTGCCTCATTGCTTCAGACTTCAGATCATCCAGGTTGAATTTTGCATCCAGCGATCCCACAATTTGAGTTGGAGCCAAAGCTGCAAGCCTCTTTTAGCCAGCAAGCCAAATAACTACATTCTTTTGCAAGCTACTCCACAATGAAGTCCATTGCCGCTACTTGTATCATCCTTGGTTTGGGGTTGTTGACAACCTCCGTCCTGGCTCAATCTCAGGCTGCCAATGGTCTCCGAGGATCCTCCCCTTCGACGTCCAAGGACGAAACTTTTCGCCTTTGGGGACGAAAGCTCCAAGCAGGCCCACCTCCGATTGACCCTGAAATCTTTACCCTTGCTGCCACGGTAAGTCCTTGCATGTCCTCGCTCTTCATGCATCAACCAACCAACCAACCAAAAGCCTTCACTCACCAAGAAGCAAACTTTTCCTTGACATTGCTTCGTTCTCCTGCAGATTCCCACGTTGGATCCATGGCTCGGCAACTACGAGACTCCCTTTGCCTTGCGCTTCACAAACTATTTTGGCGCCATGTGGTGGAACTGCATTGCCGTGTACTCTACCGACTACACCGATACCTTGACCAAGACTGATCCCGCAGTGCGAGTTCCCGATGTTACCCTGCACACCAAGGCCAACCGGGTAGCTTGCATGGCGCAGAGCACTGCCACTTACAACTCCTTTTCGCTACCTGAAGCTCAGGAAGGATACCTGGATGTCATCTATGGCAACAATCCCTTTCCTCCAGGTGCTGTCAACTACACCGGAATTGTTGAACCCACCTTGGATGCATTCGTACTTGGATGTGGTTCAGATGTTGCGTGCCTCCAGCAAGTGGCTGCCAGCAGTCAGTACAGTCCCACCATTATGGGAATGATTGTGGCAAAGCTCGTGTATCTCTACTCAATAGAAGACGGATACAATCAATTGGGAACGGATGATGGATGTGTTGTCAGCTGCCGTGCCTACAAGGACACCACTGGCTATGCTCCCGTCAACGATCCCAATAGTCAACAGGGAGCTAGTTTTGAATCGCGATGGGAACCCCTGCTCGAGGACAATGGAATGGGATTCTTTTATCGCCAGGAACACGTTGCCGCTCACATTGGTGCCAAGGCAAAGTTCCGATACATCCCCGAGTCGGACCGACAAACTCGTGTTGCTGCAGACCCAGGATACTCCAACAAGCGTATCTCCGAATCACTGCAAGTCATTAATCTCATGGCTCAACTCGATGACACAAAGAAGGTGGAAGTTGAAATCTTTGATGACAAGCTGGTTGTTGCCAATGCAATCTTCGACTCGTTCATTGGCAAGCTGGCTTCATCTGCGTTCGTCGACGGGGACTTGCCAGCCGGCCCCAACAGCTTTGTCAGTTTGGAGCGATTTGTCAACTTTGTTTCGGGTAAGGCCGGGACACGTGCTTGCTCCTTTGCTTAAACACTGCTAGTAGCTATAAAAACCTCAACTTTCCCTTCTTTCTTCATCTGCCTCCAGGCTTCTTGGCCGCTGAACTGGATTCCGCCATTATCGCTTGGAAGGAAAAGATCAGTTATGACTTGGTCCGACCCACAAGCATCATTAAGCGATTCGGAGGCAATGTCACCACTTGGGCACCTGGTGGCGTCCAAGAGTTTCCCTCAGAAAACTTTGAAGCCTACAAACGGGTCATGCCTCACTCCGAATACGTTTCCGGATCAGCTTGTCTGTTCGAAGCCGGTGAAGATTACATTGTCAAGTACATGCAGGAGCTGGGTCTTTCCACAACCTTTCCCGTGACCTTCAACCCCTTCCCAGCAGGCAGCAGCAGCGTCGAGCCAGGAGTGGTTCCTGCCGCAGACATTACGCTATCGTACTCCAGTATTGAAGAAATGGCTACCGTGGGAAGCCAGAGTCGCTTGAATGGTGGAATGCATTTTGAAGCAAGCGTCCCAGCTGCCAAGGCTCTTTGCGACGACATCGGGACCATCGCCGCAGACGGAACCGTTGGCTTGTACCAAAGCGCCGCTTCCACCTAAAGCTGACTGATAGCAATAGATACTGGGACGGGACAACACTGGTACTGCTTGCTGGCGTCCTTTTGCATTTGTACATAATGATAATCGTTTGCATAAACCAAGTCTGTGGTAAGCTTTGCTCTTCAGCTGTACCGGTACGGGTACTGTAGCGGTGGTCGCATCAGGTTACTTCGAGTAGTCGCCTCCAGCATCTCCTCTGGAGGCTTCTTGTTTCAAGACCCGATAATAGGGAAATGTAGTTCGTACTTGGTCCAGAACGGAAGCTTTGATTTGACAAACCAACCAGGTATCGCTCTCGCGCCCCAGGCTTTGTGGCTGGTAGTCCTCGTTGCCGCTATCGTCGACCCACGGAGGGACACATGTGGTCTCGCCATAATCCGTTCCACCATAGTTCACCCCTACAAAGTAGACGGAATTTTCAATGGCACGTGTTTCTCGAAAGGATTTCCACGTGACAAAGGTGCAATCACGAAGGAAGGCAGCTGGTTGTAGCAAGACGTGGACGTTGTGTTGGGCGGCGTAGGTTCGTGCCAGAGTGGGGAATCGTTGGTCAAAGCAAATGAGCATCCCCAAGTTCCAGCGGTTGCCAATCTGAAAGGAAACTGGTTGTTCAGAGGGAGAAGGCACAAAGAAGCGCGTTTCGGCACACTCCCCAACATCGCATAGGTAGATCTTATCGTAGACAGCAACTTTGTTGCCATTAGGATCTACAACAATTTGTCGAATGGTATAATCCACTTGATTGTCGCCACTGCCATCATCCTCCTTGTTCTTGGAATGCCAACCAACCGAGCCATAGCATATGTGCGCCTTTAGATCTTGCGCCGCCTGGGCCATGCGAGTGTCTAGATCAAGGTACAGTTGTTGTTTCTCAGAATTCGCAGGAAGATAATGAGCAAAGGTGTGTTCCGAATATCCAATGGGCGATAGCTCCGGCAAGACAAAAAGATCAATGCTTGATGCGTGAAGTTTGCTGGCTTGCTCCATTATGGCGATTGCGGCGTCGATGGCATCTGCGGGAGGCTGCGCATCGAGTCGCAGAGAAGGCTGCAGGGCGCAGATGATCAGACAAGAGGAATCTTGTTCCGTAGAGTCAGACGATGCTGCCATGGTCGTAATATACGTAGACGATGCCGGTGGTTGCAGGGCAAGAAATAGGTGTTGCGGGATTGGCCTATTCGATTGTGACCGGTTCCTCAGCACTGTCTCACACGGGTAAGTCGAGAAGGAAGCGACACGAGCGACAACAGCCAAGAGGAGCAGAGGCTTCATATGTCGCATACAAGAGAGTGCAACAAGGATAAGTTGGAGATGTGATGGTAACCCTTGGTGCCGTCCGACTAGTCAACGAACCGTGGTGAAAATTTCGTTGTGGAGGTATTCCTGCGAGCCGGCCAAACGAGAATAATGAAATTTTTCTTCCCTTTTCTCTTTTTTACAGGAAAACTGCATTTTAGATTGATAAAACGAACGGCCTGGGACTGTACAGAGGCAACACACAACCGTGTGAGCCCTGATCCGCCAGTCTTGCTCCGTGTATTTATCTACGTCCAGGTCCGCCAGGGCCCATCATTCCAGGTCCGCCAAGGCCCATTGACTGAGCCATCTTCATCATGGCATCCATATCCATTCCAGGAGGCATTCCAGGCATCCCTGCTCCTCCTCCACCTCCCATGTTGGGCATTCCACCTCCTCCCATCAAGGCGCTCATGTCAGGCATGCCACCACCCATACCGGGCATGCCTCCCATACCGCCCATGGCGTTCATCATTGTGGACATGTCTGGCATTCCACCAGCTCCACCAGCGCCTCCGCCTTTGGCCATTTGCTGCATCATGGCTGCGACCTTGTCGCGTCCTCCCATCTGCTGAAGCATTCGAGGGTCCTGTCGGTCGTGAGCAAAGAAAACGGCAAGTGAGAATGGATCCTGGATTGGCAAAACGAACAAGCCACACCAACCACACTACGCCTAACTAGTAACTCACCATTTGATTCAATCGCTGCTGAATGAGATTGGGATTTCGTCGCATTTGCTCTGCCATTTGTTGCTGCTTAGCTTGTGCATTCTTGCCAAAGAGGCCCTTGCTTTTTCCCACCATTCCTTCAAACTGCCGGTGTACTTGCAGCAACATCATGACTTCCTGAATGTGTGTGCCCGATCCAGCCGCAATTCGTCGGATACGCGACTGCACTTTCGGATCATCCTTTTTGCTCAAGTCCACCTTCCCGTCCAGTTCGGCGTTGGTCATGGAGTCCATCATGTACTAATAAACATAATATTGGACGTAGCACAATATCGAACAAGTCACAAAACGTCGTGAGGAATACGGTAGCGCGATCAAAATTAAAGGCTCGTCCAACCACATGCAACTTGTTTGTTGTTTGTTTGTATGCACTCACCATGAATTTTTTGAGTCGACCGGTTGCTTCTTGGTCCCCTCCCTTTGGGATGAGATATTCGGGCATTCCGGGCATGTACCCCATGAGTTTTTGCATGGATCCCATGGAAAGTACCTTTTGAAACTGATTGTACATGTCGCGGAGACAGAATTTTCCCAGTTCGAGTTGTTTCATGAGCGTATCTTTGCCATCTCCATCGACCGACTTGAAAGCTTCTGCGAGTCCTCTCATATCTCCGTATCCGAGCAATTTGCTGACGAATGATTCTGGATGAAAGGATTCCAAATCTTCAAAATGTTCTCCGGTTCCCGTAAAGATAATGGGCGATTCGGTGGCGGCGACGGCACTGAGTGCACCACCTCCTTTGGCGCCTCCATCGAGTTTGGTGACAATGACGGATCCGACATCGACGGCAGAATGGAATGCCAATGCTTGATCGAACACGGCTTGTCCCTGTGTGGCATCAATAACGAGAACGGTATTGTTGGGTTTGACGGCGGCACTGATTTCTTGCATTTCTTCAAAGAGTGCCGATTCTTGTTTGTGTCGTCCGGACGTGTCGACAATAATGACTTCGTATTTTTCCTTTTTGAATTGATTGACACCATCTTCGGCAATGAGTACGGGATCGGCTTCGGTGTAGGATCCGTAGAATGGAACGCGCAGTTTGGTAGCATTTTGTTTGAGTTGATCAAAAGCACCCGCTCGAAAGGTATCGGCACAGACCATGGCTGTTTTCCATCCTCGTTTTTGATGATAATTGGCGAATTTGGCAATGGACGTGGTCTTTCCGGATCCTTGCAATCCCACAAATAGAACGACATTGGCTTTTCCCTTTTTGAGTGAATATGCCTTGTTTTCTGGATTGAGTAGATTTGTGAGTTCATCCACGACAGCCTTTTGTACGGTTTTGCTGAGATGACTGGCGCTTCGTCTGTTTTGATCGTCTTGGTCGTCACCCTTGCTTTCTTCTGCTTCAATCTGTGTCATAACCTTGGTCTTGATTTGTTCTCTCATGGTCATGACCATTTTGACATTGACATCTGATTCGATCAAGGCTCTTGAAATATCAGATAGGAGTGCATTGAGTTGATCCTTGGTGACTCTGCCGGAAGAGGAATGGAGCTTGCGGAGCGACTCCCGCAGCTTGCCACCCAACTCGGCCAACACCATCTTGTCTTAATTTGTCTCTACTAGCTAAGATGGGCTAAGTCAAGCTAAGCTAGCTAGCTATCTGATCCTTAGCTGGTTACAGGTCAGTGAATGAGCCTTAGCCTTGGTTGGACCTGAACAAGTAAAAGAATAGAGAAGCAAAAGAAAGGACAAAGCAAATGAATGAGAGAGAAATCTTTCAGCCACAGAACTTAGCTAGCTAGCAAGTTGCTAGGTAGCTATTCAATGATTTGACTGATTGTGTGGTGTGTACGGTGCAAGCAAGTATCCATAGTCTATGTATGTTTCCTCCCTCTGAAAGTTTTGGTGATTTTATCGCTCACAAAGCCGGTAAAGCTCTGCTCGGTCGAAAGATGTGTATTTTGAAATCAAGAATAGATCGTCATTGGGAAACAATGTCATACTCAAGCAGTACCATACAAACACCGCCAACTCCGTAGTCTATAGAAGACCTGATCAAGTCAAGTCTGAACTCACTTACTCCTGACACACACACTGTCGCCTTGCCTCGCTACTCTGGCCTGATGACTACCTTCCTGTATCCTTGACTGCTGCAAGAATTGAGTCTGAGTCTGAGGCTCTTCCTACTCTACGATAGAGACTTTGTCTTTCAAACTCCAACGCCGCCATTGTGGTGCTCTCCGTGGTTGGTTACAAGGTCGAAAATGGTTCCACGCGGAGCCATTTGAGAGGTCGATGAAGGTTAAAGTACAGCGCAACATAAGTTCGAATAGTTCGAAATGTGTATTATTCGATCAATTCGATCGTTTCGACCGATTTCTGCATCCACCAAACTATGCATAAACGTGACGATACAAAAAGAAAAGATTGGCTCCTCCCTTCTTTTGGATGCTCCACACAACATAGCCGCTACTATTACTAGTACATGTAATCTGGATGTAGATGATTGTATCTGTATCTGTATGATCTTTCCTGATGAAAGCTTTGTTGAGAGTAGGGATCTTGTGTACTGCAGTTTGCTTTTTGGCCACTCAGCAGCTGATCACCATTGATAGTGTACATGTAGCTACATCAGATTCTACAACCAGTCAGCATTTGAAGGGATTTCTCCAAGGCCATCATCATCATCCAAGTGCAACTGAACATCAACACACAAGTCAACAGACAAGTCAAAACAAAGAGAAAAACAAAAATGACAACAAAGTGCAAAATGACAATAATAAAGAGAAAAATGACACAAACAATGCAAAATTGGTGAATGGTGAATTACAGTGGAAAAGTGTGGAATATGAAAAACGCCAATTTGCATCTGAAAAGATTTTATTTTTCTTACACATTCACAAGAGTGGAGGAACTGCCTTTTGCAATTTGGCCAAATTCCAGATGCTGTCTACTAGCTCTACCAACTGCAATGTCCAAGTGGATCAAAGATGCTGTGGCAATCAAGACACTCTTCAAGCACAAGCGGACTATGCTCAATCCGCAGTCTATGATTTTGTGGCAGCCGAAGGGAGAATGTATGACAGTATGGATGTCAACCACTACAATTACATTCTCATTTTTAGACAATCCATGGATCGCTATTACAGTCATTGGAAGGCAGTCAAACAAGTCTACCGACAATTGCCACCTTCTATGCAAATGGAAAATGATGAAGAAGATATACTTCAAGCAGCGGGTGGAATTGGTGTGGCGGGACAAGCCATTCTCACTCATCACAAGGGGGCTGCTCCACTACAGCAAAATGAACAAATGGAAGCACAGTATAACCACATGGTGGATCTGGTCAGAGAAACAAAAGAACAAAGAGTGCAGAGAAGACAACAAAAAATGGCAGAAATGGAAATGTGGAAACAGCAGGCTGTACAAGTGCAAGAAGAATTCAAGCATCAACAGCAGCAACCCATTCAGCAACAACAAGCAGAAGCAGAACCAATACCGTTCCAAAATGAACCACCACCACCTCCACCCGAATTGAAAATGGAAGATTTCACCCTCGATGCTGATAAAAACCTGGGAATATTCATGCCCAATCGACGACGAAGACGGTTGCAAGAAGAAGATGAAGAATCGTCTGTATTACAACACTTGCAGGTAGCTCTCTCCCCGCAATCCAGACAAAAGCTAGTCAACGAACTGCACGAGCTGCACCATCCCCACGACGACAATAAACCTCCTCCGCTCATTCCACATCCCGCACAAGATCCAGCCACTGCCTTTCGCGAAGGTCAACAATTTCAAATGCCCGTCTTTGGACGTACCTTTCAAGAATGGTGGCAAACACAACCGGACAATTGGAATTTTCGACAACTCTGTGGCACCCACTGTCAATCGGTACCAAAGTACCAACTGACCATGGAACATTGGTCCTACACACTCAGTCGACTGCTACGATTCGATACCGTGCTCTTTTTGGAAGATTTGGATGCCTCCCTTCAAGTACTCGCATCTCGACACCCGCACTATTGGAATCAATCCCGTACTCTGCACGAAATGAACATGGCACTCTATCAACACGAACAAGCCACGGCCATTCAAAAAGAAAAATCGAATGCAAAACGAACCATCGAAAGGACAGACGCGGAATGGAAGGAATGGTATCGAAAGAAAAAGGAAGACGCCATGATGAAAAAGATGAGAGTTCCGGAAGAAGATCGACGATTCAAAAAGAAACAACTTCAAAAATGGGATCCGCTCATGTCCGCCGTGGACGATGCACTCTACAATGTCGCACAACGTTGGGAAACACTCAAACAGAAAAAGGAAAAACAGCAACAGCAGCAATCTACAGATATTACCAATCAAGAATTGGGGACCATTTCCGATCTCTACTCATTGCCACAGCAAATACACGAAATGCTGCAGTTTTACATGGACGAAGATGGCGTGCACCGACAGCTGTGTGAGAACGAATGCTGTGAGTCGCAGTGTTCGGCGTGGTAGTACCGTATTGGACAGTGCCTGATACAGAATGACGTCCATGTGTAAGCAGTGGGTCGGATGGAATCACAATGCCACGGGAGAGCAACATTTGCGAATAGAATCGAATCTACTTGGCCAAACTTCGGGTGGAAAATCTTCCGATCGAGACACCCAAACGTGTGCCACGCACTTTGACAGTTTCTTCAAGATGATACGGTTCGACGAGCACTGATGCGCAATCACCAACCACTGAATCCTCCTTCCAAACAAAGTGCAATCCGAGAGAATCGTAGCATCATTTGGGCGACGGAAGGATGGTTGTGGCGGTCCCCATCTAAAACGTCAGGGGATACGGCCTGTTTTTTTTACGGTGCCAATACCGGCATTGAATGAATACGTATCTGTTTTTACATGATCCGTCGGCTGAGTCGGTACCGGCGGGGGACAATGCTTCCTAGTGGGGCAAGTTTTTGTAGGCGCGGATGGGACCCTCCGTCAAACTCTTTGCTAGTTATTAGTTAGGGCATAAAACTCTAGAGCTTATGCAGCTGATTGCGTTGCCTTTCAGATCAAGTCCGAATTCGTCTAGCCAGCAGCTGTACGGCAGCAGCACTAGGGACGATAGAGGCAATTGTACCATACAGTACCAATATCCGGGGTGTTCAAAACGGTGAAAGCAAAGCAGATCGAAGATCCCCTGAATCACGAACACTAGTGACTGATGTCACGGGTGGTGTCATTGAAGATCTTTGTTGCAGTTCAGCCACTCGATCGATCTCGAGTCTCGAGGGCCTCTCTTCGCTCCTTCTGACAAACTTCTCTTGGTCTAACCGGTTACTCTATCCCCTGCAAGTGAACCACCTGAGATGATGAAGCATTGGTTCCTGGTCTTCAGCTTTCTTTCCTCGGCATTGGCGTTTTCTCCCGCCCTCCACGCGTCGACCGCTCGATGCAGCCATGAGTTGAAGGCTCACGACGACGACGACGACACTGCAAACTCGAGAAGAGACTTTTTGGCGGCAGCTTCCTTGCTGCTTTGGCCTACGACAGCCTTTGCCGATGACGATGCCACTGCAACGATCCACAAGGTAGATTATCCCGTGGATGGCAAGTGTGGACAAGCCGATGTTCCTGAAAAGGTGGTTGGATTGGTCAAGACTTTTGGTGGATTCAAGGACGGATCTTGCTCCACAGAAGGATACACGGCCGCACAAGGAACTGCCAGTGGCACTGGTGAAAAAGATTCCAAGAGAACCTATGACATTTACGAAAAGTAAAAGTAGTAGGAACAAAATTGACGCAACTATAAAAGGTTATTACGGCACTGAGGACAAAATACATGTATACATGGTCTGCAGGGTCAGCCCAAGGTTGGATCTATTCTACTAGCCTTGTACCAGGTACTTGTACAGAACCAAAAACTGGCCCAACACTTTATCTTTAAAATGAGAAGTACAAGCTAGTTAGTTAGGTACACCTTTGGATACCGTACTCCATACCGGTACGAGTATTGGTACACTTTTAGTTGTCAACTGTTGCTACCATCAGGGGTTGCACTGCTGGGGCAAGTCATTGTGGGAATTCCCGTGCTGGGGCAAGGCATTGTGGGAAATCCAGCAATGACTGAGGCGATCCACTGTGGAAACCAAGTAAGTGCTGGGCAAACCAACGTTCTAGCAGGTGCGGGACAAGCCATTGAGGGAAATCCAGATAGCTGTTATGGAAATTCCAGTGCTGGGGAAACCCTTGTGAGAGTTCCAATGCTGGAGGCCAACAATCCAAGCATTGAAACACAAAATGCTCTGAGAGTCAACGACCTGTAATAGGAAGCAAAATGGTAGAATTGTTTGGCAACTAGCCCAAGCAACCTCAATCATATCCATACCGTACTCTTCGCAATCAGATCTCGCGTACGGTGTTCATGCATGCGATGAACCTGGCTGATCAAAGGGAATTCCGCTGCGCTGCGGTAGTTTCGTTGTTGTGGCTGCAATTCCATCACCATGGAGTCGATCCCGGAACTCTATGACGGCACCATTCGTTGATTGGGAATGTTGCGAGGCTTGTGTGGGAGTGCAGGACGCAAGCCAAACAGATTACTGAGAAGCACTTACCAGCGTACATGCGAAATGCGAACAAAGCAAATATGGCTTGTCCAGAAAGAATGGTTCTTTTGAAGAGTGTCACCTTGAAAGAACGAAAGAACAGCAAAAAGAGACATGAATTATTTATTGGTTCTTTTTTCGAATCTCTCAATGCACTAGACGCTTAGTATCCATTTCTCCCAAATTTTTGCAGATGGATCGATGAGAGCTGCCTCTAATTGAAGTTTATGATTGTGGCAATAATGGCTTATTTATCCTTTTTTCAGAAAGAACCCCATTTATTCTTTGCCGTATCTCAATATCTCAATCGGCTCTCGAGCTCGCAATGCAAGCATTAGTTAGCACAAAGATAGAGCTTCCAATTTTAATAGCTGACCCTTTCAATGATTATTCTCACATTCGCATTTTCCCAGGGGTTGGAGGGTACCCAGCCAATCCTGAGTACCGGTACATGTGCTACATGTTGTAGCTCATGTTGGGATGTCTGCTGTGTTGCAGTGAGCTTGCAGTGTTGCTCTTGTCATTCAGAATTCAGACCAATCATTGACCTGATATCCTCCCTACCGGTACCGTATGCATGCTTCAAACTTCAAACTGCAAATCGAGCCAGAAGCAATCAGATCCTACTAGTAAGCTGCACTTCAGCTGTTAATTAATTCCACATTTTTTTACTGTAAAGGGCTATGTAAAAACATGCTGACTCTGGAGTAAGTATCTACGATAAGACCACCATGATTTGTCCGTCGTCTAACTACAGAGAGGCAGAGTCACTGAGCTGTCACCGAAACCAGCGAATTATCTATGTCATAGCTGTAGATAGATGATAGCATGCTGTAGATTGTAGATCAGAGCTTGAAGCAGTCCTCTCCACTTTGCATGGCTTCGAATTCGAATTCGTGCAAGGGCCGAAGAAGCCCTCAAGCTGGAGCCCCTCCACCTTCTTCTTTTTTGGGTTGAGCTCACTTTAAAATTTGCTAGATTGATTTGAATCCTTCAGACCGAACGATGTCCACTCCTGATCAGAATGATGACGACCTGATGAAGCTGGTTGCAGCTCGTGCCGAGAGCTCGTGGACGAATGGTAACTTATCGTCGTCCAACATTGATGATGACAGTGAGTCTCAGTCTTATACGCCGAGCCAAGCTGCCAATTGTACAATTTCCCCGTCGACGTCCAACGCAAATTCCAATGCCAACTTGGAGTATTGTGACAAGGAGCACCAGTTGGAGATCCAAGATCTTCGAGAAAGGGCTGAAGCAAGGAATATGAAAGAAGCAGGTAAAGCCTGTGCTGTTGCTGGAAGAGAGGATGACCCAGAGGACGAGAAACTGGCTGCCGAACTGATGCTGGAAGAAACGATGCTGGAGGAGAAGAAGAAAGTCAAGCTTGAGCCTGCATACGGCGAGAAAAGGCAGAAGGGAGAGATCAGCTCTGAGACGGAAGCAAACTCTGAGAGCCCTGTTGCCTTCGTCACAGCAGCATCGGATGGATCCACCGCCAGCGGGTCTCCCGAAAGACAAGTTGTTCCAGATATTGATGACGACATGGGTCCTGGAGCTTGGGCCGTCTCAGGGTACCGAACGAACCGAAGTGGAGATCAGGCCTCAGACGATGAGACATATGATGTGGAGGCCAATACGACTGTACCAGTCGCTATTCTGGCAGAAGATGACGCCAATCTTCCAGAGGCACAACAAGACTTTGATCACTCGGTACAGCACTTCAAGACCAAGCAGTTGAAGAAGAGGCTTGCCATTGCTGCCTTCTTTCTTCCAACCGTTGCCCTAGTCATTGTCATTTCTCTTGTCCTGGCCCTCGGAAGTGGCAGTTCCTCTGATGAAAAGACAATGGCACCACAAATCAACATCTCTGATGAAGCTCAAGCCCCCATCGACTTGGATGAACACGTCAAGAACTTGTTGCCGGAGGAAAGCATCCGTGCTATGGCGCAGATCGATTCACCCCAGGCCAAGGCATTCCAGTGGATTGTGGAAGACCAGAACCTCTTAATGCTGTCGGATGACCGCATACTACAGAGGTACGCTTTGGCAACTCTATACCATGCCACCAATGGAGATGAATGGGCACTCAATGACTACTGGTTGAATCACAATGTGCACGAGTGCCAGTGGTTTGGCAAAGATGTCTTTGCCATGAAGAACATGGTGGCCAAGTTCTACCCAGGATACCTATCCGAGTTCTTCCCGCCCACCGAAGCTCCGCCTGTGAACTGTAATGTCAATGGTCACTACTTGAATCTATGGTTGGACAAGAACAACCTAGTGGGATATCTGCCCCAGGAACTGTACTTGCTGACAACCCTCAAGACTCTCTCCGTTGGATTCAACCAACTCAAGCGGGGAATCTCAAGTCAGATTGGACTGCTTACCTCCTTGGAGGGAGCATCCTTTGCCAAGATGCAAGATGCAGGAGAAATTCCATCAGAACTGGGCGTGCTGACCAACTTGAAAGGCTTGAGTCTTTCCACCAGCAATCACCAAGGCTCCATACCCTCAGAACTTTGGCAGCTGACTAACATGCAGACCCTTGCTCTAAGCTTCAACAAGGACCTCAGGGGCTCCCTCCCAACTAAGATTGCAAGCATGTCCAAGTTGAAGATGTTCGCTATTGCAGACACTTCTCTCACTGGTAAGTGATGAGCTGGCCTGACCTGACCTGCCTGAGAGGAATATGCCAATGCATGAACTGTCACTCTGTGAAACCAATCTCACATTGTACCTGTCCGTTTTGCCCCCATGAATCAACTCTTCGCAGGCTCCATCCCTACCGAGATGGGTCTCCTACAGGACACTCTTGAATGGATTGCTCTTGGAGGGAACAGCTTGACTGGCCCAGTAAGTAGAAACAACGCAGAACAACCACCAGGGTTCGCAGCTTGTTCTTGTGACCAGTCTCCCCAATGCTGATTCTCTCTTCTCATTTTCTATAGATCCCCTCTGAATTTGGACTCCTGACCAACATGTTGCTGCTCTCTGCCTATGAAAATATGCTGAGTGGATCGATCCCTACAGAGCTAGGAGAATTGACCTTGTTTCAATACTTTATAGCCCTTAGGGGCAACATGCTTTCGGGTCCAATTCCCAGTGAGCTTGGGAGGCTGACATCTCTCAAGCTGAGTCTGAACTTGCATGATAACAAACTGTCTGGGGCCATCCCTACAGAACTTGGACGCTTGGGGGCTCTACAAGACTTTTCCGTGGACAATAATGTCATCTCAGGCCATATTCCTTCCGAGTTGGGGCTCCTGACATTGTCACTGGGTATGCTTGGACTGGCCAACAACACGTTGTCTGGGACCATTCCCCAAGAGATGTCATTTTTGGAACCCTTGTTGCACACGTTAAGGTTGGAGGGCAATGCATTCTTGTCAGGAGTGGTCCCGGACGAGCTCTGTCAGCTGAATGCTACTTGCACTGGCCACAGTCTGTATCCCTGCCAAGGACCGTATGGAATGACGTTTGACTGCAGTGACTTGCTTTGTGGCTGTGGTTGTTCGTGTGCTGCTGCTGGCAGGCTTTGATGATGATGCATGAAATGCAAGCAAGCAACCCCAGAAACAACACATGCTTGGGGACTGCCCCCTTTTTACTACATTCGTTCCGGTACACACACATATGCATATTTTAAAATCTATCTAACTAGTAAACCTTCATTTCAAGTGTATAGCGTTGAACTATTTATCTTTTCGGGAGGAAATCCCTTGTTTTGTTGCCAGACAGCGTTCAAAGGAGGTAGTAATCATAGGGCGGGCGGAAGCAGCCGACATCATGATGGTCGAACCTTGTTTCCCTTCCAAAGGGATTGTGGTGTTTGGGTGGATTTCGGTGGTTGTGGCAAGAGTGTTGTGCAGCGTGGATTTCAACCGTGGAACGTTAGGGTTGAAAAGTCAGTTCCAAAAGAGGAAGGTACGGTACCAAAGATGCATCCACCCGTGACCAGCAACCATGAAGGATTTCGGCACAACCAGTATCCGTGCATCCGTGCAGAAGAAGTTGCTTGTGACTCTGCCATTATTATTGTGGGACCAACAGCCGGGAAGAAAGAGGCCCAAATAGATACCCACACAATAATGCAGTCAGCCAGAAGCACCCATTGATGGTTATCATATCTATGTCTATAGCTATCTAAATCAAAAAGAAGAAGAAAAAAAAACAAGTCTAGCTAGCTAGTCTTTTATTAAGTTGATGAAGATGATGGAATCATTGTTGGCCATGGGTAGCAGCATACGGATGATTCAGTTTTTGGTGTACAGCGTGGCTCTTTTGGGTGCTGGATTCTACCTGAGAAGTGGACTGAGCCATTTGGGACTACCAATGGCTACCGAAGCCACTGAGAAACCTATTGAGATTGAAGAATGCAGCCAGTTGAGCCAAAAAGCCATTCAACTGGCACTTCCCACGGGAGATGTCATTTCAAGAGATACCCGATGTCCCGTTTCCGATGCCTGGCTTGCCGATTATCTACACAACTATTATCATCCTACCAACAGCAAGAGCAAAAGCAAAAGCAAAAAGAAGGAGGAATTTGTGTTTTTGAATTTTGGCTGCAACAAGGGATTTGATGCCGTTCAAGTGGCTGCTGATGTTTCGGGGGATCACCAATTATTTGACAAGCAAAAATGGTACACACACTTGGAAATCAATACCAAGGCCATTCGAAGGCCCAATGGGGTTTGTCATCAAGGGGAGGTTGATAGCAACAGCAACAACACTATTCACAAAAAGAAGAAACACTCCCACGACAAACCCCATAAAGTTCAAGTCCACTGTGTGGAAGCCATGCCACAAACAGTCTCTAAACTCCAACATGCCGCCACGGCCACAAAGGCAGACAAACATGGAATACACATTCACAATTATGCATTGGTGGGAAACAATGCTCCATCGACCATTCTGTTCCCCAATCCACCCGGCAAAGGAGGTGTGGAGCATATGGGAATTGGAAGTTGTCAAGAGGAAAAATACAAAAAACACTGCAAACAAGTACCAGCCATTACCATTGACAATTATGTCGCACAGCATGTATCCACTTCCACATCCACCACCAGAATTCCCTTTGTCTCTATTGATGTCGAGGGATACGACTTTACCCTCATGAAGGCAGCGCCAGATACACTCCAACGAACCGACTACCTCGAGTTTGAATTCCACAGTCACGGGGACTGGGCCAATCAGACACTCCACGATGCCACGGACATGCTCGAACAGTTTGGGTTTGTCTGTTACTGGGCGGGACAGAATCAATTGTGGAGAATTTCCAGTTGTTGGATGGACGTGTATGGCAGTTTTCATGGCTGGTCCAATGTCGCCTGTGTCAATCCACTCCATCAGCCAGGGTTGGCCGCCAAAATGGAACACGTTTTTGAAGCATCACAGGAAGCCGCACTACTCAACATTGACATCATTGACAATAATAAACCACCAAGAAAGAAAAGCAACAAAAACAAAAACAAGTCAACAGCAACACAACAACCATGACAGAATCAAAAACGGATGGTACAATATCAACGACGCCGTAACAGACACGCACACGTAACACAAATAGAGTTTCTTTCAGTTTTTATAGGCACCCAACGCGTCCTTTTCGATCATTTCACGGGTTGCGGGCAAACGAGCATTCGATTAGCACCCGGACTCGACTCGACTCGACTCGACTCGACTCGACGACTCACAACTGGCGTCCAATGTATCAACGAACTCGGATCACAGCACGTTTTTGCGAAACCGTTGTCGTCGTCAACCTGAGAAAACTCGGTGCTCTGGGATGCCCTCTGGACCATAGAGTTTGCTGGCTGTCCTTGGTGGGAGGAGCCACGGTGAAGATTGAAGACTTTTTTAGAGAGAAAGGATGTTTGAGTTGATGCGGATGTTTGCTGCTGCATTTTGGTTTGACGAAGATCAAGATTGTGAGCTTGAGGTGAGATGAGCAACAGGTGGAGCCTCGGATGTCTTCACCCGGCCCATCAAAACCCAAAGTTGTACTGGGAATATCCTTGGAAGTGGGCTCCGTAGACGCTCTGCAATCCACGGTACCGGTACCGGTACGGTCTCGTGGTAGTTGATTTTAGAGAACAGCTTCAAGCTGGCTAGCTTGAGTCTATTGTAGCCCTGCCGTTTTCTATAGTGCAAAAGATTTGGACGAAGGGCTCCATCCAGCTAGACGTCTAGTTGTCCTGTTCCCAACTCCAAGTCCCTCGAGCGAGATCACTGCAAGTTTCTCGAAGCAGTAAAATGCAGCAACTTGCATGGTTGCAATTGCAGTCAACACGGAGCAATAACCAGCCTCTTCATGATTCGTAGCCTCTTGCTTGGCTGGCTGTCTCCGCCGATTGCTAGCTAGCTAGGTAGACAAGCAAGCTGCACAAAGTTGCTCTTGTTGTGGGCGGAGATAAGGTAGCCGAGCAAGATCCGACTGCAGTGACCAACTACTAGTATTATCTACGATAGCGGCTCCGTGAATGGTTGGGCTCAAAAGGATCTTACTGGTCCCACTGTTCCGCTCAAGACCTCCAGCATCTGCGCCAAGAAATCCTCCGTGAGCCCCACCCAACCTTCCGGCCCTTTGTAATATAAATCAGCTGAATTTTACTATTAAAACTTTGCCGGTACGACTGTACGTGAACTATACCAAAAGCCTTTCTTTGGTCAATTTACGTACTGTACTTAGTATTTGTCGCTAGGATTTAATTATCTATACTAGGTTGACATCCTTACATGTATTGCGGACGTTGGATCTTTTCAGAAGCCAGATCTTGGAGTATCTTTGTGACTGACGACACCAACCCTTCTTTCTCATCGAGGGATGAACCACCCTTTTGCAAATTCTCACAATTTAATCCTGTCAAAGATCTGAGCTGATCAGAAACGAAGATAACTACTACTAATATCTACCATCTATCTACCATGACAACTCGAACTTGGACGTGTATGTGTGGATCGTTTGAAGGCGAAGTGAAGGGAGATCCTTCTTTGGCAGTGTGGTGTCACTGCGGCTCTTGTCGCCAGCAAACTGGAGCTGCCATGCAATTGGGCATTTTCCCGGAATTGAAGGTTCTCAAAGGAGAAGATAACTTGATTGCTTACAAGAAGAATCCCGAGGCCAACATTACTCGTTTTTCCTGCAAGACATGCGGTAGCTTTTGCTACAAAAACATCAACGGAGATACCCTGGTCGCACCACTGGGAGCCTTGAAGGGAGAAGGAGAAACGGTCAAACCCACGTGCCACATCTTTGTGGCGGATAAGGGACATCAAGATATCATGTTTGATACTCTACCCCAGCATGATGCTTTTCCCTAAGGTTTGAGTTGGCTTGACTTGTTGGAGTTTCTGCGGTAGCTAGCCTTTAAAAGCTGGAGCGAGAAGACTTGGCTGGAGCTTCTAGCTAGCTAGATTGCCGGAGAATGCTGCAGCATGACGCCTTTGAAGAAGAAAGGGAAGGAAAGGATATGTGTAAGAGAAAAGCCAAACACATCAAAAGATGAAACAAAAAGTGTTTTCCAGTTTATAAAAATGAGACTCCGACAACTATCAAGTTTCTAAAACTAGTTCATGCAAGAAAAAAAGCGTTCTGTATCTGCTTCTGCTTATTTAGGGTCTCTCACTCCAACTCCAACTCAATACTACATGCACCGTACCCCTGAAGACACGAAGCCAAGCCTATACAATGGAATTGGGTTACTGTTCTTTGTGGGGCGCCCTCACCAGATTTGTCTTGAACAACTTGTAGCTTAGGTGTTTCCTCTTCTCTTCTTGCTCCGAGCTCCTATGATGTGGGTGTTGTTTTGTGTGGTACTCGTCGTGAATGGGCCACTTCTTCCTTCGTTGCTTTGGACACAGGTTTACAAAAAACCTCACAGTGATTCAACGCGCCAACAAAATATGATAACCAGGCTAAAATCGTATGACCAGGCTAAGATATTGCTCTCGCCATGGAACAGGCAACTCTTGACTAGCATGTACAGTGGGCGAGTCAGACGCTTGGTTTGCTGCTGCTGACATCAACTACAACATTCATTCGCACAAAATGATCGTGCTCCGAGTGACTTCCCGTGGTCCAGGGTGCAAGGATCGTGGAATGTTGGCGTGGATGGTCTAAGTTGGTTCCCGTCCTTGGTGATGACAAGCTAGCTCTAGCTAGCTAGACAGATGTGCTCTCTTCAGAAGCTCCCGATTCATTCGATTCAATGCAGAGTCAAAACGAGGGCTCAAACTGCACGGTTGAAGCAATGCGGATCAATACGTTAGCACTGCATGGCCAAGTTCGCCTTGGCAGCACTACCGAGCACGTGAACATTATCGATGCGAGATCGCGATGCCAAAATGGCAAATCGTTCGTTCGTTTTCGCGATTTCATGCTATAAGAGGCCAGAGTGGCCTCGACTATGGTGCACACAAGTATTTGTTGTGTTTCTTTTAGATTCATTCTTATGCAGTAACTTCATTTCCTTTTTTTCTGTTTCCAATCCTTTCCAAGCATTCGATTTCATTTCTTTCCCTTCATTTTGTTCGTTTGTTGTTGTTCTTACATCGGCATATTCCTTCCATTGCTGGTACAGGGCCGTTGTTCCAATTTGGCAGCTCTGTTTCATCAAGCCAAGTTTCTGCATCCGATCATGCCGCATCTCATCGTTCCTCCATCCATTCATTTTGTTGTGTTCTAAAAGTCAATGTATCGTCCATCCAAAGATAAGGTCCCCACATGCAACCACCACACTCCCAACACAAAATCTTTTGTTCCTCCTTTCGTATTTTGGTAATCATGCAATCATTTGAATTAAGCAAACGCACCATCCCCCTTTGCAGCCGTGGACTGTGAGGCAGCCTTTTGAAAGTTCTTTTGTTCAAACTCTTGTTGTTTGCGTTTGTCTCTGGATTTGGCTGCCTTGTTGGAAATGGCAGCACCACCACCCGCCCCAAGGACGACACCGACGGGTCCCGCTACCAAGCCACCGATGACGGCTCCTCCAACAGTTCCCGCGGCCGTTTTCATTTTTCGTGTTTGCTTTCGTTTGTCCTTTTTGGGATCCAGAACGGCCTTACCACCATGGGCAATCGAATTTTGCTGTCCTCTGGAATTGGGGTTGGGCATGGATCGAGTACGAGGAGGAGCGCGACGATCGGTTCCTCCTCCTCCATTGTAGGGCACCATGCCCTGACTTTGATTATTGTAGGGCACCATGCCCGCATTTTGACGAAGTTGCTTCATCTTGTTGCGAGCCTGTGATTGGGGAGTCAAGAATCGGCAAAGAATATTCATTGGTCAGAGAATGTGATTTGTATCAGATGGTCGGTCTCAGGTCGACGCATTTTATGAGAGCAGCCATACCACACTAACTGGAGCACGAAAGAACACATTGAGAGAACAGAAAACGACCAAGAAACCACCGGTCGAGTCTGTCCTGACTGCAGAAACGAATATTACCGACAGTCGGAAACGAAACGCTGATCGTCGCAGCCACCACAGCAGGGGTGCAGAATGGAATGAATCGATCACACGACCACAGCAGAGGTGCAGAATGGAATGAATCGAATCGCACGATTGAATTCCTTCATCCCATCTGCTTCGTAGCCGCTCAGTTCCCAACCAACTGAACGAACCAGACAAATCCAATCCAAATCGAAGGCGCGAAATCGAACGATGGATTCAATCTTTCGACCATCAGTTGCCACCCCCTCTCAAGCTAATCAAACCGAACAAAATCAAGCCGGCAGCTCGAACTGCTCCGAACAAATTTAGACACAGCTCTTCCCTCCCCGTGCGTGTCTTTTTGCGCTCCAAACAAACAAGACAGAAGATTTTCTAATCTCCTTCCGAATGATGTTTTGTCATTCCAAAAATCAAACACACTGGTCACTCTCCTCTCTTCTCTGTTGTCTTGAGATTGGTTTGTGTGTCTTACCTGAATTTTTTCCAAGATTTTGGCTTGTTCCGCTGCTAGTGCCGGATCAACATCTCCTTCATTGAATTCTCCCTTTCTGGCTTTTGCAAGAGCCGAACTTGTCGTCTTTACCTTTGGGCCTGGAGCAGGAGCCAATGCCGTGGAAGTAGCTGGTGGGGCAGACGCTGCAAAGGCTGGAGGAGCACTGCTGAACATGGTAATGTCACTGACCACACTGGCATTTGGGTTCTGGAATCCTTGATGAGTAGTCGGAGAAGTAGATGCTGGTGGAGCACTGGCAAACAAATCTCCACCAAAATGTGATTGGCCTTGTGGACTTGTCGTCATTGCTTCGTTGCTATAAGAAGGGGGAATTCCATATGGAGCCACTCCACCAGGGCCACTCGCCACAGACATACTACTACTAGTATTTCCATAGGTAGCACTTGCATATGGAGAAGCACTTTGAAAAGATTGACCAGGTGGGGGAGCTTGCACAGATCCAGCAGGGGCAAAGGGATCTCCACCTCCTCCACCTTGAGACGGAGTAGCACTGGCGTACGGATCAAACGACACAACAGCCGTGCTCTGGTTCCCAAAGGGAGATTGGGAAGGATCAAACGACATTGAACGTTGAATACTTCCTCGGCGTGGAGCACTACCATGCTGCATGTTAGATTGCATCTGCATTCCGTACTGAGGCTGTTGATCGTATTGAGGCTGTTGGCCGTACTGCTGCTGGCCGTACTGCTGTTGCTGTGGTGGAGGTGGTTGACCAAACGGTTGGGGAGGCGGCTGGCCATACTGAGGAGGCACCTGGTAGTTGCTGTAGGCTGCCATTGTCTCTTCCTCTATCAATACACTCTTCTTTGTCTTGCTTGCTGTGTTTTGCTGTGTTGTGATTGAGAAAGAATGGACTGGCAGCAACAAAGATATGAGAAAACTTGCGGCTGCCGCAAACGCATGTGAAAAGACTTAAAGGACATTGCCTGTCCACATGTCCACATCCCTAAACTCAAATGACTTCCGGATTGATCGAAGCGCCGACACCATCCTCCTCTTTTGCGGAAAGTGGTATGTAGTGAGGTTCTTCTGTTCATACACCCTTGTGACAGTGTGAAATAATTGACCTCGCCAACATGGAAACTCTTGCGTTCTTACGGTATCTTGGCCTCCCGCTATGAGAGCCCAGACACCACTCATGGCTGACATCGGCCTTGTTGGAGGTAGACTATACTAAAGAAATTTGTTGTGTTTCTTCTAGTTTCATTCTTATGCAGTAACTTCAGTTCATTCTTTCATTTCCAATCATTTCCAAGCTTTCTATTTCATTTGCTCTCATTTTTGTTTGTTTGTTGTTGTCATCACATCGGCTTTTTCGTTCGTTTGCTAGTACAGCGTCCTATCATGCCAAGTTGCATCGTTCCTCCATCCAGGAATCCATTTTGTTGAGTACTAACAACATCAATGCATCGCTCATCCGCCACCCAACACACTCCCAGAAATCAAATGTCCGAATCCACCTTCCACGCACCAAACAAGCAAGCCATTCCATCCATCCATCCATCCAATCAAATCTTGCACGCAATTCTTTCGTTCCTCCTTTCACGCTTTGGTGATCGTTGCTTTGTTCGTTTGTTTGAATGAGTGAATTAAACAAAGGCACCATCCCCCTTTGCAGCCGCGGACTGAGTGGCACCCTTTTGAAAGTTCTTTTGTTCGAATTCTTGTTGTTTGCGTTTGTCTCTGGATTTGGCCGCCTTGTTGGAAATGGCAGCACCACCACTTGCCCCGGCGATGACACCAAAGGGTCCCAGTACGGGAGCCAGCAAGATTCCACCGACGACGGCTCCTCCAACGGTTCCCGCGGCTGTTTTTAATTTTCGTGTTTGCTTTCGCAGGTCCTTCTTGGGATCGAGAACGGCCTGACCACCATGGGCGATGGAGTTTTTCTGTCCTCTGGAATTTGGATTAGGCATGGATCGTGTACGAGGAGGAGCACGACGATCGGGTGGTCCATTGTAGGGCACCATGCTTTGACTTTTAGGATTGTGGGGCACCATGGCCTGACTCTTGCTGTTCGCCGGCAATCCGGCATTTTGACGAATTTGCTTCATCTTGTTGCGGGCCTGTGTGTGGGGAGTAAAGAATGATCGGCAAAGAATTTCATTTCATCAGAGAAGCAATGCGACCAGATTGTATCAGATCGAGGTTACTAACTAAGAACGTTCCCCAATCCCAATATCCCTCCGAATAAATTTTCACCTTTTCAAAAATGCTACAACACACCCCAAACCACTCCACTCTCTTCTCATTTGTGTTTTTTTGGCTTACCTGAATTTTTTCCAATATTTTGGCCTGTTCCGCTGCGAGTGCTGGATCAATATCTGCCTCATTGAATTCTCCCTTTCTGGCTTTTGCGAGAGCGGAGTTTGTAGTCTTCACCTTTGGTCCAGGCGCAGGAGCAGGCGTCAATGCAGTGCTAGTAGTAGTGGCTGGTGGGGCAGACGCTGCAAATGCTGGAGGAGCACTGGTGAACGCGGTAATGTCACTGACCACACTGGCGTTTGTGTTCTGGAATCCCTGATTGTATGTACTAGCATTCAGAGTGGATGCCGGTGGAGCACTGGCAAAGAGATCTCCTCCAAATTGGGATTGAGCGTGTGGACTCGTTGTCATTTCTTCATTGCTAAAAGAAGGGGGAATTCCATACAGAGTCACTCCACTAGGGGCACTTCCATAGGGAGCAGCTGTACTTCCAAATGGATCAGATTGACCCAATTGAGGAACTTGAACTGACCCAGCAAACGGATCTCCACCTCCTCCACCTTGGGACGGAGTAGCACTGGCGTAAGGATCAAACGACACCACGGCCGTGCTCTGGTTCCCAAAGGGAGATTGGGAAGGATCAAACGACATTGAACGTTGAATGCTTCCTCGGCGGGGAGCGCTACCGTGCTGCAAGTTCGATTGCATCTGCATTCCGTACTGCGGCTGTTGATCATACTGCGGCTGCTGGCCGTACTGCTGCTCTTGACCATACTGCTGCTGGCCGTACTGCTGTTGCCCGTACTGTTGCTGTTCTGGTGGGGGTGGGGGCGGCTGACCAAATGGTTGAGGAGGCGGCTGGCCGTACTGAGGAGGCACCGGGTAGCTGCTGTAGGCTGCCATGGTCTCTTTCTGTACTCTTGCAACTGTACTAGTACTGTATCAATAGAATCTGTCTGCCTTGCTTTCTTGCTGCTGTGTTGTGGTTTGCAATGGGGAGCCGCTGATAAAGAACGGAATAAATACAGCACAGCAACCATGCAGGATCTAAGCCAGAAGCTCAGCAGGATCCAAACACAATCCAACACGCTCCCAACCGCACCCACCCAAAAAGATCCGATACTAGTACTTCGCCGGAACATCGTAGAAAACATACTAATCCCACCAATATCTGGGCAGGCGCGCTCTCTACGACTCGATCAACTTACAAAAAAGACATCAAGTCACGATGGAATGAAATCCTTGCTCGCCGGAAATATTTGTGTTTGCCTTGGAGACAAGAAACTCCTTATAATTAGTTAGAAATAGGCATAAGAAGATCCTCTTGGGGTAACATGCTGCCGTACTACTTTGCTAGCTAGCTAGCTAGCATAGTCGCTAGCTAGCATACATCTACTTCTTACAGACAGTTGGGTAACAATGGGTTTTAACGTTATGCACTGTTGCCGTTGTATTCTAGGTGGATGTGTTGCAGAGATTGTATGGCTGGCATGCTTGGAAGGGACATTGAGATAGGGCGGGTTGAGCGAGATGGGACCATCTTCAAACTTCGCTTCGTGCCGGAAGAGATTAACCAAACAAGACACGAGGCGCGACCCTCTTGGATCTCTTGGCTTCCGAACCAGAAGACGCACGTCTGCGAAGCGCAAAAGCGCCCACAGATCGCGGGCTATCGGGCAAGGAGGGAAGCGACAGGGCTTTCATTTCGGAACGGTTGAGATCCAGCACGGAGGAACTTTTAACTTGGCTGTCTTCTATGACGCGTGGTCTCAACACCGCTGATGCTGCGAGTGGTGTCTGGAGAACCGCGTTATCATTTCCACCGAACCTCGTGCGGCGGACGCGGTGGGATTTCTTTTGGAGAGGGGTGGATGGGGTAGTAGAAAACGGGGGAGATGGGAAGCTTCTGGTTGCTGCCGAAGAAGATCCAACGCAACAGCGGTCTTCTTCTTGGCGGTTTTCCAGCGACAACAATTGGATGCCAAAGGGAGGCGTCAAAAACAAATCACTCACGTCCATGCACGCCTTGACATTCTCTTCTTCGATGCCAATGCGGCCCAAGCGCTGCTTCTTGCTTCGGCACGGGGTGCTGTACTTGAAGGGAGTGCCGGTGCCGGTCATCATGGTGGGTGTAGTGAGGATGAGAGACATTGGAAAGAGTGCGTACTAAAAGGAAGTATCGAGATGGCTTTTTTGTGGTGGTGGCCTGAAATTATGAGAAGAATCGAAGAGGACCTTGGATGAAAAAGCACTTTCATTCTGTCTCTATTCAGTGAAACATGATGCCAACGACTACCTTGCCCTTGCACCTCGGATCTCGGATCCGCTGATCTGTGTGGCTTGCACCAATTCCGCAATGGCATGAAACTCTGCGCCAATTTTATCCTTCCGAGGTGCGCCTGGCCATTCGCGCGCCTGCATACCTCTCCAAGAGTTCGTTCCAATGCTGGAAAGGTGTGGAAACCACCAAGAAGCCCCGATGTACCACTGAGTAGTCTTGGACTGTGAGCTTCATAGCTCGGTTATCTGCAATGATACATGTCCAGTACCAGGTAGCAGCCTAATGATGATCGACGTATTATTGCTTTATCATGCGGATTGATATTCACTTGCCCCGCAGAGACTGCCGCTTGCTCCCCCGGCCCAGATTGAATCTTCAATCAGTCAGCCGTTCAGGTGTCGTCTTCTTTTGGCTCGTCCCCTGGTTCTCAAGATGCTCTCGCGTGGGAATTTATTTTGTGGTGGCTCCTCCCTGTACATGTAGCTGAAAGTGCACCGCCCCAACTTCTAGTGGTGATGTACTCCAGAATACGGCGTAGCAAGGATCTGGTGATGAGAGCCCGTGCAGCTAGTCAGCCATCAAGCACCCAGGATTTCTTCTTCAATTTAACAAGAACGGACTTCTTACTTGCTCTTTTGTCACTCGGCTCATTGCTGCTGTCTAACACATCTCCAGTACCGGTAGAGATCGAGGCATCCTCCGTTTCTGCCTTGGCTGGTAAGGCCATTTGAAAGTAGCCACCGGGCATGGATCCACCCGTAAGCAAGCAAGAACCTAACAACAGACCTATTGAATTCTAGCTAGAAGGAGCTAGCTGATTTATTTGCATTGGGCACAAGCTGTCAACCACAATTCCAGTGAGGAGTCATGGAGGTGTCTATTGTGGCGAAAGAAAGTGAAGATGAAGGTTGACATCATCCAACTACCGCAACTGTTGCTACGGTACTGGTACAGGATCCGATGTAGTTGGTGCGAGGTCAGGTGACATCAGCCACCTGGCCATCAACAGCAAGCCACAAGCCAATCAAAAAGCATACCAATGGCCGATTCTTTTTGCAATTATTGAAAAATTAATTTGCCTGGAAAGAATTACAAGTGAGAGAGAAGTTTGAGGTTGGAGTTGCTGGGATCTGCTGTGCTTGAATAGCCCCATGGAAGTGAATGACATGCGTACTCGATTGTGTTTTTGAGTTTTTATTGGTGGAGTTGCTGAAGACAATAATTTACTTAGCAATGACGGAAAATGAGCATCGCAAAGAACTATTGGAATTCTTTCATCCGCGAGTTCTCAGCGCAAAAGAACCTCGCACAACAGCTAGCTAGCTACCAGGTACCAGGTAGCTAGACTAACGTAACGCAACATCACTGGCTTTGGCCGACACTGCCACTGGCTGGCCATCATTCGCTGCTTCAAAGCGACATGCAACTACTGAGTACATGCACATGTACAGAATGAGAAGTCGAGTGACAGACCAGTGAGTCCACACTGGCCATCATCCAAAATCTCCTGCTGGACATTGAAGCAATACTGAGATACCACTGAGTAAGTGCAAAGATACTCTGTGTCTGCTCTTTTTTGAGGAGCTGATCAATTCATTGCACTTTTTTGTAAAATCAAAAACCAACCTTTTACAAGCATCCCACACTAGCTAGCTAGCTATACTCACTCAAGCAATAGATAAGACCATGGGAAACAGCAGCAGTTCTATTAATACTGGCAGAGGCCAAGGCAGAGGCAAGGGCAGCTCTGATGAGCCTAAGGATGTTGATGGCAAGCCTGAGCAGCAAGAGCAGCAGCCTGAGCAGCAGCCTGAGGTTTGTCACACCAAGCAGAGCAGTGAATCAAGCTCTGCAGATGCAAGTCCTAGTCCTGGACAAGCCCTGATGGATGTAGGAGATGAAGGAGGAGGTAAAGAGAGAGAAGGAGGTGGCCCAATTCCAGGTCCCCAAAAGCAATTGTCATTTGACAGTAATGCTGCTTTGAGTGGCCTGAAAGACTTGACAGACTGGCAAGACCTGGAGCCCAGTGACAAGGAAATCTTTGGATCCGAGTCGGATTTCTCTTTATCGTCGTCTTCTTGTTCGTCTTCTTCTTCCTCCTCTGCCTCTTCTTCTTCCTCTGCTTCCAGCTCCTCCAAGTGTTCCGACAGTAAGTTGGATCAACACCACGATGATTCCAAAATCATTCAGCAAGTCAGGGTGCAAAAGGCCGCCTTGGAAGATATTCATGCCGCCACGGCACTCCCCACTTCCAGCAACAACAATAAGCAGCAGCAGCAGGACCAACAACAACCAGACGAACAGCAGAAGGAACCACGCTCTTCCTCCTTGCTTCAGGGATACAAGACTAGTCACGATTTGAAACGGTCCAAGAAGTTCACCGTCTTTTTCTTTCTGTTGGCAAGTGCTCTCCTCATTGTCTTTAGCTATGTCTATACAGACAGGCTTGCTACCAGTAGTTTGGAGACTACTGAGACCAAGACGAACTATCAGGCTCGTTCTGATGTCAATGGTATGGTCAAGCATCAGACAGGAGGAGATTCATTGGTGCACCAAATCAAGGAGGACGTCACGAAGCAGTGGGATACCCTGCAACAAGTCATGCTAGCTCAGAGTGAAGACATGACCTCACTCGCCATGGCTAGTCACGTCCAGTGGCCTTTTTGGACCGTACCAGATTGGAACCGAAGGGGACACCGTCTCCAACAGTTGCTGTCACCGACCCTTCCCCTCCTGGGTTGGGCTCCCCTCTTGGGCGTCAATGATAACGAGCCCACGGACCTACAAAAGTCATGGGAACGGTATTCCGTCTACAAACAAAGCGACTGGTTGGACCCTGCTCAAGCGGATCCGATACCCGCTCAGATTCATGGAGAAGAAGACGACACTACTACTAGCACCAACGGTGCGATGATGGCTCCCATTTGGCAGACAACCCCACCAACACCCAGGCTCGTCAACTATAATTTGATGGCCAACCACAAACATGCCAAAATGGCTGAAAAGCTGTTACAGGAATGGAATGATCCATCCAATGACTATGCTCCAACAACCGTCCTAACCGACTTTGTCAACGCACAACATGACGAATTGCTCCTGGCCCGAGGAGATCATCAGGGTGGGCCCTACAGTCTCATCATTCAGCCAGTCTTTGATTCATTGGACACACAGAATCAAACCGTTCAGGCTCTACTCTTTGGATTGTTCTATTGGGAGGCGTTCTTGCGCAAGTTGGGACACCTGGACCAGGATGTCTCCATCTACTTTTACAATGCATGTGATGATAACGATGATGGCAGCAACTTCTATCAGTACAACACTACTGATCCAGCCAACAGAGTCAACGAGATTCGCCGTGAGGATCAAGAAGCATTGCAAACGCCCCACGAAGCTGCTACAGTGTTCCTCAACAACGGCACAACCTTCTTGTGTCAGTACACTCTTCAGGTGCTGCAAGCTTCCACTCCCACCTCTTCCCTTCCCTTATCCACAACATCAGCAGAAAATACCGCCACTACGAAACTCTCTCCAGCCGAATACACTGTCATTGTCGCTGCCGTCCTGATCATCCTCGCGTTCGTCATTGCAGCTCATTTGTCACGGTTGCAAGAACAAAATCGCAAGACTCGACGATTGGCCAAAACGGCAACCGCGGTCCTGGCCACCATGTTCCCACCTATTGTGTGTGAACGAATCTTGGAAGAAGCTGCGCTGGCGGAAGAACAGCAATCATCCAACAAGGCGTCCAGCAAAGGTAGTGGTGGTGACAACGACATGGGAGTAAGTAGCAGTCGCAAAAGTTATGCCACAAGAAGCCGAAGCAGTAGCTACATTACTGGTGGTGGTGACGATGCAAGGTCGGCTTTGAGCGGCAACGACGGGGACCACGGAACTACGAGCGATTCGGAGGAACTATACGACAAGATGATCATGCAGAATCTTGACCAGGCCAATCGGTACAAAGCCAAGCCGATCGCAGACTTGTTTCCGGAAGCTACCGTCCTATTCTCGGACATTGTGGGTGAGTTATATATTATGTATATATGACATTGCCGGCATTCGTTTGCCATGTGCGTCCAAAAGACTCGTGTTAGTCAAAAAGCTGACTTTCTCTTGTCGTCCTTCTCCCAACCGCAGGTTTTACGGCATGGAGTTCCTCGAGGTGCCCGACTCAAGTCTTTGATCTTCTCGAGACAATCTATCACACTTTTGATGAACTCGCACGTCGCAGGCGTGTGTTCAAGGTTGAAACTGTAAGTTTGCTTGCAAGATCAGAAGCAACCGGATCCACTGATCAGCATGACTAACTCTCTCAACGCCTGTTCTCTACCTCGACGAAACCAGATTGGCGACTGCTACGTTGGTAAGAGCCCCACGCGAGAGATACTAGCTAGTATCGCGACTTCCAATCTTTGTGTCTCTCAAATGTTAATTGTCCACGATTCATTCATTCATTCTCTGCATACAGCCGTGACGGGAATTCCCACGCCGAGGAAGGATCACGCTGTTGCAATGACCCGTTTCGCAAGAGATTGCTTGCATGCAATGGATATCTTGACTGCCAACTTGGAGGCCCTTTTGGGTCCAGACACTGCCGGTAAGGACCAAGGCGCGGGGGATCGCGAATGCGTGATCTCAGGTTCAAAAAGACTCGTATCTTACGTTGGCTTTCTTCTGTACTTACCGTAGATTTGTCAATGAGATTTGGATTGCACAGCGGACCCGTAACTGCAGGTGAGTCGAGTCGTTTGTGGTCTGCTCTCGAGTCCCCGACTGTCATCGAATGCATTGATCTCACTGTATCTTCTCGTTCACGTCTATCCCACCACTCATAGGGGTATTAAGGTGAGCGAAGAAATATCTGTGTGCTGCATTGCTTGAAGGTCTCGATCAAGCTCATCTTTGAGGTCCAATCTTCGCAACGAAGGGGCGAGAGGTCACGCTTCCAGGTGAGGACGTTTGTGGTCTGCTCTCGCTTTCTCGAGAGCCTTCGAAGTATAGTCTTTCTCAATTGATCTTCTCTTCCCCTTGAATTCACGTTTCTAGCTCTTTGGTAAGTTGCTTCTCGCAGTGAAACAAAGTCTGATGTGGCACTGTTGTGTCCTAATGCATGTCTACTCTTCTTGCAATCGCAGGAGACACGGTCAATACAGCAGCCAGAATGGAATCAAATTCCAAGCCAGGACGAATCCACATTTCCCAGGTAAGGGTGCTGAAGTCACTTTGAGTACATGTCCATCTTAGTGGAATACGGGCAATGACTTGGTACTGATGATTGTTGCATGTATATCATATTTGAAGGAGACTGCCAATTATTTGGCTGTAGAAAACAAATCAAACTGGTTCCTTCATCGAGAGGATAAATGCTACGCCAAAGGTAAGGGATCGAAGCAGTCCGAACGTGACTTTCATCGAAGGCGCGCCTCATGGTCGTGTTCCTCGATTTCTCAAAACTCCGCAACAACAGGCAAGGGAGAGCTTCAGACCTACTGGGTAGATCCTTCAGCAATTGACGCGTACGCGCAGCAAGTTCGAGAGGCTCAAACCCCCGCGAGTGGACTGATCCATCCAACATTGAAACATGCAGCAGAAATTGTTGAGGCCCGCAAAACCGGTCGAGATCTCAGCGTTAGCTTGATCCCAGAAAAGACACAGAGACTGATCGACTGGCATGTCGATCAACTGCATCAGCTGCTGCTCGTGATTGTAGCACGCAGGAAGCAATTGAAACGGGAAGGGCATAGGAGTAGAGTCAAAGATGTAATTCCCCAGGCTAAGGTTGCTCAACACGAGATTGCGGTGTTTGATGAAGTTCAAGAGGTTGTCAAAATGCCAGAGGATCACCCTCGAGGAGGCCTCGACATTGAGAAAGTCAAGCTGGATCCAAATGTTCTCTGGCAGCTCAATGACTTCATCACTTCAATCAGCACGTTGTACAAACAAAAGAACCACTTTCACAACTTTGAAGTGAGTTTGATCGAATCGTCGAGGCAAGGTTTCTTGGCTACATAGCTATACGATCTCACCCGTTCTCCATCGTGTCTTCGCAGCACGCATCCCACGTCACGCTTTCAGTTACCAAGATGCTGAGACGTATTGTGGAAGGACCGGAAGCAGAGAAGCTTCGACGACAGTCGTTCAACAGCTTGGTAGAACTCCGGGAGGACGACGAAGAAGAAAAGGAAGACCTGAATATTAATGGCAAGCCGAAAGGAGATAGCTCTTTCGGTATTGCTGCAGACCCGTTGACTCAGGTGGGTGCAAGCAGGAAATCGTGTGTCACGCCTATCACAACGGCCTCAGGTTGGCAGGATACCCCTCACATATCGTCTTCTTTCCTGCATTTCTCAGTTTGCTGTCGTGTTTGCCGCTCTCATTCACGATGTCGGTGAGTTCTTTTCGTTATCACCCTTCACTACGGTCTATGGGCTTCTCTATTGGCTCACTCATGCACTTGCCCCTGATGTTCTCGATCCACCAGATCACCAAGGTGTCTCGAATTCGCAACTAGTGAAAGAGAACGACCGCTTGGCTCGAATCTACAGGAACCAAAGTGTGGCAGAGCAGAACAGGTGCGTGCAGGAAATCGTGTGTCACGCGATCATGATGGCAGCATTCCCCTCCTCACATGTCGCTTTTCCCTGCATCTCAATCAGTTTGAATCTAGCATGGGATTTGTTGATGGACCCCGCATACGTGGATCTTCGAAACACTCTGTACGGGACGGAAGAAGAATATGTCAGGTTTCGAGCCATGGTCGTGAACGTAAGTTTGCTTCAGCACGCATTGTCTCGTGCTTGCTTTGGTGGGTTCTCACCATTTTGCAACAACTTTCATGGCTGTGTGCATGTAGTCGGTTATGGCGACTGATGTTATCGATGCTGATTTGAAGCAACTCAGAAATGGTCGCTGGGAAAAGGCCTTTGCCGCGAAGACCGGCCCCCACAGCTGTGAGATTGCAGGCTGTACGGTCGAAGGTGCAGACGGCTTGTTTCGGTACCAGCACCTACAGCCGACGACGAAAGAAAACCGAGACCGCAAGACCACCATTATAATTGAGCACTTGATTCAAGCCTCGGACGTGGCGCACACCGTGAGTAGACCGATGAATGCTTTTGTTTCTCGCTCTTGGTTGGTCCCCGGTTTGTCTCATTCCTTATTTCTGTTTGGCCACGTTCCATGTACACAGATGCAACATTGGCAGGTCTACCACAAGTGGAACTTTCTGCTGTTCAAGGAGATGTACTCTGCGTACAAGAATGGTCGCACGACCGACAATCCGGTTGGCTTTTGGTATCAGGGCGAGCTAAACTTTTTCGACTTTTACGTGATTCCATTGGCAAAGAAGTTGAAGGAATGTGGTGTGTTTGGTGTGTCGTGTGACGAGTATTTGAACTATGCTCTGAGCAACCGAGCGGAATGGCAGAAGAAAGGTCCCGACATTGTGAAGGACTACGTTCAATGGGCTGTCCAGCAGGACGAGGTTAGCCCTCCAGGCGGGGCAGCTGCATGAGCACTCTGCCGTTAGTTTAGTGATTAAACGAGCAAGCAGGTGGCAGCAATGTACACTGCCGGTATAGTAGCTATCTACATGAATGATCTTAATAAAGGCATGGTGACGCGGTGAGGCTCCACAGAGAATCAAAGGCAGCTTCGATGATACCCCCATCTCGTCAGGACGGTCACCGGTGAAGATTCAATGTAGAACGATGATTCATTCAGCAATGCATCATTTCCTATCCTGCTCGAGCCGTGTCTAGCTACCTAGAGTATACAGTCAGTTTCAAGACCTCGATATTGAAGGTACTAGCTAGTAGTCTAATCTTATGAATGCGGGAAGCTCGCAGCTCATAGATTTTGATGGCGCTGCCGACCGGCACTTCTGACGATTTGACTCCTGGACACCGGGCAGTCGAGAGCAATGACGGCTGAATGACGTCCGAAAGATGCTCTGATGCTATTGGTTCGACGGCGTCATAGACGAAACCCGTGATTGTTGATTCAAGGGCCCAAGGTTCGCTCCAATGACAGCTGCGCCATGGCAAAGACACCAACGAATGAAGCAAAAGCACCACGCCACCATTATTTCTCGATCAATCGAATTCGCCGTTGTTTACAACATACATACTCAGAGGAAACGGTGAAACTTGCGGAAGGAAGCTGAATGCATCATCATTCAAGCAAGCAAGCTATCTTCAGTTGTTTGTTTGTTGCTGAGAAAGAGAAATCAAGTCAAGATGGGAGAAAGGAGGACCATGTACAAGGCCCGAAGAAACCTGATCCGAAGCGGGACTACATGCAGTAGAAGAGGGCGAGGAAAGAGGTCTCTTGTCGGTTCTGATTATCTTGCGTCTCGATATCAGTTGCTTTTGGCAGCACTGAGTGCTCTGCTTTGTTCTCGGTCGTCTCTGAGCTTTGCTTTCACTCCAAAGAGCTTTTCGAGACGTCGTGACGGTGGCTGCCTCAGAGTGGAACAGAGACAGTTTAGCACGGAACGAAGATCCTTTACCAAGGCGTTTCGCACAAGAAGCCGTATCGTCAGCCACTTCCACATTCACGAGGCTGACACGGACTGTGGAAGCATACAACATACCAGTACCACAAATCTGGATTCTTCCTTTCTGCTTTACCTGGATCCTCTGGATAAGGCTATACCAGTATTCCAGAATCTTACTGATGCATCTGCATCTGCTACCAACGACCAGCCAGATCTTACCTCAATAAGCGCTGATACTCTTATAACTGAGACTGAAAAGGTTAGGGAGAAGAAAATCCACAGTTCATCCAGATCTGAGCCTGCGACCAAAAGCCCCCTGTTCTCTCCCACAGTGCCGTCAGTAGAGGCCGATCCAAAGCCCAAACACATTCGAGACCAAGACAACTGCCAGTTCCGCCGTGGTGCACCTGACGACAGCATGGACCGGTTTGCCCATGATGTGACGACCGTGTTGAAAGATATTCGCAAGCAGGGATACGATCCCTCCTTACCCAAGCTCTTTCGGTACATCAAGATGCCCAGTTTTACCAATTTGTGGACGAAAAGGGACTGGGATCTGCATACCAGTCGCTTTAGACATCTCAAGTACTTGTGGTCAATTCCAACCAGTCGCTTGGTCCGACGGATTGCGCCTCAAATGGTCGCACTGGCCATTTGGGCTTGTGCCGCCTGTTGGATGTGCAGTAAAGAGTTTGACGGTATCCTCAGTCGAGCCGTACTTCCCTTGGCGCCGCTCTCGCTCGTCTCCACCTTTGTGGCGGGGTTATTAACGTTGAGGAGTAATCAAGGCTTGACCCGTCTCAACGAAGGACGATTGGCCTTTGGAAAGGTCGTGCTCTACACCCGAGAAATGGCACAAATGATTGCCACGGTGGTTTATCCTCGCAATCCTGCTTTGGGGTTGTTGGCAGCACGACACGTTGCACTCTTTGGATGGCTCATGAAAGACTTTTTACGACACTACGATGAAGACTACACGCGACCACTGCAACCATATCAACCCAACAAGTGTCATGAAGCCGATGTGGTAACAACCATGTTGCCCCCACGCACCAGGGCCGACTACAACAACAGCCACAATCCCATTATTACTACCTGTAGTATGGACGCTCGGTTTATTCTGCAACAACGCAAAAAGCCCGTGGCCATTTGTACCCGTTTGCGACAAATATTTGGATCCATGCAACACGTGCTAACCACCAGTGAACAGTCCCGCCTCGACGCCTGTGCTCAACAACTCAACAAATGCATCATGGTCTGTGAACGAATCCGAGCCAGTCCCATTCCACCACTCTACACGGCACATGCTGGACGATTGCTCATGTTTTACCTATTCTTTTTGCCACTGGCACTGAGAGGATCCTCCTTACTCAACAATGTCGGAACCATATTGACCACCATGGTGGTGGGATACGCCATGCTGGGGCTAGATGAGATTAGTCATGTCCTGGAGGAACCGTTTCGGTTGATGCCACTCTATCATCTCTCCAAGAATTCCATGAAGGACGTGGCCGATTCCATGGTCTGTATGCCACCACCTTTGCTGTTGGAAGACGACGAAAGTGATGACTATGGAATTGGTGGCGATGGGGCGTCACTGGGTGCGGACGGTTTAGACTATGAAAGAATTCCAGCCTACTGGTGAAGAGCGGGGTCTATATGGATCTTTATCTCAGCCGAATGTCTATATTCATACGACAATCCGAATTATGGTTGCTCTAACGCTTTTTGATCGGGCAGATATTGCACCATGCACCCTGCAATAAGTTGACCCCTCTTATGCATACATCGAACTGGGGGTGCGAAGAAAGACTATCCGCCCCCGCTAATTCTGCTCTCTATCCAATCATGATGGCGACGACGACTGGGATGATGCCATTTGCTCTCGAAAGGCTTGGACAATCTGCGAAAACCAGAACCATTGCAACAGAGTAAACAGAGTGCAAGCCACCATCAGGAATTGAATGCCGATTCGCTGCGGCGGTGTGATGATACGAGACTTGTTGGCTGCTGCAACCAGGGCAGCCTTGGCGTCAGGCAAGAAACCCTCTACGGTAACCTTGGTAAAGCTAACAACTCGCACCAACGCAAAGGATAAAGCCGTTATTGGCGCCAAGATGGATTGGATACGGGTTAGCCTTTCTACCTTTCCCGTAGTGTTGCCGTTGTCGTCATTGGTGGTGTCAATCCAGAACGTGACTTGATCGTAGATAATGAGTGGAACGGAAGATAGTTCTACGACTCCAAAGTAATAGAATATGTAGTGCATGGGTAGTATGGAGGTCGCGATACCAGCCAGCACCATCATGACAATGTGATGTATGATCACGTCCGGTTTCCGTAGCGCTTTGACTCGTATAGATGTAGGGATATCCCAGAGTAAAAATGCTCCCAAGACCACTGCTGCCATCCAACCGCCCGTGGGAGAGACATCCAGTATCTTATTGGCAGGAGCATGCGTGAACCACCACCCCAAAGATCCCATACCACTGAGCAAAAGCATCAGGATCAGGGCGACAACTGAATGGGCCGTGTACGCGGCGTTTTCTTTGGTGGATGCCGTCGGTGAGCCGGCACGACCAATGACGCGACGTGCCAGAGCGGATGACAAGAGCCATTGCAACGTGGCTGCCAACAATCCAGCTGCAGCAGCCACTTTCAAGCCATGCAACGGCGAAACAGTGGTTGGCAAGGCTGCTGCGGACACGCGGAGACTGGTGGAACTCAAGCGAGATCCAGAGGAATTATTGTCAAGAGGGCGGCTCAAGATTTTGGTCTCGTACATTTGACGCGTATAGATGCCCGACCCAAGCATTGCTGTTGTAGCAAAGGGCTTACGTACAACTCGAGATCGTGCCAATACCCCACAATGCCGTTGCCCCCAAAACGGACCAAAAGCCTGCACACCATGGCTTGTCAGGAAGAAAGCGACGTACAGACAAGCCGTGAACACAACCATAACTTTGGCTGGAGTAGTCGTTGCAATTGGAGATGTCATGCTGGTGAAAGGCAGCACCTACGATAGGTCGTCCATTGAAACTATTCAAGCGACGTACTTTTGAAGAACAGAAGAACTCTTGACGAATGCGTTCGGTCCAAAATTTCAGCACTGTCCGCCGTGCTCATGCAAGAGTTCTTGGTTCTGGAGCACTTCTCGTATTTATCTCTCCCACGAGCATGCATACCGTGGCAGAACAGGTTTGCACGTGTACCTAGCTACCACCTAGCTAGAGTGACAACGGGTCGAGTTGCGACAATGATCGAGGAGCTTCAGTTTGTGGGCTGCTGCACACTGATCAAGTCAGTGTGCACCAAGACAATTGATTACAAGGCATTGACAGATGCCATTTTTCGGTTTGCGCCATTAGTCTAGAAGAGCTGGAATGGATAGCCATGCAAGCAGCCAAGCTGATAAAAACGATGCCATCATCCCAATTGCTTGGTTCCTCTCATGCAAGCTCAACCACAATGCAAGCTCAACCACAACTGCATCAACAAGTTTAATTAAAGGAAACCCACAAAAACATCTCTTGACAAATCCACTTTCGTAACAAGAATTTAGAAGGCAGCGGGTACCGTGCAAAATCAATGAAACTTCGGACCTTGATGCCGGCGACCGTTGGAGCAAGTGAGAGTCCCTAAAAGCTCAATTTTCAAGATTCTTTTTTCATTCTCAATTCTTCGCTCGTTGCAATCGAACGAAAGTGCCGACCATGGTGTAAACCCATGTCGCTTCCGGCGCTATGATTGTATTCCACCCTAGTTAACCCATGGCCGGGCCGATAGAAACGTCAGCGACACTGTGCGGTGGTCAGCTCCTGAGGCGATCTAGTTGATGGATCTACAATCCACGCTGCATTCCACGCTACATTCCTCTTCTTCCTTGTGGTTTCCCCCATGACATTTACCAAAGTATGAAGTGGTTGTTGGAAGCAATGTCAATCGACCACCACTCGTACCTTTACCGACGGCCGTTTCAGTTCTGAAATAAAACGGCAATTCAATGACGAGCTCTATTTTGATTTTTGATGTTGACACCGTTTTCGATTTTAGAGTTGATCTTGCCAAAATGAAACGATCGTTTGCTGGATGAAACGCCGTTGCCTCAAGCACGCCTTTTCTTTCAACCAAGCAACAACACAACAAAGTCTTCTTCTTCCTCTCGAAGACTTGCATGACGATGACACCTTTGCCGGTGCTGCTTGCAGGAGAGTGATTGGGCTTCCCCTGTGGGGCCCACGGTTCACTCTTCGCCGGCAATGGTGTTGTCTTGCGGTGGTTCCTCTGTGGTTCAGTTGGTTCGTACTCGTGCAAAAGCAACGGTCGGTTCCTCATCTTCAACAAACAAGGTCAGTTCACATTCTTCTCATTGGGTGCCATTTTCCGGTGCTGCTTGCCAGCTGCTTCGCGCCTTTGTTAGGAGAGTGAATGGGCGGCCATTTCATGAGTCCGTCTGTTCACTCTTCACCGGAAATATGGCACCCAACTTGTCTTCTTCTGTGATTCAACATGTTTCTAACCGTCCTGCTTTCCTCCTTTTGTCATGCGGTTGACCATGATCGATGCTTTTTCGTGACTGATAAGTCGTCTTGCGGTGGTTCCTCTCAAGGTAAGTCCATGTTCCTGTCTCTTGTGTCATTGCTTCACGGTCGTCGACCGTTGCCGCCTCATCTCCTTTAGTTCCCAACGTACGGCAGGCCTTGACCATTTTTCTTTGGCCGTTCGTGTTCCAGTCGCATCATCAACTTGGCTATTTCCCTGTTGGCTGCTCCTTTTGGTTGGTGATCCCTCTTGGCTGGTGGTTCCTGTTGGTTGTGCTCCTGTGGTTCCTGTGCTCCTGTGGTTCATGTGCTCCTGAAGGTCAGTTGTCATTCTTCTTACAGGGTCAGTTCCCACTCTGCTCCAGACTGAGGCTCTCGCCATTAGTTCCATTTTCCGGTGCTCCTTGGAGCCGCTCCTTAGAAGTCCAGTGGGATTGGGAAATGTGCGGCCATTTCATGAGTCCTCCGTTCCACTTGCCTCCCCGTGCTTGGTTCTCTGCTGGCTGGTCGGGCTGGTTCCTTCTCTCCGTCGTACTGTTGGGAAATGATGATCCTCGGCGCTCGCATTGGTTGGTTGGTCGGTCGGTCGGCTGGTTGTTGGCGTCGACCTCCTCTTCACTCTTAGATAGCTTTTAAAAGTCCTATTCTCTAACTTGACCTGCCGAAGCCGTTGGGAGAGGGAAAGAGCCGGGATGCAAAGATTTAGCAACCCCCAACTCTGAGCCAACCCAAACATCGCAGACTTCAATTTACCCGAAGTATGGGCGCAAATGAAACTTCACCGCCGCCACCGTCGACGTCGACATCGCCTCTATCTGATGCCGACGATGTGGACACAACTTACCAACCACTCCCAATCCACGCCAAAACAGGTTGGAATCCACTTCACCAAGCCCCCCGCCGAGGAGATTGAAACCGACGCCCCTTCATTGTAAAGGGCCAAAACACGGATAGTTGCCACCAACAACAAATCGAGCTCTTTAGGTGAGGCAGGAAACCGGAGGATCTGGAAAAGGGAATCGAATCCTGAGAGAAGTAGGATGGTGTATTTGCCTAACGAGCCTACGAATTGGCTTAGCTAGCTAGCTTTGTGTTTCCTAGCCAGTGCAATGCCAAGCTCTAGTTAGAAGGATGTCAGGATTGAGCTGGGTGACAGCCGAGCGCGCGCCCTGCGGGCAAACGATCGACGATGCCAAAAACATCGTGGATGGTAAACAATAATACATGCATGTTCACATACAAGTCCTCAGAAAGGACACGTAGGAACACGGACTTCATCTATCTATTACCACAAAACCCTTTGTTCCTTGCAAGCCCTGTACCGATCCCAACACCCCAATCCTCGGTGTATCAAATCGCATCAACAGGGCCAAGCAAACCAGAACGATAAGCTTCCGAACCAAACATGTCGTCAATGCTGATTGTGGTTCTCCTACCGTCCAGCACAGACTTGTCAGAGGCAATCTGCTTTCGAACTTGGTCGTCTGGAAGTTTCCTCCTTTTCATTTTGCCCACCCTGCGACGGATACCATTGATTACAAAGAAATCGAATCCCGCAATTGCCACTCCATTAGCAATCATGATTGCTAGCAGCTCATAGCGAAACTCGACTGGCATCACTGTTGTGTTGAACGGATTCATGATTGGTTGTGGTTCAGGTTCTAAAATCCCACGTACAGCGTCTTCATTTGAACAATTCACTCGCCAAAGACATGACAAACGGCTTGGTACCAGCGTGATATACACAAGAATTGTTACTGCACTCAAGGATATCACCACAAACAGGTAGTTGCGATACCATGACTGCCGATACTCATAACCAAAGTTGCATGTCATTGCTGCAGCAACACATTGGGTAGCTGCAACAAGAAATATAACCTGTGTCTCATAGTTGTCCGCAGCTAGCAGAACCTCCCCGACTTCCCCGAAGTCATCTGCATTCCATTTCCGGCACTGGAACCAATCCTTGCTGTACAGTGCACCAAGGGCCCATACCATTGCCAGACAGTTCAAGAGAATAATCCCACAAATGCTTAGCACAGTCACAGGGGAGAGTAGCGATGCTGTTGGGGAGGACTCTGACAGTTTGTTTGCAGATTGTGCGAGTGGTATGGTCAAGCTGAACAAGACGGTCCAGATTCCATCTAGAAATGTCCACATCCAGTCATTGAATGATGCTTGGAACCTGAGGAATAGAAGTAACAACGAGCTGAGATCCTCTTGATAGAACCAGTGCACCTTTCCAACGATGCTCTTCCAACGTACCAGTATGTGATGACTTGCACAAGTGACGTAATGTTGCCATAAATCACGAGATATCTATACAAAGCGTTCATGGAATGCAAAGTGGCACGACCCTCTCTGAGGACAGTCAGTACCGATTCAATATCCTTGTCCAAGGATGTGAATGGAGCAACCAGACTAGCATCCCCATCACTGAGCGCAAGCCCAACATGAGCTGCCTGCAATGCTCCACTGTCATTTCCACCATCACCGCACATCATTGTCTTCCTTCCAAGAGCAACAAAAGTGTCAACTACCGAGACCTTGTCATGTGGAGTGCAACGGCCAACCACACAAATGAAAGGTGCGAGGGCAGAGGCATAATCTGGCTGGCTCTTTAACAGGAACCGCCACGCCTCACCTGTCATGGCCACAACCATGTCACCCCCGCTATTTTGGAGCAGACCCAGTGTGGGTGCATTGACCTGACTGCCACTTTCACTTATCCAGGATACATCGAGCCCAACATCTTCAATCACTCCTAGTACAACTGTGCTCTCTTGGGCAATCATCCCGGACTCTCTCGCTACATGGATACCAGTATGCAAATTGTCACCTGTAAGCATGACTGACTGTACACCTGCCTCCAAGAGATGGGAGATAACTCCTTTTGTCTTTGGACGTAGCTGGTTTGTGAAGCACAGTATCCCAGCAAGAGTCATGTCTTCCTCAATCTGCTCTCGTGTCATTAACAAAAGATTGGCAGGGTCCATAGTGGGTAGTTTCTTGAAAGCAACCGCTATCTGGTACATGCCAATTCGAGCAAAATCTTCCAGAGACTCTTCATAGTCATCTGGTAAGGTCTCAACCCGACACTTATCCCGGATGGCCTCTCCACTGCCTTTTGCCAAAGCCATTAGCGACCCGTCAGCTAGGCGGATAATCACACTCTGTGTCATGAGGTAGTGATCGAAGTCAAATCGGCGAAGGACCTCGACAGGTCTCCCATCCTTCTGGATGATTGTCACAGTCTGATTTTGTGCTTTGTTGCTGGTACCTTCCTCCAAGAACATTTCCGCACCACTGGCACTGAACATGGCCTTGTCAATGGGATTGCCAATCAGTGTGCCATCACGAGAGGACATCACCAGCGTGTGGCATGAAGCCATGGCGGTGGACACGGTTGGTGACACAAAATGCACAAATTTTGACTGTTCCGAACTGCGACAGTCAGTGTAGCTCAGGCCCTGCCTCGTGAGAGTCCCCGTCTTATCGAAGAAAACGGATTTAACTTCTCCAGCAATCAAGATGCCATCCGAGTTGGAGCAGACCACCTGCTTTTTACCCAGCCTTTCAAAAGAGTATCCTACAGGAAGAGTGAAGGAAACTGGAAGCAGAGGTGGAAGCGAATTCGACACGGCACACCTATACAAAAGAAGGACAGAGATAGATGGTGAGAGGGTGTACCTTCACGTTACTTGCCGACTCGCCGGGCTTAGCTGGCATTGGGATGCAGGCAACGGCAACATAAGTACTCACAATCCAAGAACCCAAGACACAACATGCACATCACTGGCCTTGAAGAATACAAGGAGCCACATCAGACAACTGAATCCCACCAAAAGGAGAACTGCATACGGCAAATCCAACTCATATTGTACTTGGTGCCGTCGAAACGCAATGACCTCTCGCAACAGCTCACCCTTGCGAGTAAAGGATGCTGTCTGTGTCACCAAAGCAATAGCATGATGTCCTTCTAGTATCTTTGTGCCCGCGGACAAAGTTTGCCGTTTGTGAATTGCTGGGTCATAGGTCTCAGGGCTCAACATGTCAGCTGGCAACTTGGAATGAGGGGTGGCTTCCCCTGTTAGTGCACTTTCGTTGACAATAACTTCCCCTGCCAAGAGGATCATGTCGCAATGTATCATACCCGGTTTCAGTTGGATGACATCTCCAGGAACAAGGGCAGATTGGTGCAACTCAACAAATTCTTCATCTCGCAAAACTATGGCATTGCCATCAATACTCGACAAGGCAAAGAGAACTTGTGCCGATCGGAATCGGAACCAGGAGATGAGACATGCAGTGGTAAGAATAACAGTCCAATTTGCAAGCATCATGTACCAGTATTCCGTGGTCACCCAGATCCACAAAATCTGAAACTGATACAGATAAAAGGGCTTCGAAATCTCCTTGCGGAACATGCCCCATAAAGATGGGTTGACCATTTCAATGTTGTTGGGTCCAATAACTTGTTGGCACTTGGCTACTTCCTCTGGAGTCAGTCCGGCTGCAGTGTTTTCATTATCGCCAAATTCCAAACTGCATTCTTCTGGAATGGCTGTCGTAGTGTCATAGAGTAGTACATCCGATCGATGCGCAAGGGCTTCCACATTGGCTATCCTTGGTGGTTTCATGTCGGCAAAGGTTGTCCCGAGAGACCATGTCCCAGGCACAAACATGTCTTGGTTGGCATCAAAATTGTACCGTCGGAACAGAAAGACAAAATAGCGGTTGCCGCCTTCACTTTGCTGAACCGTGCAGTATTCAATCATGCGTTCGCCTCCTGTTTCCTGGCTGTTGTTGTCTTCGTCCGCAAAGATAAAGCCCATGATGATACTTAGGCCTCGGCTGAACCAATTCAGCACATTCGTGATTGTGGGTGAGACCCATCGAGTTGGTTGAAACGTATTGCCTTTGGTGCCCGCCGTCTTGACTTTCTCCACATTGTGGGCTATTTTGTTTCCCAAGGTCCTCTGATACCGGACAGCCACAACATTTGCCATGGCAAGGCTGGATCGTCGATAGAAGAGAGACTCGATACTGTAGGGCCAGTAGAATGCCAAATTCCAGAGAAAGCCCAGGTTGTATAGGAGACTAAATGTCTGGAGGACATGCAGGACTCTCTCTTCTGAAGCATCTGGATCATAGAGGAGAGATGCCATGTACGCCAGGAGGATATACCAGCCAAAAAAGGTAATGAGTGTGGCCACATGAATAACCTTTCCCATTGGATGGTGACATTGGTATCCGGTTTGGTGCAGGTGAGCAATGTTGGCATTGGGGTCATTTCGAATATGGGTTTCCAGCCTCAATTGCAATAATTTGGTGGAGCCTTGTATTGGACACCAACGGTTGCTGACGAACAGGAGAGGAAAAACAAGGTCGAGTAAGATAAAATGGATGGAGAAATATGTCGTTTGTCCGGAGGCAAAACCGAAACAGATTCCCCGACGTAAGTCAGAGCATTTTCATGAAACCCAGCGTGGCATCACTCGAGTTGAGTCAGTCACTAGAGCCGATCTAAGTCGACGTCGCATGGCATCAAGCGCTGATCGTACTGTAGCTCCATAAAAATCGTCCAACTTTCCGTCCATCGAAGCGATATGTACGCACACGACCAGCAGCCCCACAAAGACGCTGCCATCGAGGTGATAGCTGTATAGCCAATACGTGCATTCAAATTTCCCACAAGAACACAAATAATAGATTCCCAAGGGCACACAAGCAAACTGCGAAACGATGGATGGAGTGTACAGTGCACTTACTTGTACCAACACCAGGTGATAATGGCAGTGGTGACAGCAGCCAACCATACGTAGCCCGTCACATAGGCAGAGGCCGTCCAGGAGATGGCACTGGTTTGGCCGTTGCCGCTGGTGGAAGTGTTCTTGCACAAGGCAGCAACTTCCTCGTAGTAGGGTCCAAAGACATTTGTGCAGACATTGTAGGTTGTGATGAGAGGGGCACAAGCGACGGGAGCGCAATCAACGGGACATGGCGATACGGAATATCCACTAGTACTGCATTCAAATTCCGGTCGACAGGATCCATCGGCACATAAGGTGGCGTTGGAGGCACACTGCATTTCCGTTGGACAGTATTCCACTGATGGCACACACAGCTGTGGACAGGTTGTCATGGCAGGACAGTTGAATGTGGGATCCACATACCCGCCCTCACTTGCCCTAGTCTTTTGGGGCAGCAGCAGCAGCACTGATAGACAGAGCCACATCAACATCTTGCTTTCCCTCCTCGCCATCTTTGTGCTCTAACAATTTCAATTACTGAGTATGCCTATCTATACAAGACTACTACAGAAGCATCTGTAGTTGATGAAAAGGATCCGAAGAACTCGGTGATGTCAGTCTGCTGCTTGGAGCCCGGCATGCATGAATGCTGGTTCTGGGTGATACTATTTTTATACAGCAATATTATTATTATATAGCTTGCTGTTACAAGAGGCTTTACCAGTAAATCTTTGGGTTTTGGGCGCTGTTGCTTGCGACTCAAATCACCTTTAGCATTAACATACACTTTTACCTCCTTAAGCCATAATTGCCCGAAAGCTAACCACTGAAGAAGGTCACTGCGATGCTTTTCATGCTGCACTGCCGTGAGATGAAGTTGCTGGAGAATGAGCCAGTGTGCTCCAGTAATCGATTTGATCGATCCTCGAGATCGACGACGATGCTCGAGTTTGGCTTTTCCGCAACGTTCAGCGTTTTGGAGCAGATACCGGTACCGGTACACAGATCACCTTGGCTCGGACTTCCCTTTTTCAAAAGCGGATGTGCGCTTCGTTGCCTCAGCACCACTGCCCTCTGTGACGTGTTCGGAGGCCGTGCTCGTGAAAAGTGGGCACCATTGTCAATCCTGCTGAACACCCCATTCTCCAATTGGACCACCGTGATGTTCTATTGTAGTCCACTTATCAATGTCAGCCTGTTCTGCCAGGAACGACCTATTCAAGAGACGTGGAGTTCTGAATGCTCTAAGAAGAACAAAGATGGCATAGGGGGCTCCAGATTTTGTTGCCTGCGTTCTCCAGAAGGACTGGATCACCCGTTGTGGTACAACCACTGTTTTCGAAGGAATTGAGAAACTCTGCATTTGGATGAATATTCTTGTTCCAGCTGCATAGATCCTGGTTGAAGCTGCTATCTCTGAACATGTTGGTAAAAACAGAGGCCTTGCCCACATTCCATCCAGTGATGTCTTGATTGAAGCTGGCTGCACTCTCAAACATAGCCCTAAAACCTTGCATATTTGTTGTGTTCCAGTTGTTAAGAGGTTGGTTGAAGGAATTGGCGTTTTGGAACATATAGTCAACGAGAGCAACATTGCTCATGTCCCAGCTATTCAAGGGTTGATTGTAGGCGGTTGCGTCCCGAAACATGATTCCCATTGTTGATACAGAGCTGACATTCCAAGAGGAAATGTCTTGGTTGAATGAAGTAGCTGTGTGGAACAAATTGAACATCTCTCGAACATTCCTGGTGTCCCAGGTGACCAGCGGCTGATTGAAGGATTCTGCACCACCAAAGGCACCACCGAGTGAAACAACTCTGCTCACATCCCAAGACGTCAAGGGCTGGTTGAACTGTTTTGCACCTCGGAAGACACCCTGCAGAGTTGTAACCTTGCTCACATCCCAAGCATCCAAGGGTTGATTGAAGCTAGAATACTCAAATGTATAAGCCATGGAAGTAACTTGAGTCGTCGACCATCGGTTAATGTCGTCATCAAAACTTTCCTTCTGACTAAACAGTTTGTCAAAATTGCCGATCCTAGAAACATCCCAGTTCCCAATTTGCCCATGGGGTGATGTACCATTTGAGATCCACTCTTCAATGGCTGCATCCAATGCTGCCCTGTCAGGGATTGCATCAATGCTTCCGGGTTTCTGGCTGGATGGAATGCTGGGTGATTCTGTGGGGCGGATTGAGGGTACAGTTGAAGGAATTGTGCTGGGCAAGCTACTGGGATGCTGACTTGGTAAATTGGGTTTCTGGCTGGATGGAATGCTGGGTGACTCTGAAGGGCTGATTGAGGGTACAGTTGAAGGAACTGTGCTGGGCAAGCTGATGGGATGCTGACTTGGTAAATTGGTAGCGTTTGTGGTCTCTTGGATGCACACACAGTCACAATCAGCCGGTGGGCAATCTAGGTTGCTGCAATCAATTTCAAGGGTAAGCTGTCCAGGAAGATCACAAATACTAGAGGGAACTGTCCCTGAGAGATTGCTCTCATGCAGCCTGAGTAAAGTCAACTGGGAAAGCAAACCAAGCTCGGATGGAATATCTCCAGATATCTCCATCCCGTAGAGCTCAAGTCTTTGTAGCTTGGACAGCTGCCCCAATTCTGTAGGAATCTGACCTGAAAGGTCTTGACCGAGACTAAGAGCCTCTAGAGATGAAAAAAGGCCAAGCTCTGATGGGATTGTGCCACTGAGTGCCCCAATGGAAATACTTTCCAAGTCTTCCAAAAGTTGCAATTCGATTGGAAGAGCCCCGCTCAAGGATTCTTGCTGGCTACCAGGATCATACTCAATACTCTTGATTCGCCCATTGCTGAGACACTGCAGAACCTCCCATTCACAAATTGGTGTACTGTAGTTCAGGATTTCAAAGTTTGCTGAAGTTTCTTGGGATGGTCCTTGCCAGTTGCTGAATGAGTACAAAAGGGTGATCGAGGCAAAAAGTTCAAATTTCTGCCACTCTTCTAAACTCTCGTAATCTGGGTGATTCTCAACCCAAGCGTCGGCTTTTGCCTGTGGGGAACCAACGATGGTGATTGCAATGATTGTAAACTGGGGAAGGTCCGCAGGGAATGTTAGATTCGTGGTTGGTACTGGCAATGGCACAGGGGTTGAATGATCAAAAATGTTCCCCGTCGCACTTGGTGCTGTTGTGTTGGTGGGAGCAACAACAATAATCTCTGGAGCAGGGGTGCTACTTTTGGTTGAGTCCCCGTCATCAGAATTACCTCCCAGCATTGTTGAAAAAGCAAGCTGTGCCAGCAACACGATTGCGACAATCACCAAGGCCAAAATGAATATAAAGCATTGCATTCTGTGGTTCTGCAGGAAATCTGCCACTCCTGCTTTTTGTGCTTCTACCAAAAGCGGTTGTGCTTGATTTTCCTCGTCCACAAACGAGTTGCTGTTTTCTTCATTGTGGCTGCTGCTTGGCTCCTCCACGAGGGATGCCACTGCCAGGACTGCATCTGGGACAAGCTGAGCATCCTGAATGATATGGCCATCATCGCTGGAAGAATTGGGATCAGTATTGGTGTTATTAGGAATAGAAGCATCTTGGTTCCCCTGCTGGCCTAGATGGATATCGCGATGGTGTTGGGAATGCACGGATTCTGTTTCGGAATGATCCAATTCGCTGTTGTTGCTGTTATTGTTGCTACCGGTAGAGCTGTCACTAAATGATGGTAGATCCGAGTTGGACGCTAAAGAGTGCTCGTTGCTCCTGCTGTCATTGACGGGGAGTCCCACAGCAGCCCCTCCTGTTCTCGTCAGATTGGAACTCCTGGAGGAGCGTGATGATGAAGGACGGTAAGTCTTTGTGTTGACATCATCCCGCGGCGCCGAACTTTTCGCCAAACCTCGGTGACTGGGAGCACGAGAACTACGCCTCGTTGTAGACGGATCTTCCGAGTCGGTGGTAATACTATCTCTGAGACGTGATCTCCTTCGTAGTCCTTTGGACATATCAAGTCCAGTGGTGGTCTCGGCTCCAGGGGAGCTTATCGTGACACTATCTCTGGAACGAGATCTCCTGCTCAGTCCTGATTTGGAATCAGGCGTCCCTGATGCGGCACTGTCTCTGGAGCTGGACCTTCTGCCCAGACCTTTTTTGGACGAATCCCCACTCGATGATGATAAGCCTCGTCTGGCCCTGGCACCTTGACTCAATTCACTAGAACGTCTGGACCCGCCCCTACCGGTGGATGAGCCCGCACTACCGGTATTGGTGGCAGCTGGATTGTCCTCTTCCCGCGACAGGCCACGCTTAACTTTTTGTTTTCCCGTGGATCTGTTTCTATTCTCAGCAAGAGCCCCAATTTGTGAGGTGGCTGCTGGGTTTTGCAACTTTTGCTCTTTCAACGGTACCGGGGCCCTGCTTCGGTTGCCCTTGGCCAACGGCATCGTGCTGGTGCTGTTGGTACTGGTAGCTTCCACAGCTCCTGATACGTCTAAGTTGGCAGATTGGGTGCTCAGGGATGATGCTGTATCTTTTGGCTGTGGCTGTACACGACTACTGGCACGCCTGTGGGTGTTGCTGGGGATACTGGGGCGTCTTCGAGATCTTCTTGTCCTATTATTGATGGAAGCTCGTGGTCTGGGAGCCTCGGCATCGGCATCAGCATCAGCAACGGCAGCTGTACAAGATCTACGGGATTGTTGCTCACTTCTACAAGCAACGGTTTCCTCTTCTTCCGCTCTTCTGTGGCTTTCGTCGTTATCAGTGTTAGAAGACATGGTGTGCTGTAGTAGACTGTGTACTGCACACTACTTCAGTCTCTCCTATCCAGGGCATGCATGAATAGGGATCCAGAGTTGCATGAATATGACAGCTGTGCCATTTGCCATGGCCTTCAAGTTGGGCATGGAAGACGAATGGAGTCTGCTTACGAAAATCTGACGGAAAAAGTGAGCCGATGCAGTCACTTCAAGAGCGTGGATGACTCTATGATTGTGTCAATCTCAAAGACTTATTGGTATCAGTGTACAAAACCAAATGAACCAAATGACTGTAATTCTCTCAGGCTCTCAGGTAACATTGCCCCTAAATCATAATTAATTTAAGCCAGCGGAGCTGTGTAACCTCGGCAGAACGAGAAGCAGATACCCCTATTAGCTAGATAGCTAGAAGCAGATACCTGTAGTGCTTAGCTAGTGCTTAACTTGCGCTTAAATAGCTAGAAGCAGATCCACTAGCTAGAAGCAGATTCCCATAGCAAGCTAGAAGCAGATACCCCAAGCTAGCTAGAATACTAGTTATATAGCTTTTTCTAGCTTTAGAGTTTTTCGTGGTAGAAGCAGATCCCCTTACTAGAATGCATGTAAATAGCTTTAGCTGGTTTAAAAGCACCATCCTAGGATACTTATTTAGTTTTGCTGACTTATTTGTATTCTAACCCTACCCTTATACCTGCAGGGACCACCATAGCAGGAAAAACAATTAAAGGGGTTGAGGGCTCTGGCAGCAAGACTGCCGAGGTAAAAGAAGCTCTGTTCTGCAGTAGCACCGAGAGAAGGTGGGACGGTGGGACGGTTGGCAGTTGGGAGGACAACCTGGGTTTTGTTAGAGTTGGTAGATTATCTAGACTACCCAAGCCAGCCAGGGCCAGGCTTCTAAAGGGCTAGGTTCTGTGCGATCGGGTGGTGAGAAATTGAGGAGCATTACAGGGGCCGAAGGGTCTGGCTTTGCGTCCTGGTGTGGGTTGAGGAGGGAGTAGGCAGGACAGTTTTACCAACGAACAAACTTCTTTCTATGGTTTCCCTGTGCTACTATCCTCACAGAGGAGGAGGACGATCCTCCCCAAGATCCAGTGTTAGAAGACATGTCTACTGCACAATGCTTCAGTCTCTCCTAGCCTGCGCATGCATGAATAGGGAGAGCTGCATGAATATATTATGACAGCTGTGCAATTTGCCATGGCCTTCGCATGGACGAAGAGCTCATTGATCGAAGTCTGCTTGATCGATGGCTGCACGCAGGTTGGAGTGAAAAGTGAGAAATGAGCAGTAAATTCAAGTTTTCCAAAGATGGCTTCCCGACTCTATTATTTAGACCCGTCTTTCAAGGCCTATCAAGGTAAGCTCACCGAAAAACAAGGACTTTTTTCGTCCGTGCTGACATCGCCCTTAAGAAGCTCTGCCCTCCTGTTGCTCGTGAGACAAGGTGGACGGTGCCCGCAATTTCGTCGTGGCGTGGGTCCACGATGGCGTAAAGTGGACCTAGGATAGTTTTAACAACGAGCAAACTTCTTTCTATGGTGATCCTGTGCTAGCTATAGCCACGAAGAAGCAACCATTCTGAAACGAATGCTTGAAGCCCTCGGCGCAGTAGACAAAAATAACAACTACTAATCTTTGTGACAACAACAACGAATGCTTGTCGTCTTCTCGAGGGCGGGGTTAGCTGCTAAGCTCTGTCCTTTACGGCGTCCGTGCACTCCCATGGTGGGCCCAACAAAGAGCTGTAGATAGCGCGATGACGATTACCTACTCGACGGACACGTTGTTCATCACCAGCTGTTCGTTAAGCCACTCCATGGTCACTAGCTTCCGGCAAAACTTCTCCTCGTGTAGAGTTCGTAGCCAAACGTAGACTGGAGTTGTCGTCACGGACCCAATCGAGCCCAGCTTACTCGTAATTGCACAATCATCACTTGGAGTGATGATAACGTAGCAGCCACCACAAAATTTTGGCGACCAGTGAAAACTGTGGATTAGGATGGGACAATTCGGAGAAAATGCTGAGATTATTTCCATAACGCTTCCGTCGTGCGTGGTCCAGTTGCTTTGCGTCAGTTTGTTGCATAGTTGCTTGATCAATGCAACAACGAAGCTCATTCCTGTGCCAGGGCCGCGGGGAACACAATGGCACTTCATGCTCAGCACTGCTGAAAGGGAAAGATACCGTACCAGTGTCCCAACCAGTGACCGTTGGCTGAGGAACATGTGACCCAAGCATAAACGGCCGACAAGACCAACACGAATGCCCCCTTTGTCAGGCACCATCACCTTCTAAACCTGCGCTATGCAATGGTAGCATATTGGGCTCCAAGTGCTGCCTTGAACAAGATAAGGATCAGTATCATTCACCTTACAACCACTTGCAATGAATGCAGTAGAAAAGTTGGCAACTGGATTCATCACATTATTGTTCCACCCACATAGGTCCTGGTTGAAGCTAGTTGCATTCTCAAACCTGTAAAGACGTTTTAAGTCCATTCAATAGCACAGGACTCATCAGTTCCTTCACAAAGAACAAAGGATTGCCTAGGCAAAAGGGCGTGCAGGGTCACTTACATGCTGTTGAAAGACTGCACTGTGCTGACGTTCCACATTGAGATATCTTGGTTGAAACCTTTGGCCAACTGGAACATTTCTTGCATGGATGTAGCACTTGATACATCCCAAGCCGCCAAAGGGTGATTGAAAGCAAAGGCCGCCCTAAAGGCTCTTCTGAAATCCTCCACTGTGCTGACATCCCACGAATCCAGTGGTTGGTCAAAGCTTTGGGCTCCTTCAAATGTAGACACCAAGGATGTAGTTTGCGAAGTGACCCATCCGTTGATGTTGTCATTGAAATCTTCCCTGCCAGCAAACAAGAAATCGAAATTGTTAATCCTGGAAACATCCCAATCACCAATTGGACCATAGGGCGATGTGCGATTTGAGATCCACTCATCGATAGCCTCCAGCAATGTGTCTTTGTCGGGAATAGTTTGGTTTGATCCATCGCTGGTTGAGCCCTCCAGTTGGTCACCAACCAACGTTTGCTCGTTGCTCGGGCCGGGAGTTACGGCGATGAGTTGAACAAAACAATTACAAGTACAGTCATCGGGGCAACCCATGTCACAATCAATCTCGAGATACACTCCGAAGCTCACTGTCAGAGCACAAAGACTGCTAGGAACGCTTCCTGTGATTTGATTCCCACCAAGATAGAGACCCAGCCCGTCGAACGAATACAATGAACCACCCAAAGCATACAGAAGACCCAACTCTGTTGGAATCGTTCCCGTGATCTGGTTCTGTGAAAGATCCAGTTTCTGAGCAAATTTCAGCACCCCTAGCTCGCTGGGAATTGGACCACTGATGCTGTTGTAGGAAATGTCCAAAGTCTCGATTCCTGCATCGGGGCCCCGGAAGATGTGTCCAAGAAGGCCTAGTTCAGTGGGGAGAACACCAGAGAGCTGGTTGAATTGAAGGGAGAGATCATGAACGATTGGCACCAGTCCCAGCTCTGATGGAATGAAACCTGACAACTGGTTTGAGTTGAGTGCCAAGGTATGCATTTCTGCAAGGTTGCTTATCTCTGACGATATTGTTCCATTGAGATAGTTGTGGTTGAGCCGCAAGTCCTTTATATTCGTAAGCTTCCAAGCGTCTGCTGGGATGCTGGATGTGAGCATGTTGCCGGAGAGGTCCAAGACGACCATGTTTGTTACCCTCCAAAAAGCTTCAGGAATGGATCCAGTGAGCTTGCTATCAGATACATCAAAGTGGGTTACTGCGGTGAGCTCTCCAAATTCTGATGGAAGAGACCCAGTTAGTCGATTGCCATACAGCGCAAGCTTCTCCAGAAGTGAGAGTTGGCCAAGTTCGGTGGGCAGAAACCCTTCAAGACCCCATATTAATTCGCAAGAGGTCAGAGAAGTCATCAATCCCAGCTCTGTTGGAATTGTGCCTTTCAGTGAAGTTAATTGTAGGTGAATCAAGTATGGTAGCTGTAATAGCTCTGTTGTAATTGTAAAAGGGGGGTCTGATTTCAAGTCAAGGGTTCTTAGTTGTTGCATTGAACCAAGCACAGTGGAAGGCAAATCCCCAGTGAAATCTTCAATCCTCAGCTCCCAGAGATTGGGCAGCGTGGCCAAGGTGGTTGGGAGCATCCCTTCAATCTCCACCCCGGGAAAACGAAGATCAAGAGTTTCCAGATTCGAAAGGAAGGAAATTTCAGTAGGGACTGTTCCAGTCAATCGTTCTGATCCTTGTCGATTCACTTCTGTCGGGCCAGCATACTTGAGCACCTTGATGCTCTCATTGGCGTGGCATTGAAGGTCACCCCAATCACACGCTGGCACAGAGTAATTCAAGAAGTTTGAGGCAGATTGCTTGTAGGCATCTGGCCATTCCTCTCCATTTCCAAATGAGTAGTAAAATGTTGCGAGAGCAAACAGCTCATAATACTGCCACTTGGGCAGGAAATCCTTGTCTGGGTGGTTGTTCAGCCAGTTGAAAGCTTTCGCTTGGGGCAAGCTATCGTCCGAGAACGTCAAGAGGAGCGTGTCTGGTAAAGTAGGTCCTTCGGTTGCCGCAGCACTGGTTGGGGATGCAGTGGGTGCGGATGGCTTGGGAGTATTATTAGTGTTGTCAAAGATGTTTCCAGTATGCATAGCAGGGGATGGCGGTTGCGTTGCTATTGGTGTGGAGTCATCACTTGTAGGTGGAGAGGGCGGAGTGGGCACTGGATTGTTGCTTTGCAATTGGGATGACAGGATCAGATACATTGAAATGAACATTATGGATGTCAACAGCACCAAGCCCAGAATGAAGCATTGCATTCTCTTGTTCTGCAACAAATCAGCTAGACTGGCGGCGTGAGCTTGCACCACGACTGCTGCATGCTGGCTTTCCTCGTCATGCGGTGGTTCCTCTACCAGTGTGGCTTCCACCAGAACTCCTTCAGGCGTGAGAGGCTGTAGCTCCGAGCTTTTACTGTCTCGTTGCTGTGGTTCCACTTGGGCGGTCAATAGCGGCTCTCTCTCACGGTCATGGTCACTAATGCTGCTGTCATGACCGCTGGTATTCGAGTCAAGGCCGGTAGATTGATCCTCTAGAGAGGCTTCACTCTCATCGCGAACCTCTAGGTAGTCTTCAATTTCCTCTCCAATTTCTGGACAGACTTCCGCCTCATCTTCAAATGTGTCTGCTGCTTTCTCTTCACCATCGGTAGACCTTCCATGATTGCGAGCAGATTGTTTTTTGGAGCCTTTGGAAAGGCCACGCTGCTGCGACTTGGCACTCACGGGGGACCTGGACGCTTGCTTTGATGATGATTGTTGTGGTTGTGGAGATACATCTCCGACGGACGTTGCCCCCGGAAGGACTTCTCTGCTGTTGATCAACCCCGTGGAAGGTTCCGAATTGGGGACGACATCTTCTTGAATTTCGCCTGTGGATACTCCCCGTTTCGTCTTCTTTTGTTGTTGCTTGTCTTGCGATGCCACTGCACCCGGAAGTTTCGTGCCAATGGTAGCCGATCGATGGTTGAGTGGCGATCGGGAGCGAGAAAAGGGGGAACCATCTAAAGACCTCGAATGGCGCAGTCCGCGTCTTGACGTCGGTGATCGGTTGGGCCTGGGGGACATCCTAGCTCTCTTGTCATCAGTTTGTTTCCATGACGAGGATGCGACTATCACAGGAGAATGGACCGATCTGTCACGTCGTAGCCCACGTCGTTGTGATTTGGGTGAATGGCTCCTCATCAGAGTGGGCCCTCTCGTTCTTGGTGATGGTGATGATGATATCGTATCAATGGATTTGGCTTTACGAAATCCGTTTAATGGGAAGTTAGATTGGTTTCTTTTTGGACTCTTTGCTCGTGCATTCTCCCTCGTTGTCTCCAAATTATCCGTCGATGTGGTTGCTTTGTCGCAATTGTTTCCGAGTGTTGTTGCGCTGGTTTGGCCCCTATTCAAGCACTTGGTTGCTGTTGCAATATCAGGTTCTTCCACTTGAGAAACAGTGCCATTTGCTGCTAAAGCACGAGGTTCTGATGCAGTTCGAATCAACGAGGGACGTTCGCCTAAGTTACCCCGCTGTGACAGCTTCATTCTGGAGTTTTCCCGTGTGCTTCGCTTGGGACTCTGTGATCTTCCCCTGGTCATTCCCTGCTTTCTTTGTCCAGCGGCAGCAAACGATCTAGGTTCTGCCAAAGGCGCTGGATCTGTGGGCATGCTTTGCTCGGTCTCTCTATTAGTACGGATGGTGCATGGCTTCATTTTCTCACGCTCTTTTTGCAATCTCGCAGTGTCCGTACTGACATGGGCATCACTCCTGCAGGATTCGGCTCCCACAGTGACAGCAGGACCTGACCTGGTTGGCATTGGAGAGGACTGTTGTCTACTAGAAGACCCAATGGCATCATTATCATGGTGCTTATCCCCTCCCGAGTCAGACATCATGCCATTCGATCGGTCGTCGTCGTATACCGTACCAAGATACAAAACTCACTGATGGCCATCCATGGCACTGGTTAGAATTCAGGCTTTACCAGGTCGATTCGATTGCTTATTTGCTGACAATACTATAAAATCACGGCCTTGCTATTATGGACATGCATGAACATCTCTACAGCTAGCTATAGTCCCATGGAAAGCCGTGATGCTGTCATATGTGATGCCGTGATCGGGCTTGTAGAAAGAAGGGGAAAGAAGACATGGTTAAGGCTCAAGGGGGGCTAACTCCTCCCAGGCTTAAGCAGCTTTAAAGCTACACTTTGTAGACGTTGTCCCACTACAAAAGGTTGATTGATTGAAGGTACACCTTACATACATGTGTCCCCCTTTCTTTAGCCTCATTTAGCCCCCTTTATCCTTAACCATCCCTATGAGAGACATTCCAGGTAAAATTTATTTATTTATTCTCAATTCTCACTCCGAGATCTGATCCTTCAAGATGATATTGCATGTTACCGTTGGCTACCTCTATAGACCACCCCCACCGCCATGGTGGGACATTGGATGCTCTTCCCCACCCCCAGACCTACTTCGGCATCCCTTGAACTGGTCCTACAGCCACGACACTGCCGCCATGGTCACCCTTTTGTACCCGCCGTCTCTTCTTCACACCTTCCTTCCTCCATCCTCCCATGAGACCCAACCGACAATCCTTCCTATCAATATCAACATTCCGGTCACCACACACACACTCTACAGCACTCAACCCACCGCTGCCGTCCTCCACCAACGCTCATTGTCACCGCCACTACCATTCCCAATACCACGTTCTTTCCTCTCTTCCGCCATCATTCAGTCGTGCAACACACGGAACGACTGGTACTCCCCTCTTACGCCTCCCCACGACCAGTGGCCCCCTCATAAGCCTTCCACATACCAGCTGCCGTTCCGCGGGACCGATCCCCATACTCCTCGATCTTGCACAATTCCTCTCGCCAACGCATCCGCCCGACACCCCTTAACTCCTCGACGTCTCCCACATATTCCGCAGAACAAGCCTAACACCTCACGACTCACTAAAACAACTGAAACCCATGCGGTCGACCCCTCTCTACCTAAGTATTCCTCAACCATCGAATCGCCTCCAGATTCAACGGCCAATTACCACCACCACCAACCTGACAACCACTCCGATCTCCATAAAATCGACATCCTCCACCACGAAACACACACCCACAAATGCTGCTTCCAGCACAATCCTTCTTTCCCCACTCGATCATCCGTACTATGCAACACCATGATGCCGCTTCTCGGACCAATCCTGCCGCTCCTCACCACCATGACGCCGTTAGCACAGCCACCCTTTGCCATGCCGCTTCCCTTCCTCCCACCGAAGAACAGTGTCAACCACTTCCCCGGCAGACTGACACCATCACCACTTCACCCAGTTCATCCCACATTGACACCCATCACCGACGCCTCCTGTACGCTTCTACCCAATACGTCCCGCGCACGAGACCCAAGCCAGATGATGCCTTCTACACCATCACTCCTACTGCCGCCTCCCTGCAACCTCCATCGAAACCAATTGCCCATCGTCAACAACAAGAAGCCCCTCCCAGCGAAACCTCGCTTCTCGTCCCTGACACCCCCACCACCACCCACGTCTTTCGCTACCGCAACCCACGCTGTCTCCCAGAACACTCCATCCGTTCCATGGAACTACTGTCATCCATCTCCTCCTGTTCCACGCGAACCACATCACCTGAAAGAACTGGCTACCTTCACGCAACATCACCAACCCGGCCCAATAACGCAACATCACCAACCCGCCCCAATAACCTCCCCATCCAACTCCTCTCCGAGAACTTCACTCTACAACCACCAACCAACCCACAATCCCAACAACCCTGGAATTTCTCAACTACCGAATCTTTCTTCCCCACTTCAACGCCTCCAGCCTGCAACCATGGCCAAAACCAAAACCAAGAGGAACCGTGCCAAGCGTCGTCAAACCCCACCGCGAGCTCCAACACCACCGATCCCTTCCTCCAAAGCCTCGGCAACAACAACCACAACAACAACCGCTCCATCCTCCAGCCAAGAGAGCCACGGAATAGGAGCCCAACCAGACTCACTCCGCGCAGACCCAAGCGCCGCCGCCGCAAGTGAGTCCACAAGCAGCAACAGCTCCTCTTCTTCCTCATCCTCCTCATCCACCAGCACCAGCTTCCATGATAGCAAGCCTACTGCCAACACCCCTGCTGTCACTACCAAAGATGCCACCCAAGCTGCCACTACCAAAGCTCCACAGAAGAAGTCCCCCACTACCGCCAAACATGCCTCTACCCCCACAGAAGTATCCACTGGGCCACACCCTGCTAATGCATCCTTTGCCTCTGGCCTCTCATCCAATCCCTTCTCTGCGCTTGCTGATGATTCCATGTCCGTTGCCTCTGATGATGCCACACCCACCGAAGTAAACATCCTCCAAGGCTGGTCCCCAGCAAATCCCCCTGCTCCCATCACCGAGTTGCTGCTGTGCCATCCGTTCACTGCCACAATTACTAATCGCCTATTAACTAACCACCAATACGGTAATCGATCCGCAGTCATTCACCGACGGATCAATCCTACCACTCTCACACGCCGACCAATGGGTGATGCCCCAACACTCACAGATCGCTTACATCTCTCCTAAACTACAATATTTT